CAACTATTGACGCACATGGGCACGTCATTAACATCTCGGAAACTATTCCCAAGGCCAAGTTTCTTTCGGAAAACAAGCTCTATGCTCGTGATTTGCGGTCCATTGATCACACACCTGTTTCTATCATCCCGTCGATCCTCGTACGAGACCAATGCATTTTAATTAACTTGCTCCATATTAAGGCTATGATTAAACATGACCGTGTGTTGGTCTTTGATACCCATGATGACCCAGCAAATAATGCAAAACTCGGTTTGTTTATGTACGATCTCGAGTCAAAGCTCCAGCTGCCCACGTGCATCCACAATGTAAACAATAGTAGTAGTAATAGTAGCAGCAGCAGCAATAACAACAACAACGGTAGTGGCAGCGGCAGCAGCGGCAGCAGCGGCAATGATTCCAGTGGAAGCACGTTTGTGCAGACATTTGAAATGAAGGCTCTGGAATCTATTCTGATCAACGTGGTATCAACCCTTGAAACAGAGCTCAAACAACACATCTCCACAGTCAACTCCATTCTTGCATCTCTTGAAGACCACATTGATCGTGAGCAACTCAAGGAACTTTTGATCCGTAACAAGTCTCTCATCAAGTTCCACCAAAAGTCATTGCTTATTAAAAACTTGCTCAACGAAGTGCTTGACTCAGATGACGATCTTGTTGGCATGTACCTGACTGAAAAGTACGAAAACCCAGAAGCCTTTGCACACCGCTCACTCGACGACCACGCAGATATGGAGCTGCTTTTGGAGTCTTATTACAAGCAGTGCGATGAAATGGTACAACAGTCTGGCCAAGTAATTGCCAATGTCAAAAATACTGAGGAAATCATCAACATCATTCTAGATGCTAACCGCAACTCACTCATGCTCATGGAGCTAAAAGTCACAATCACAACTCTCGGCTTCACCACTGGTGCTTTCTTTGCATCCCTTTACGGCATGAATCTCGAAAACTTTATCGAGGAAACTACTTATGGCTTTGGTTCTGTCTCCGGTATAATCATGGCCTTGGCCATTGGTGTTTCCGTCTTTAACTTTGCTCAGCTTAGAAATATCCGCAGAGTTACCATGATGGGAACTGGAATTTTGCAAAATAATCCTTCTTCTTCTTCTTCTTCTTCTTCTTCTTCTTCTTCATCATCTGCTGCTGCCGCCGCCGCCGCCGCCTCTGCTGCTGCTACTAATGCTACTGCCGCTGCTGCTTCCTCTTCTGCTTCAGCAATGGCTGCTCGTAGTGCCATTCTTAATTCAACAACAGCCTCGGCTCAACATTCCGCCTCCCCTGCATCCTCGTCCTCTACAAATTCTTCACAACTACATCCACACCCGCCGCTGCATCAATCTCCACTCTCGGAACCGCGGCCACAGCACCATCATAGTCATCGCGCGCTCAAACACGAACTCTCGAGAACAGACCAGATGTGGGCACTCATGTACCGACTCTGGCGGGGACATGCTGCCGAACGCCGCTGGTCGCGCAAACGTAAATGGGAACTGCATAATGGCTATAACAACCCTGCTGCGGCGCGGCAGCATGATGTTTGGCGCTGGCTGGTGGATTCAAAGAGCAGTCACCCGTCGTCATGAGTTAAGTAGACTATAGAAATTTTTAAGAAAAAACGGTATATAAAGCATATAAAACGGATAACAATATATATGTATAAACAAAAAAAAAAAAAAAAAACATCTTTGGATTCAGCTTAGTTCAGCTCAGTTCAAACAAGCATCGATGCAAAGAAATCAGCTGCATCGTCTTCAATCTCTTGCACAGATCCCACAAACCGAGTAACGTCTTGTTCCTTGACTTGTCGATCTTCGCGGTCGTTATGGCTGCGTGGGACCACCAAGACCTGTGGACGCAAGTGTTTAACAATGTGAGTAGCACCAGTTGCTGTTCCGCACGGAAGAAACTTGTATGAATCTTTGGCAATGTCGATAACTTCTGCAATGGGATCCGGAAGTTGTAGCTGTTCAATGTCGCGGGGTAAATCTTCATTTTCTTCTTCTTCTTCTCCTTCTTCAGAAAAGTCTGCGGGGAAGTAAATGAAAACAAGGTTAGGGAACTTTGCTAGCAGATCTGCAAACGGAACGTCACCGTTTTCAATTAAGTCCTGTTAAATTAGTTTTAGATCATCATGATTAAATCTTATAATGAATATATACCTTGGACAATATGATGGCCACTTGCTGGGTGCTAGTTTTTTTCTTGGGCTCGGAGATCTGTTTGTGTGGAAGCTGCAGCGACTCTTTCGAAGACGGAGCAGATGAAAAGTAGAAATATGCAGCAGCTGCTGCTGCAACAGCGGCAGCTCCAAGAGTAGCTATCAGGGCCACAGGTGGAGCGTTTTGGCGGCGGGGACGGGGCATTGTACCGGTATATATGAAAAGGGAGGTCGGAACTTTTATGTGGAGCGGAGAGATCAAAAAAGAAAAATTGAGTGGTGGGGCTAAAAAAAAAAAAAAAAATTGGCCACATACAGAGACACCTCAGATTCTCATCACAATACTTAACCGACTTTAAAGGCTTTATTAAAAACAATCCGATCTGGCTTAGTAGCGGGGGGGGTTTTTTTTTTTTGGTCATAATGAGCTTAGAATCTCACAATCAAGGCCAAAGGCTACAATCGGAGAAACAAGCAGCATCCCGGAAAGCCTCGAAAACAGCAACAACGTCATTCAGAGAACCCAATGTGCATGACCTCGAGCTTGATCTTGAGGGCCTCATGGATAACGAGCATACCGATCCCGACGAGCACAGATCCAGTACTTCTCCAGCTTCCTACAATGGGTCTGAAAATGACCCCTCACAAGCCTCGTTTCACGAGACCGGTGGCAGGGACCCTATTGATGATTCCGAGTACGACTTCTACGCGTCTACAAAACACATTGCCCATGTGTACCGCGCGCTCAAAGCGATCCAGCCCGCAGCTAAAGTCTACGAAGGTGGTCAAGGTGTTAGCGGGAATTCCTACGCGCGCTCAATGGGTACAGGTCGCGGGAACCCGTTCACAACCCAGAGCACGCAGCGGCACCGCAAGCCAGGAGATACAACGCAGACACCTGGGATGGCCGGGTTTGATTTGGATCATGATAGTGATGGGGATCTAAGCCATGGAGCACATTTTGCAACAGAGGAAGAAGAAGCACTTGCACGAATGGTGAGCAAGGATGTACCTGTGACAGTCATGATTGATGAAAACGGACTTGCGTTCAATATGGGTCGTATCCATATGGGGATTGCTCGTGTGTACCTGGAACGTGCGCTGTTTGCAACTTACCGAAAATCGGACCCAGATGCCCTTTACACTTTTGCATTACCAATGCACCGGCTGTTACAATGCCTCAAGATCCTGGCAGCCAGCGAAACTGCAGCATCGCGGAGTGGAACTACGAGGCAGGGAGGAGGTGGTGGAGGTGGAGGGTATGATGATAGTGAAAATGACGAGTTTACAGGAGAAAACAGTACAAGACGACGGAACCCACAGAGGCCTGGTCGGGCTAGAGGTGAAGATGAAAACTTGAGATCAAATATGATTTGCCGTATCAAGTATAAGGCAACAGGAGATGAGACGTTTGTACTGGTTTTTGAGGACGGCCAGAACATGGCAATCAAGTGTGAGTTCCCCGTGCTCACCGTAGATCCCTACAGTGAAACGTTGCCTTTGGGTAGTGACGAGGAGGACGAGATTAATGATGAGTATGATGATGAGGAAGATGAAGAAGAAGATGATGAAGAATACGAAGAAGACGAAGAGGAAGAAGTTGAGAAAGAAAAAGATCTTAATGTATCTCAAATCTCAGATTCCGAAGAAGAAGAAGAAGAAGACAACGATCTTTTTTTCGGGCGCAAGAAGGACGATGAAAAAGAGTTACGAAAACAAGAACGCGAGCAGGCTCGCGAAGAACGTCGCAAAGTGCTCCGTGAGCAGCGGCGCGAACTACGGAAAGAACAGCGGCGTGAGCAGAGACGGCTAGAGCATCAGACTGGCCGAGTAATGGGGCTAGACATTTCCAATCTTCGATTCAAAGTGTTATTTCGCGGCAAGATTTTAGCGCAAAAGTTGCACGAGATGATAGTGTTACAGACATCAAGGCTCCAGATCCGGGCATCGAACGAGGCACCACGACTCACATTTGTGTCCAAGGCTGAAATGTCCGACTCGGCACAGTATTTCCCAGAAGAAGACGCGTTCCCTGGGATCGAGCGGTTTTATTTGTGGACACAAACAGAGCCTGTACGTGACAAAAGTCAACGTACAGAACAAGAAGAAGACGAGGACGAAGAACAGGCATTGGATGAAGACGTTGCAACGTTTTGGTACGACTTTAGACAACTCACCATGGCCATCGAGGGTATTAGTATCGGAGAAACACAAAACATTCGCTGTGACTGGAACGGGTTTATGGGAATTCAGTCTAAGTATGTGGTGGACCGCGAGCAACGTATCTACATTTTCTTTGATTTTAGGTTTTCTGCGCTTCACGACTGAAGTGGGTTATACCATTTTTGGAGAGAGTCCTGAAGCCCTAGTTGGTGATTTGGGTTTTGGAGGTTTGGTTTTTTTTTTTTTTTAATGCGCTTATATAATTTTTTTTTAGAAAAAAAAATTTTTTTTTTATACGCACTTTCAACAAAACAATTTTTTTAATCTTTCAACACCCATCCCCCTCTCCATCGTCAATCAATATGACTACGGAATCAACAATCATCACAGAACACGCGCCAACAGCAAAGCGTCAAAAACCCACCTCCGGCCACGCAACTCGTCAACGCGTCAAGTCCTATGTCGAGCTTAAAAACCCAGTCGACCCGGCCACAGGCCTCTCACAGTGTTTCCGCAAAGTCACCACCACCATGTACGTCTCACTCGCGCCCATGTACTCTCTCAACCCAGTCTACGGTATCAAGTCACAGCACCTGGACCCACTGCTCATGACCTGGTACGCACCAGTTGGCGGTGTTGTTCTTGCATACAACTCGCTGCAGCTGCTGGGCCAAGACGAGGGTGAGTATCGGGCGCGCAAGAAGGCAGCGGCTGCACAAAACTCTGGTGACGATGCCAAAGACAACAACGACGAAATACTGCTGCCCGTCGGGAAAATTGTCCACGAAAGTCCCTACGCATTCCTGTGGATCGCTGTCGACTTGCTCATCTGGAAACCTCAGCAAGGCGATGTTGTCCAGGGCGTCATCAACCTACAGGCCCCCTCCCATTTGTCGCTGCTTGTCAACGACGTTTTCCATGCAAGCATTCGCCGCGACAGCATCCCAGAAGACTGGGAGTTTGTTTATTTTGAAGCCGATGAAACTTACTATGACGCCAATGACGAGACTGCCAATGCAGTTGATGCAGCCGTTGATAGCATTGAAAAGGAACAAGAGCAAAAGAACCAAGCCAAGGATGGTGCAGAAACTGGAGAAGAAAGCGCAGATAGCAAAGAAAAGGCATCCGATGCAAACAAACTGGCTGGTGCATCAAAATCTTTGGGCTACTGGGTTGACGGTAACGGAGACAAAGTTTACGAGGTTGTCAACTTCTCCATCAAGCGCGTTCTTGTTTCTGGGCGATTAATATCCGTGCAGGGCACTCTGCGTGACAGCAACAGCACATACAGCAAGACTGTTTCTGATGGTTCCAATTCTTCATTTTCTTCTTCGACCGCCTCTGTCTCCACAGATATTAAAAAACCAAAAAAGATTGTATTTGGAGATGATGACATGCCTAAGCCCACCAAAAAGGTGTTCACCGATGATGACACAGAGATGAACAACCTCTCGGAACGTATCAATAAGGAAATCGAGGCAACGGGTGCCGCTTCTTTGGATCCGGCAACAGAGGTCCTTGCTGCTGCACCGGCATCTGGGTTGCCCAAGGACAATGGTGATGATGAGGACGACGATGATGCAGCAGCGCCAAAATATGCCGAGGACTCTGATAGCGACAATGACTCGGATTAATAGTAAATAGCTGGTAGAAATGAATTATAGGGTGAGATTACAAAACAAACAAATACCTGGGATAGAAATAAAAGTAAAGAATAATTAAATATATATTTTTTCACGAATAAATTATAAACTATACAAAAAAAAACTATGGAATAGAAAATTACTTCTTTAAATTTATACCCAATACTCTTAAATGGCAAGTATCAAAATAAAAATAACGCCAAGTGCATTGAGCGATGTCATAAAATGGTTACCTTTGTTAACTTGGGTAACTTGAGTTTCTACAAACCCAGACACGTTACCACTGGGTACTTGTTCAATTAAAGACGTAGTGCTAGGAAGAGAAGACGACGACGTTGATGCTTCCACCACAATTGCCTGAGTACTCAATACAGGTTCAACTACTGAGACAATTGAGGTTCCAACACTGAAAGTCTGTGTCTGGTAAAAAGTGAGAGTGATATAGCTGGTGATTGATTCGGAGACAAAAGCAACAGTCACTCCGGGTTCAGAGACAGGAGTAATGATGACTTTAGATGGAGTCACTGTAGATGTTGAAAATAAAGTAACATCACTCGATGCGATGGATTCAATGACCAAAGTTTCTAGGACTTCCGAGGGTTTAACAAAAGTCTGAGTAACAGTGCCCGAGGTACTGATCTGAGTCAAGTAAGAAGTAAGAGTAACGTAGCTTATGACTTCCTCAACCTCTGTAACAGGAACATTAGTGATTTCAGAAGACGGGGCCAGTGTGGATGTAGAAAGTACCAAAACATCACTCGAAGTAATTTCTTCAATAACCAAAGTTTCCGGAACCTCAGAAGGCACAACAATAGTATAGGTCACAGTACCTGAAATTCCAATGGATGTCAAATAAGAAGTTACAGTAATATAGCTTGTAATCTTTTTCGACTCTGTGACAGCAGTACTGGAAACTTCTTCGGATTTGACAAAAACACTAGCAACATTTGAAGGGCTCACGGTGGACGTAAAATGTACAACAACATCGCTTGAAGTAATTTCTTCAACAACCAAAGTGGTAGGGGCAGTGTTGCTAGTGATGCTAGAAACAAGAGTGACTGTCGACGTGGAAAGTACTGTAGTGTCACTCAATGTGACAGGCTCAACAACCAATGTTTCGGTAATTTCACAAGGCTCAATTAAAGTAACAGTTACAGTGCCAGTAACTGTAGAACGCGTAGAGTACGATGTAAGAGTGACATAGCTTGTGTATTTGGAAGTAATTTTGAGTTCCTCTGTCAGTGTGGAAGTTGAATAGGAAGTTGTTGAATCCGAAGTAATTGGACAAATTACAACTGTTACAGTAGTGGTTTCGCACGGCTCAACAACTGTAACAGTAATAGTTCCAGAAACAGTAGAATGAGTGGTGTACGACGTGATTGTGACAATACTAGTAGTTTCAGTAGTCAATGGTGGAGTGCTTGGTAAAGAGGTCGTGATAGTTGGAGTAGCAGTTGTAGACGGAACAGTAACAGTTAAAGACGATGGTGATGATGATGAGCTTGTAATGTCGCAACTAATATTAATACCACAATCAATAAATTTATTGATAGCAGCTTCGCTAAGAGTATTTGAAAAGCCAGAAATTTCCAATTGACAGCGCAAGCAGTAGACAAACTCATCATGGTACCCATTAACTAGATCATTGCACGAAAGTTCAGTATTAGCAGCAGCAGCAACAGCGGACGGGCATGCAACCTGGCAACCAAAGGGACTGAATTCATAGTCAAGAGTAGGAAGACAAGTCTGAGTTCCATCAGCTAGAATTTCTACAGTAGGTGTCCCAGAAGACTCATCAAATAAGGCAGAAACAGATTTTGAAACGGGCACTGAAGGTTCAATAAAGGAATTTGAATCAGTTGGACATGGCAATGTGGTGTTTAAATAATAGGTGTAGGCGTTGGCAATTGTGCAAAGGGACAACAATGTGCCTATCAAAAGATTAAGTTTCATTGCCCTGTCAAGTTAGCTTTTTTATGCTTTTTTTTCATATTAATTAACTTACAATAAACAAACTGGTATTCCTATGTTGTTAATAATGTTGATTTTTTATCTATTTTTCACAAGAGTTAAAATTCCGAATTGGTTTCTGAAAAATAAATTTTACTTTATGGATAAATTTTTATATAAAAAAAAGAGAGGAATTTTTGGGTTTTTTATAGACCTCTGAAAATCCTGTTCTTCTAATTTTTGTGACTATGTGGTGAGATTTTTGATCAGCTTGTTAGAAATTTCATTCACAGCCTGCGGGCCAATCCCATCCCAGCTACTCTTGCGACTAGTTGTGCTGAAACTTGGGTTGCTTGTTAAAATACAACTCTCGAGAGTTGAAAAAAAAAAAACAAATTGATTTAGAAAATTAATGAGCTCATTAATTTTCTAAATCAATTTGTTTTTTTTTTTTCAAGAAACCTTATTATTTTATTTTTTTTTTTCAATTGATTTTTTTTAGTTAATACAGAAATTTTATACTTAGGAATTTTATGACTTCTTTTTTATTCAATTCAGTCAATTGAGATCTGGAGGTTTGTACTTATCACTAAGACTCCTTATTAGGGTGAGTGCGGCTACTGCGTGGAAAACATTCCATGGACACTTAAAACTTCTTTTTCGGCCAACATATCACCAAACTTCGCCAATCTCCCTGTCACAAAAAAAATCTTAATGTAAAATATAAAAGCTAACATTGACATTTCATTATCTAAGACTAATTAATATTTATTCATGTGCTTTCAAATTTAATTTCATTCCAGTTGGCAATATAGCCGAGATCAGGAACCTTGAGCTCATCAGTAAGATTATCAAAAGTCTCCTTATTGTTCACAACAACGCCTCTACTTGAAACCAACAAGGAAAGTGTGTCTACAGGACTATCTCCAAAATACCACAAGTCCTTTCCAACCTTCAAAGCTTCTTTTTTGAGTTTAGATACAATGCGCTCCTTGTCCGTAATATTACGCACATAGCCATGGACGACGGCAGGATCCGTGAGACTTTCTTCAAATTTGGCGTCAACCTGGTAGCCTTCAGGGAAAATCTTTCCAGTATCCCAGTCAATATCATTACCATAAATTATAATTTTATTTTCGGGATAATTGGCATCAATTACCGCCCGCACAAACTCTGAAGAGAGACCTTGGCTCAAAATAACAATCCCTGGAGGGTCATCGGCGGATTCAACCATTTTGGCAAAATCCCACCAGCCATCGATAAATTCAATCTGAGGAATAAGATCTAAAAAAACTGCTGGATTTAAACCCTTAAATATTTGAGAGTCCTCTATTTTTTTAGTCAAACCATACTCCAAAGGCTTAAGACCTTCAAGAAATTCAATTTCGGCGTCCAGCTCCGGGGTGCTGCTCAGTGCCAAAGTAGTGGGCTTAAATAATGAGGCAAATTTTGAGACCTCAGCAACATTATTTTCCATCAAAGCTTTCCATTTGGGTTCTAATTCTGGTTTAATCTGATATGCCGCTGCAGCCAGAAGATGTATTGTCGCAATCTTCGTGATTGTTTCGTCCCAATCAACAACAATATGAGACACTTTGGAAAGATCAATAGTGACGTCGGACATTTTAATAGTAAAATGAGAAAAAAAGAGAAAAGTTTTTGCTAGAAGGAATACGAAAAAAAAAGGAATTTTTTATTTTAAAAATGGAAAGTGGCAAAATTACAGTTACTTTAAATGATTTTAAAAAAAAATCAATACAAATAAACTTAATGAAGAAAGATGAATTGAGAACTAGGCGAAATGCCTGTATGGCCCTTTTAGTCCTATTTAGCTCTCAAAAATGAATCTTAAATCATGGATTAACTTTCCCCCGATTAACAAACACAGAGGTAATCCCTACAACCATCTCCTGTATGATTAATTGTCCCATATCAATATAAAGCAATTAGGGAACAGATTCCTAGGACCTCAATATGATTCTGAATAGATTGTAGGAAAAAAAATGTCCCATGTGAGCTAAATTCATATTTTGTGGGGCATATATATATATGGAATTTTATACGTAACCTATTGCTGGATAAACTTAATGATCAAAATATTTCCGGGAGCAAAAATAAATTGTACAACTCAATTACAAAGAGTCCATAAGCTACTGCTTGGTAAATGGCTTCCTGATGGTTTCATTGTTTTAGGTATTTAACTAAAATATTAAGGTTAAGGAGTTCAACAATAATCTCAAAAAGTAATAAAATATTATTTCGGCTAAAACTCTTGCTTCGATGGTTTCGTTCTTCCGTATAAAATAAAAGCAATAAACAAAATGATTAAAGTGGCAATTGGGTATTATTGAGATTAAAGGACCTAATTGACACAGTTTAATCATTACAAAATAAAAAAAAAGGTATTGAGCCAGATTCATTCGTATGATTATATTCAAAAGTTATAGATTTATATATCAGTATCAGCAATATTCCATTTGTTCTTACTATATATATTTCTGATTTCACAATAAAAGTTTAATTTGACTTTAACATTGATCACAAACAGCACAAAAATAAATCCTGATGCAATTTTACAAAGAACAAGAAGTCACATATCTCCCCAAATTAATTCAGGTTTTTAACTTTGATTGTTAAAATCTTCTTGAATTTCATTTATCAAGGGAAAAAAATGATAACTCATAGAGGATTATGAATTTGTATAAACGAGAGGTAAGGTTCTTAATGACGTTCGCATTACACGCAAAAAATACATCGTTTAACTGCGGAATGGTGCATTTATTTAACTATTATCCGAGGTATTGTACGAGAATATAGATATTGAATAAAGTGAAACAGCTGGTGAAAAGCATCAACGGCTTGTATGAGGGGTAAAGTTAAAGCACAAAAATGTCAAAAAGGTTGTTCAACATGATGTGTATGGTAAACCAAGAAGTGGTCAAAAAGCAGGGTCGAGGTCAGCATTCCTTGAATAATCTGCAACCAACCATCAAACATTGAATAACAGAAAGCACAATCCGACGATTCACCACGACACAAAACAATCAAAGAGGGTGCATCGCTCTTTCATCAATGATGGACGTGGTTCCTCCGGTAAACCAAGAGGTGGTCTAAAGGCAGGGTCAAGGTCGGCACTCCCTGATTATTCTGCGGCCAACCATCAAAACATTGAATAACAGAAAGCACAATGAGTCGATTCACCACAACATAATCGCCAAAGAGGCTGCATCATACTTTCATCAATGGTGAGTGTGGTTCCTCTGGTAATCCAAGAGGTGGTCAATATACAGGGTCAAGGTCGGCACTCCTTGATTATTCTGCGACCAACCATCAAACATTGAATAACAGAAAGCATAATAGGTGGATTCACCACAACACAAAACAACCGATAAAGAGGGTGCATCGCACGTTCATCAATGATGGACGTGGTTCCTCTTGATAACAATAAGGAGGTCAATAAGCAGAATCAAGGGCGACAAACCTTGCTTAATCGGCGACCAACCATAAAAACATTGAAAAGCTAAAAGTACAATGGGTCGATATAATGGTGTTGTAAATGGAAATGAGGTAGTGAGGTAGTGAGGAAATGAGGTAGCGGTATGTGTGTAGGTGTGTGTAGGTGTGTGGTAGTTGCTTGCAAAAGCAGTTGCAGGTTGTCACAAACGATCTTCACCAGTTCCATTAGTTTATCTAACATGCGTTTGCAATGTTGTATGCATTATCATTAACGATAGATGGATAGAGTTACTTTGATCGTCATGTCCATAAAGGAAGCTATTGTGGAGAACCATGACTGTATAGCTTTGGAATTGAGAGAATAGCATGATTGTCTAAAAGAGAGTTAGGTCAATGAGATAAGTATTAGATGCATTGGATTAAGTAAACTGACCAAAAGACGACTGCAACAATAACAAAATCAATGATGGCAAAGGATGACGGTATACTCTTGAGGTTGAGTGAATCGCATGTATGTCTAAAAGAGAGTTAGGTCAATGAGATAAGTATTGGGTACATTGGAATTATTAGACTTACCAAAAGACGACTGCAACAATAACAAATTCAATGATGGCAAAGGATGACGGTATACTCTTGAGGTTGAGTGAATTGCATGTTTGTCTAGTAAAGGGTTAGATCAATGACCTAAATATTAGGAGCATTTGAATGAGTAGACCTACCAAAAGACGACTGCAGCATGTTGAAAGAAATAATTTTAAAGTAATGTGGATGATAGTGAGTATGAATATCGTATGGTATGAAAAATAATAGATCATAATCGATAATAGTGATAATAGTGATAATAGTGATTCATGGATGACAATAGTGGTTTATGGTTGATAATAGTGAATAATAGTTGATAGTCTTAGATGGTGATATAGTTGTAAAGGTAAAGGTAAAGGTAAAGGTAAAGGTAAAGGTTAAAAAAAAATAAAAAAAATAAAAAAAATAAAAAAAATAAAAAAAAAAAAAAAAAAAAAAAAAAAAAAAAAAAAAAAAAAATAAAAAAATAAAAAAAAAAAAAAAAATAAAAAAAAAAAAAAATAAAAAAAAAAAAAAAAAAAAAAAAAAAAAAAAAAAAACTGCTGAGATGAATGAATGGTAAAACATTGATTAACTGAAAATACAACAAGTCGATACACCACAACACAAAACAATAGACAAAGAGGCTGAATGATACTTTCATCAATGGTGGACGTGGTTCCTCTGGTAATCCAAGAGGTGGTCTAAAGGCAGGGTCAAGGTCGGCACTCCTTGATTATTCTGCGACCAACCATCAAAACATTGAATAACAGAAAGCACAATGGGTCGATATAATAGTGTTGTAAGTGGTAGTGAAATAGTGGTAGTGAGATAGCGGCAGTGAGGTCGATGTAGTAAAGTGGTGGTAGTGAGGTAGTGAGGTAGTGAGGTAGTGAGGTAGTGAGGTAGTGAGGTAGTGAGGTAGTGAGGTAGTGAGGTAGTGAGGTAGTGAGGTAGTGAGGTAGTGAGGTAGTGAGGTAGTGAGGTAGTGAGGTAGTGAGGTAGTGAGGTAGTGAGGTAGTGAGGTAGTGAGGTAGTGAGGTAGTGAGGTAGTGAGGTAGTCGGTGAAGTAGTAGCTGAAGTAGTAGCTGAAATCGTCGATGTAGTTGAGGTTGTCACGTCTGAATAACCGTAATGATAAGTCCCTTGAATTTTCCTTGGATGAGATGTCAGGTTTGGGACATTGAGTGATATATTAATATTGATTATTTCGTTTATAAAGGAGCCTATGTTAACTAACGCTGAACATTTAACATTGACCTCGAGCCGGTCGTGTATTTTTTCTAGTAGAGAGTTAGATTAAGAACCTAAATATTAGATGCGTTGGTATATGAAAACTTACAATAAGTAGGCTTTGACAATAAAGGAATTAATGACGGCTTGACATGACTATATGACTCCGAGGTTAAGTCAAGGAGGTGTTTGTCTATTAGAGTGTTAGATCAATAACTTGGGCATTGAGTGCATTGGGTGTATTGACATAAGAGGACTTACCAATAGACGACTGCAATATGTTGAACGTGATAATAGGAAAGAAATTTGAGAGTGTGTGGTTATGGATAGTATGGTATGGAGAATAGTTGTTGATAGTTGTTGATAGTTGTTGATAGTTGTTGATAGTTGTTGATAGTTGTTGATAGTAGTAGATGGTAGTAGATGGTAGTAGATGGTAGTAGATGGTAGTAGATGGTAGTAGATGGTAGTAGATGGTAGTAGATGGTAGTAGATGGTAGTAGATGGTAGTAGATGGTAGTAGATGGTAGTAGATGGTAGTAGATGGTAGTAGATGGTAGTAGATGGTAGTAGATGGTAGTAGATGGTAGTAGATGGTAGTAGATGGTAGTAGATGGTAGTAGATGATATTTGTAGAGGTAAATAATAAAAAAGTTGAGAAAAGTGAATGGTAAGAGGAAAGAAATAAAAATCAAAAAGACGGGGGAAATCACTTTTATTTATACTTCCTTACTATCGTTTTCAATAGAAATAAAACTTCTTCTTATGGAAATTTCTAAATCAACTAAAATCAAATCTAACATTGATTCCGTTGTTATTTTTTTTTAACTAGAGATACTTTTCACATGCTAATCCCTATTCCTTAAGAGCCATCCTAGTAATAAATGTTCATACTTTTCACAGATATATAAACTATACGCCATTTATAATTATTTAAAACCTAGATATATCGGATATATATTTTGCAATTGAAAATAATAACTAGAAGTTAACATAAAAAAATATATATATAACAATAACCTATATAGATATATTAAATCCACTAAAATTTATTTTGCTACCGGACCACATTAAAAAAGTTAAATTTGATGCTGAAACATAATCATTTTTATTTTCTCATTGGCACAATATCTGTATCAGTGAATTGACAGATTGTTTTTGTTTATTCGATGTAAAAATGAAATGGAAAATTTGTGACCCTTAAATTGAAGAAGGCTCTTTTAGGATCCAGTAGGATATAACTGAAATATTATATCATTTAAACCTCTTGTTTCTTTTTTTTTTCTTTCTTTTTTTTTTTTTTTTTTTTTTGCTTTTATTATTTTTATAAATTTATTTGTTGAAAAATTTTTTTAATAATTCCAACATTTGAATCTCTTCAAATTCCTAATAAGACCAACCATCATGTTATAGAAAGTAGGAAGTTGAACAGTTGTATTATATCAAATTGTATTTTATTCAGTCATTTCATTATCACTTGAACTTTGCATTTTTTCTTCTTCCTCAAACTGTTGTTACTCTCATTAACTGTCACTGTTTTGTTTTATAAATGTACATGTAGAAAAAAAAAATCATAACAATATTAATTTTTTAGAATTTATTATATCTAATGATAATCAACCATAATTAAATATATTTCAATATAATTAAATTATAAATCAGATTTTACTAATTTATACATATAAGTAAATTTTCTAACATCAATATTCTATTAAAAAAATTAAAAAACATGCAAAAAGTTAAGTGCCTCGAGCCGGATTCGAACCGACGATCTCGTCATTACTAGTGACGCGCCTTACCAACTTGGCCATCAAGGCATCTCGATTTCTTGTATGCATTAAACTGGGCTGGCATCAAATGGCAAAATTTCTATACAATATTTAATAAAATATGGTTTTTTGTTTAATAACGTTTTTTATAATTATTTGATTTGTTCATTATATATCGAGAATTACTTTATTTTTTTAATTTTTGTTTGTTTTGGATGATTTATAATTAATTATTGATATTTTTCACTTGGGTTAGGGTTGACTTATGAGGGCAAGGGTTTTTTTAAGTAGGTTTGCCGAATGTGGTAATAAATGTATCTTTTATGGAGGAGTTAGTAAAAAAGCTATTTATAGTAATATTCTTGAAGTTTTTGTACTAGCCGTGTTGTAGGTTAGGGTACCCTCATACAAATTTTCAAAGATGTTGTTGAAAAATCATGATGACCTGTTGATTGCTATGAATTCCGCAAGGGTTAGGTTCATCTAAAATTACCTCTTTGGGATTTAAGGGGTTTTTTTTTTTTCCTTTCTCTCTCTTTAACACAAGAAAGTCATTTGTCTAAAATTCTTACCAGGGCTAGGGTATTTTTTTTTAACACCGTTTTACTCTGAGAATTATTCCCCTTTAAATACATAAATAGTTGAGATTCAAAAAGAAGAAAAAAAAAATTCATGAAAGTATATTTAAAGAAATAATTTAAGATATTGTTTCTTTTAAATTAAAAATAACAAAAAATTTAAAGAGATTTTGAATCGCGTGGACCATCCCATCTAATCGTCCTGTTCTTTTTTTTTTTTCTTTTTTTCTTGTTTACTTCGCGTAGAAATCCCCTTGTGTATATTTTCTAAGCAAAAAAAAAATAAAATAAAATAACTTGATTGGCAATTATACTCGATGATGAAAATTATCTTTACTTTAACAAAAAAAAAAATTTTTTTGAATATTTCTTATAATCTCATCTCGTTAGAATTCCTATGTCAATAATTTGTCCCACTTCCGAGGCCTGGTATTAATTTAAACCCAGAAATTTTGGTCTGTCAAAAGTTTTGTTTTAATTGCCGAGTAGTTTTATATAAAGCCGTCCCTGTTTTTTAAAAAAAAAAAAAAAAAAAAAGCCCCTCCTTTTCATCCCCACCAAAAATTTATTTCAACTGTTTTTTTTGTTTTGTTTTTTTTGGCTTATCTCTATGAGAGATCAAGTATGAGACATTTAAATAACTATCATAAGATACCTCTTAAAAAAAAAAAATAAACATCCGCCGAGGCATCTCCTTTAACCAGGTCACGTGCAGTCACTCAAATTGTAATTCAAAGTTCCTCTCTCTCTTTTTTTTTCTAATATTTTTTTTAATACTGCCTGAATAATAATTTATTTAATTAATATAACCTCTTTAATCCCAATATCCTTTACATCCCCTCCATTTCTCCGCAAAAAAAAAAAAAAAAAAGAAATCCACCACCTCCTAAAAGCTCCCTTTTTTTTTTTTTTAATTTTTTTTTAATTTTTTTTAATTTTGGTCTCTTCACTTTTACCTCCTTCTTTCTGGCCAACCACACGAGACCTCTTCATTAACAATCATCTCCACCGTTGATCCTTTTTTTTTTTTTTTTTTTTTTTTCTCGCCATTAGTCTCTTTCCCTTTTATTAAACACATATTATACACATATCCAAATACTCACAATGGCATCCTCCTCATCTCCCTCTGCAAAACCTGCAGCCACCGTGTCGTACTTTCTTCGCCTGATTGCACCACCCGCTCTCCGCAGCGAGTCGCGTATACGTGCGACCAACACCAATCTGGGGTCCTACGGAACCCATGATGCCAATCTTGCCTTTACCGGTTACGGTCTTCTTTTCGTGTCGGAGGTTTTGAAGCGTGTTGCTACTGCTGCTACTACTACTGTTGCTTCTGCTTCTTCCACCACAGACTCGGCAGTGTCCACCACCTCTAAAACTAACCCAGCCATCGGCTTGCTTGCCAAACTCTTGTTTGCCCGCAACGCTCTCACGGGCTCACCTATTGTCTCGCCAGCCACTGTGGCCGATGTAGCCACACGCACACGTACATTCTCGTCGCTTATATCCGACATTCGCATCTTTAATCGTCTCTGGGGGTTGGTTCCTCTCGCGGTGTGGGCCTTTGACACAGCTGCCGCGCCGCCCAGTGATCCTGTGCTTCGTGCTGTGGCCTATATCCAGGTTGCTGCCAACTTATTGTATCAGCCACTTGAGAATGTGGCATACCTTGCAATGCACGGAATCATTGGCGGAGTTTCTGATGACGCCCAGATGAAGCTGTGGATCTATTCGTGTTACTTGTGGGCCGCCCATGTTGTGCTGGATTTCATTCGCATTGCTAGAGAGTACGTGCTAGCCAAGAGAGTAGCAGCGGCTAGCGAAAAGGGAGGCGAGAAGAAGGTCAAATGGACTCAATGGTGGCAGTCCATTGTTATCAACTTGTCGTACTTGCCTCTCACAGTTCACTGGTCCCTTGAAAAGGGATGCTTGCCTGATATTGCCGTTGGATTTTTGGGTGCTACTGCTGCTTTGGCTAGCATTTATCCTAGATGGACTACCATTGCTGCGATCCAGGATGAGCCTGTCAAGGCAAAGGAGGAATAAGAGAGAGAGAGAGAGAGAGAGAGAGAGAGAGAGAGAGAGAGAGAGAGAGAGAGATAGAGAGAAATGAAATGGGTTTAATGAGTAAATATATATATATAGAGATCAATTGGGACTAACTAATAAACAATTTTTTTTTGGAGTATTTTTTGTTCAAACAAATGTCAAATTTTCTTTTATTGAACCGATTTTTTCTAAAAAAAAAACTATACCCTAATATTTATAAAAAGAACAAAAATAAAGGAAGGAAAAAAGAAAGAAAGAAAGAAAGAAAGAAATAAAACAACTATACTACACATGAATTGGATGATAAAATATATATCCCAGAGTGAAAATCATTCATACTATAAAGTACGAGTTTTCAGAAGCCTTGGTATGAGCAACCTTCAAATCAGTCAACGAGCTACGCGGAATGACACGGCGGCTCGCATCCAAGGGGTCTTCTGCTGTTTCTTGTACTTCTTCATCTCCAGTATCATTCAGGTGTCCTTTTAAGTTGTGCATTGACATGGACCCCCGGAACCGACGCAAGCTTGGGGCTCGCACATGTCTGTTGCGCAACACAGCACTGGTCGAGGCTGCTGCAGGAGGCGGCAAGACCACTGGAGTTGTTGCAGTTGCCAATGATGAAGAAGATGTTTGAAGTTGTTGATGCTGCTGTTGCTGCTGTTGCTGCTGTTGCTGCTGTTGAGAAGCAGGTCCCACGTTACTTGCAACAGGAGTACGTGTCGATCCACCCACCATCACAGACCGTGACTTGGCATGCATATGTCTTGCACTGCTGCTGCCTGTTCCATTAAGGTGTCCGGATGGTGAGCTGGAAGATAATGACGATGATCCCGCAGTGGCTGGAGTCGCAGCTGTGCTTCCAAGAGAACCGTGTCTACTGAGTGGATCGCGCGCATCATCTCCTACTGTCACGTTTTTAATATCCTCAAAAAAGGACCAAAACTGGGATCCAAGTTCTTCAACAACACGCTTGCCAAGGTGCAAAACCTGATCTGTGGCTCCGGCACCCGGTGCATGTGGATTCATTTTAGGATCATAAAGTCCTGTATGGACACCAGTTTCGTCGACCACCATTGTGTGTGCAGGGTAGCGCTGGAAGTTATTGTGATCTGGTGAGCCAGACGAGGGGGTGGAATGGACAACATTGGAAGAATTAGGCAACATTTCTTTACGAATAGCACCAAAACCTGATCCAAAGGCACCGCCATTTTGAGCAGGTGTGCTGCTTCCAATAGTTGTTGCTGACGTGTTATAATCGTCCTCATCAGCCTCTTCCATAAGTGGGTCAATGAGGGAAGAGGTGACTGAGGAAGTTGACGAGTCTGAAAGTGAAACCGAGTGGCGAGAAGAAAAGGATGAAGTTGAAGATGTCGAAGATTGCAACGGAATATGTCTTCTAGATAATGACCCTTGACGAGAGAGGGAAGGAGCAGGGGAAGAACCGACAGAACCACCAGAACCACCAGCACTACTGCCAGTCTTGTGGCCAGATAAAGTCGAGAATGGGATGTCAGAAGATGCCATTTGCGAGTGCGAAATGACAAGTCTACGAGACTGGGACTGTGATCGGCGGAGAGACGGAGTAGATGATTGTTTTGGGGAGGTCATAGTAGGTGCATTGTGATGGGTATTATTAGAGGGTATACTAGAGCCATTGTTATTGTATGAAGAAGAAGAAGAAGAAGAAGAAGAAGAAGAAGAAGAGGAAGAGGAAGAGGAAGAGGAAGAGGAAGAGGAAGAGGAAGAAGAAGAGCCGGCTGTAGCAGCTAGGGCAGCAGCAGCTGCGGCTGCAGATTGAGAATGAAGGTGGCTTTGGGAACCGCTAGGTTTAGCGGATGCAGATTGGCGGGGAATGAGGTCAGAGGTGGGGACTTGCTTTTTAAAGTCTTCTAGATCGGACTCAGCTTGCTTGAGATTTTGCTGCATGCGCTTGATTTCGTCACGCAGCTCGACGATGCGACGTTCACGGTAGGCCAGCTGTGAGAAGTAGTACTCAATAGCTGATGAGGCTGCTGATGCAGGGGGTGGCGAGACCGGTTGGTGTTGGTGTTGGTGTTGGTGTTGGTGTTGGTGTTGGTGTTGGTGTTGGTGTTGGTGTTGGTGGTGGTTGTTGCTGTTATTATTTTGATATTGCTGCTGGTGATGATAAAATGTATTTGTATTGTTTGAAGATGGTGGTATTGAAGTTGGTCCGGTTGCAGTTACAGGGGAAATATTGAGTGGGCTGAACTGAGACGGTGGGACTGAAGCAGAATTTGTCGGTTGGAGCACCAGGGTTGTTGTTGAGGAGGAGGTTGAGAGCCCGGTTTGAGGTGCTCTGGGGTCCGTCAAAGTGGTTGTGGAGGCCGAAGCTTCCGGGAGGTTCTCCGGTCCGGAAGAATCGGTGGGATAAATTTCTGGAGGAGGATGTGGTTGGAGCCTCGAGTTACTGGCCACTTCTGATTGTGAAGCCGATGTTGCTACTGGTGCAGATGCTGTTGCCGCTGTTTCACCTTCTAAGTTAGAGTTAAGCGAGACATGCGTGCTTCCGGGAGATCTAATAGGAGAGAGAGTGATTGAAGATGAGCGGAAAGGTCTATTTTTGATACCATTTGGAGGATTAACTGCTGCAGCTGCTGCAGCTGCTGCTGGAGAGTCTGGAGAAGTGCCTGCAGAACTGTAAGATCCGATGGAAGCGGCCGAGCCAATAGATGAAGCTGAGTTTTGGGCGCTATGAGAGTATTTTGTAGAGCGGTATGTATAAGCAGGATGGTGATGGGATTCTGAGAGGGGGGATATGTTGTCATCTGGAGAATCTTTTATAGCTGCCAGAGATGAGACTGTCATTGAACGAGAAAGTCCTGATGGGGTATTTGATTGGGATGATGAGAAAGAAGATGAGGGGGTGGCAGTGCCATTAGCATTAGCATTAGCATTAGCATTAGCAGTAGAAGTAGCAGTGGCAGGAGACAATCCAGATGAGGAAGGGCTCGAAGCAGTAAGATGGGAAGATAATGTCATGGAGGACTGTGAAGAGGGCATTCTCGATGGCGACTGGATTTGATTGTGGCCATTGTTATTATTGTTTGTATTAAGGGAGACTGATCGACGTTGTTGATGGAAGTGATGGTCTGTTGTTGGAGCAAAGTTTGTAAAAGAGATGGAGAGACGCTTGCGGGTTCTGTTTGGTTTAGGTGGAGCAGAAGTTTGAGTCTGAGCTTCAGGCTGAGAAGATGAAGATGAAGAAGATGGTGATGAGACCGAGTTAAGGACAGCCATTGGAGATTGAGTGTGAAGCTGGAGTGGTAATGGTGAGTGGGCCTGAGTTGAAGGGTTGGCCGACATTGTTTAGACCAAAAAAAAAAAAAAAAGTAGGAGAAGAAATAGAGGAAAGAAAAAAGGTAAAAGAGAAGAAAAAGGAGTTTTTTTCTTTTTTCTTTTTTCTTTTTCAATCAATCAATCAATCAATCAAAAATGGTTGGAATGCAGTATATACTATGGTGATACAGTCAGTATATATTAACGACACAGAATGGGAGTAGCAGTTGAAGAAGAATTGGAAAAAAAAAAAAGTTATGAGATTGTTGGCGTAAAAATTAGTACTATTGGGTATACGAATGACGAAAAGAACAATAACAATAACCTTTTATATATAAATATATAACCAGAGTAGAAAGAAAACAACAACAACAAAAAAAACTTTGACTTTAACTTTGAACTGAATGGAATTTGAATTGAAATTGATTCACCAACAAAGAAGTTAAGAATTTATTGATTGATTGAAGGTTTCTTCAAAGAAAAAAAATAATAAAGAAAGAAAAAAAAAAGCCTTTTAGTGTAAATTCAGGAGGTTTTTTTTTTTTTTTTTTTTTTTTTTTTTAAAAAAAACAAAAATGATTAGCGCTTAAAATGTCTGTTGATTGCAAAGACAAAATTAAAATTTTGTGAGGTGGTGGTGGTGGTGGAGTTTAGGCTATTTAGGCTGTTTTAGACTGTTAAAGATTATTTAAATACTCTACTAGCTGGCTGGCTGGGTAGATTGGAATATTTTATTTAAGGGGGCGGCGGAAAATCGCCAAAAAGAAAAAAGAAAAGTTACACTTGGAATGCAGGGGAAACAACAAACACGAAAACAAAAAGACAAAATAGGAATAGAAAAATTCTTAGTTAATAAAACTATTTAGAACGTTAAAAGGGGAAGGGGGAAGGGGAGGAGGGTAAAGATTTTGTTACATCAAGGGGGCGTGTAACAAGAATATATTTGTAACAGAAACAAAGGAATGTAATGTAACAGAATTTAACCGTGTAACATGATTATATAATAATTTTTATGTAATTAATTTTTTTTTTTTTTAGTCTTTTCTTGATTAATTTAATATTTTTATTTAAACCATTTTAAATTAATTTTAAAGTTAAAGAAAATGTTACAAAAAAAAAAAAAATTAAATAAACCAGCTGATTGCTCACGTGTCAAGCATTCCCACCCCCACTAACCACGGGCTCAATGCAAAGCAAAAAAAAAAAAAAAAAATTAGTGCGCGTGCACTCCAGCTGATTGTAAGGGCATCATCAAAAACACGAGCATATCACTAGCATTAACAAAAGAAAAAATAATAAAAAATAATAAAAAAACAAGAGATCAGATTGGTTCTTTCGATAGATCGATTTCACCAAAAAAAAAATCCAAAATACTCACATTAAAGTGACTGTTTTTTACCAAATTAATTTTTAAATCCAAAAAATAAAGTATAAAAAATATTATTATTAATTATTATTATTATAATAATTATTTTAATTTTTTTTTTCTTCCCTGACGGGAAAAAAAAAAAAAAAATTAAATAACCCTATCTAAGAACCCAGCCTTTTTTTTCTTGAAATTTCTCAACTTTATCTCCCAGTTTGTAGTTCTTGTCCTTCTCCCCCACATATATATATATATACTAGTACCAAAGCCTTTCTCTTAAAAAAAAAAAAAAAAAAAAATTATATAAGTTAGTTTCCTCTGTTGTTGTAGTCATAGCAATCAATCCAGCCCCCAGTGGGTCCCATCCGCCTGCCGACCACGCGCCCAGCCATGTGTGCAACCGGTTGTGAATGCTGTAGTAGCAGAAGCAGAAGCAGCAGCACCAACGGTAGCAGCACCAACAGCACCAGCACATTAAATTATGTAACAAAATAGTGTAATGTAATTTAACTTAACATAAAGTGATGTAATTAATCAATTGCATAGAGTAATTCGCCATATTTTTGGCTGGATGGCTGGATGGCTGGCTAATTGGTTTAGAAGTTGCACACACTGCTTAAATAGCGGGTCATATAATAATAATAAAAAGAATATAAAAAAAAGGCTGCCACATTAATAGTAGGTGAGTAGAAGAAGAGAAAGCAGTAAAATTTGCTTAAAGGCATCTAATGGAAATAGAAATAGAAATAGAAATAGAAATAGAAATAGAAATAAAAATAAAAATAAAAAAAATTTAATAATTCAAAGTTAAGGCGTACTGTTCTGGTTTTTAATAACAGGGACTTTTTTATATATATACGTGTAACAAAAACGACACAAGGCTGGGACTAAGAAAAAAAAAAAAAAAAAAAAAAAACACGAGCAAAAGAAATTCTCATTTTAAAATTCAAAATTATTTTAAATTTTTTTTTTTTTTTTTAAACTTAAAACCTTTATTAACTCTTTTTTTTTTATTAACATTTTGCTATATTCTTAATTACTATCTCATTAAACAACATACAAACCCTTAACTTCCATATCTCATATGGCAATCATCAAAAAGTGGAACAAAAGCAAAAAGGAAGCTAAAGCTCAGATCTCTTCGTCGTCAATAAACGGCTCCCAAGAGCACTCTACTTCAGCTTCAGCTTCCCCCGCTACCTCAAGCCCAAAGTCTTCGGAAGTTGGCTCTGCCCATGGCCAAGCACAACCATCTTCTGCTCCAACTTCACCTGAAACTCCACATACCCATAGAGGAACAAATGCTCCCTCCGGGTCAGGAACTGATGACTTAAAGTCTCCAACCAGTAACTACTCAGACAACTCAGCTGCAACAAGTATGCTTAATACAAAATCTTCAAACTCGGGCTTTGGAGGGTATCCCCAAGGCTCACAACAGCAACAAGGCCAGCAACAAGGCCAACAACAATATTATGACTCCTCATATAACCCAAATGGATCTCATCAGGTTATTTACTCTAATAATAACAATAATCCTGGAGGACCTGGAAACAATAAACAGGGTCCTTCTCAAGGTTACCAAAACCATCCAAATCTCAATGGTCATGGTTATCCTAATCAACAGCAACAGCAACAGCAACAGCAACAGCAACAGCAACAGCAGCAACGAATGAACCCACAACAACCTCATCCACAAAGTTCTATGCAGAGCATTCATCAACAGAAATACCCATATCTGGGACCTCAACAGCAACAGCAACAACAGCATCAGCATCAGCAACAACAGCCTCAGCCTCAGCCTCAGCCTCAGCCCCAGCCCCAGCCTCAGACACAGCAGAAGCATCAACAACAGCAATATCCTCAGCAGAAATTGCAACCCCCGGTGCAAATCCAACAACGCTCACAATATGCTCCTGGAAACCCTGGTCCACAGAATTGGAATGGACAACAGCAACAAAAGCCTATGCAACAAGCTCAACCACAGGGTCAACCGGGACACCAGCAGCAACAGCAGCAGCAGCAACAACTTGGTCCGCAGCAAGGTCCACAGCAGGGTCCATCTCAACAAGTTATTCAACAGCAGCAACAACCACTTCTTCAACAACAACAACAACAACCCCTTCAACCTCAGCCTCAACCTCAACCTCAACAGCCTCAGCTTCAACAACAAGCTTCCCAACAAGGCCTTATGCCCCAGTACCCCTGGTCCCAAAGATATATTTCAAACGCTTCCCCCTTCCCTCGTTATGGCCATGCTGCTAACCACATTGCAGCCCGTGATGGTGAAGTTTTCGTCATGGGAGGCCTCAAGGGTTCAAACGTTTTTGGCGATCTTTGGGTCATTGAAACTGGTATGAAATTGTCTTTTTTTTCTTTTTTTTTTTTATACACCCCATCTATTATTCCCCTGAAACTTAACATCCCCCCCTAACTTTCTTTTCTCTATATAGATACTCTTACAGGATATCTTCTAGAAACTGAAGGATGCCCTAGCCCCCGAGTCGGCCATTCAGCCCTTTCTCTCGGAAACGCCTTTATCGTTTTTGGTGGTGACACTAAAATTGAGGAAACAGATGTTCTTGATGACAATCTTTACCTCCTCAATACAAACACTCTCAAATGGACTGTCCCTAACCCTGTTGGCCCGAGACCCTCGGGCCGTTATGGCCATACAATCTCTACCATTGGCTCTACCCTTTACGTTTTTGGTGGCCAACTTGATGATTACTTTTTTAATGATCTGATTGCTTATGACCTTTCCACCCTTCAATCTCCAGAAACTAAATGGACTTTTATCCGTCCCTCAGGTCCTTCCCCACCCCCTCGCACAAACCACACTGTAGTCACTTTTGAGGATAAACTATACCTTTTTGGTGGCACAGACGGAAAACTCTGGTATTGCGATACTTGGTGCTACGATCCTCGCAAAAACTCTTGGACAGAACTTGATTGCGCAGGGTACATTCCCTCGCCTTGCGAAGGTCATTCTGCAACAATTGTTGGAGATATTATGTACATTTTTGGTGGCCGGTCTTCTGATGGAAAAGACCTGGGTTATTTGTCTGCCCTCAAGATTGCCTCGCGTAAATGGTTTAGCTTCCAAAATATGGGACCTGGACCCACTCCTCGCTCAGGTCATACTATGAGCGCCTTTGCTGGCCACAAGATTCTTATTATGGGCGGCGAGTCACCGGAATTTGATGACCAGGATATTACACCAACAAACACTGTTTACGTTTTGGACACATCGCGCATTAATTATCCGCCCTCAGCTAGCGAGTCTGCAGCAGGAGGTGTAAGAACTGGTGCAGCGACAACTCCAAGACAAGTAGATGATACTCATGGAGAACTGCACGAACCTCAACAAGAGTCTCAGCATGTACAGCCTCAGCAACAACAACAACAACAACAACAACAACAACAACAAAATGTACAGCAACAAGTTGATAAGCCAGAATCAAGAGAGTTAGATGGCATTAAAGCAGTTCACCCGGAGGTTGTGACTGTGGCTGCTGCGACAGGACAATCTTCTGATGTTACCCCTATCCTTACCCCTATGCTCATCAAAAGTCAGGAAGAGCCTAAAGAAGATGCGGAAGAGTCTGTTCTTGTAACAGCTCTTTCTGAACTTAAACAAGAAGTCGAGGAGGTTCGTGAGAACCTCAAAGAACAAACTCTCGAAGCGTCACAGAAAATTTCAGCTGTTGAAGCCGAACGCGACGAAGCACTTTCTCGTATCAAAGTTTTAGAACAACAGTTACAATCGGAAGGTTCACTTTCAACTATTGGTGTTACTTCGCGGACTATTCTTGATGCAGACCCGAACCTTGAAAAAGTCATGGCTAAGAATGTAAGCTTGGAACAACAAGTCCACGATTTATCTGATAAATTGATTTTGGCCAACCACGAATCATCCCTACTCAAGACCCAACTAGAAGACATTCAGGGGCGGTTTAAAGTGATTGAGGATTCTACTGAGAGCCATGTGAGCACACTAACTGCAGCAACTCTAACTTTGACTACAACCCAATCACACCTTGCGGAAACTGATAGGATCTTGACAGCCAAGAATGAAGAGTGCACAAGAGTTGTAGCAGAAAACGCGAGTCTCAAATCCGAGCTGGAGTCTACCAGGGCTCAACTTGAAATCTCACAGAAACAGCTCGAGGAAAGTAAGCAGTTTGCTTCAGGAATTGTTGCAGAGAGTCAACGGAATGTTGATACTCTTAGCTCGAATGTAGCATCAATTGCAGCCATGTGGGCAGGCGCCAAGATGTTTCAAAGGGTGAAATCATCCTCTCCGTCGGCTCGTGGTCTTGATGATGAAGAAGAGGACGGTGACAGTGAGACTGGATTGTTACGACGACAGATTGAAGAAGTTACTGCCATGTACAAGAGCCAGCAAAAGACAAGTGCGGACGCAACGCGTGACCTAGCTCTGATCATGGACCAGGTTGCGGATTTGAAGCAGCAAGTGGCCGAGTCCGATACTCTGGTTAAGACGCTGCAAGAAAAGCTAGATACAGCTGAGCAGGATCTGACTATACACCAAACACAACAACGTCAATCTTCAGAGGAAAGCGATGGTCGTGTTGCAACGCTTGAATCACAGCTGGTGCGGTTGAAGCAAGATATGGCTGAATACGATGAAAAGTATCGTGCGCTAGAAAGCGAGCACGACACATCATTGCAGTATACCAACACATCCGAAAAGGCCTTGCTTAAGACGCGTGAGGACTTGGCCAAGTATAAAGATCAGAATGCTAAACTTCAGGAAGAAGTCAACAACCTAAAGCTTCAAATAAAGGATGATGATGATGAAGCCGGGTCTGTGGGAGACAGCGATAGCGTTACACGGAGCCTGACTTCTGGAGCTGGTGGTAGTGGGCGTTGGAACTCGCGGCAAATTGATTTGCAACTTCGTGATTTGCGTGCACAGATTATTATTTTGCAAGAGGAGCGGGATGATTTGCGTGGCAAGTCATTGGATCTGAAAAAGAAGCTGATTACCCAAGATGAAGAGCTGAAGGATGCTCAGGATCAAATTGAGCGGTTGACCCGAGAGCGGCGGGCTCTTGGAGGTAGTGCGGTTTCAATTTCCAATATTAAGACGTCACCAAGGACGCTCCAGAATCACCCAAGCACACCGCCACGGTCAAACGGTAGCGGGTCCACGAGTGGTGGTCTAGGAGGGGGGATTTACGAGACCCCATTAGAGCGGCTGGCAGGGGCGGCGGCAGCATCTGCTCAGTCGCCAGAAAGTCCAGTACACCCTGAGGAAGCTGACCAGACGCTGAGTGACTTGTCGAGCGAGCTGGATCGGTTGCGGGATGAAAGAGAACGATTGAGCGGGGTGATTAGCAATAACGCAGCGACGGTTGGACAAAACGTGCAAGCGGTTCAGGCTACGAGTTCAGGAAATTGATTTTTTACTTGTTATTGATGGAAAAGAAAATGTAAAAAAAAACATAAAGAAGGGTATATTTGGCTTGAGAAAGGACTTTTAATGGGATTAAGATGAGCCTTTACACTTTTTTTTTTTTTTTTTTTTTGGATATATAATTTTTTATTTTTACTTTGGGACAGACAACACAAATCTTTTAGAATCGACGATTTTGTGTTTTTTTTTAAATAAAAAAGCAGTTACTATTTATCATTTAAGGGAAATAAAAAGAATTGACAGATTGATTTATTATACAGGGATGATTTTAAACAATTAAACAAGCAAAAAAAAGCAAAAAAAAAAAAACACAGACGCTCGAGATGAAGCGGGAATCTATAAGAACCGTTATTAGCCTGAGTTGAGCAATTGGCTATGGTCCACATGCAAAAATTGATAACGAATGGATAAAAAAAAAAAAAAAAAAAAAGAGAGAGAGAGAGAGAGAGAGAGAGTAGAGCTTGATCATAAAGGTGGCTTCCATAATTCGGGTCGAAATATCAAAAGCAAATCACGAAACGCGTCGCCACTTGCCAGTACCTTCCGTTGCAGAATCTACTGGTCGTTCACCGACCCCGCATACCCGTACGCCATCCTCATCTTCGTCCTCGTCCTCGCGCGCACGCCGTGTGCCTGCCCGTGCCACAGAATCTTCTTCTTCCTGGAAACTAATTTCAAGTCCGGCCTCCCCAGCGCCACCCAGGGCTCCGTCCAGGTCATCTGCAGTGCCGGTTGTTCTTGCGACTACGTATCCATCTAGCTCTACGTCGACGTCTGCATCGGTACCAAAGTCAGACAAATCAAAGGCCCGCGGCTGGGTCATGTCCAAGTCATCGTAGGCAGAGGTTATGGGCGAAGAAGATGAAGGTGAAGGAGGATCGGCGTGGAGATTGGCACACGCGTTCAAGGACTCGTACATGGAATGGGCGGCAGGAGCAGTGGGCGTGGCTAGCCAAAGCTCAAGAAATGGGAATGGGTCAGGGAGTGAGAGCTGGAGATAAAGAACAGAAACGCGAGTAATTCCGTGGAGTGTTATTGAGGTGTATGGTATAGCGACACCTTGGTTATATTCTGGGAGCCATAAGAAGAAGCGGCTAGGTATTAATTAATTTTGTTAGTTAGTTCGTTAGTTAGTTAGTTAGTTATTGGTCGAATGTTTGGAATGTTTGTGTAATAATCTATACTTACGAAGACGAGATTTTCACATTGGCCAGAATTTGGTGGCTGCCACTTTCACATGCACTTTTGACGCGTGTCAAAACATCTTCTGTGGCATTTGACCCTGCACAACGTAGCAGCTGGTCAAGATGCGGGGCCTCGAGAGGCAAATTGTCGGCAACGTAGTAGAGAACTGGCGATTCTTCGAGTGCAAAGGAGGCTGGGGTTGACGAACGGTACTCTGCCAGAGAAACGAATTCTGTGGGGAGTGGGTCTGCGTCAATGCTCGTGATTGTGAGCGGCGAGGTCATATTGACGAGAGAGAAATCTGGAAGAAAAGAGATAAGTATATGGGGATAAGTTTCAAATGGGTAAAAAAAAAAAATAATAATAATAATAATAATAATGAAAAGAAGATTCTAAGAAGTACCTTTTTGTTTTAAAAAAAAATATTAGCTAATAAAAAAAATATAAAAAGGTTTCTAAAATGTTCAAAAGGAGATATCAGGCTAGTATATAGATGGAATGCTGCACTGCTGGTCTTTGAAATGTTTCTTAAAGACTTAAAAAAAATGCGTGTGTATGTGTGGGGCGATGGCGGCGGTGTGGTTGGGCAGTCTTTTTTGTTTCAAATGAAAAAAAATGTGTGTGTGTGTGTGTAAGTGCGGCGATGAGTTTGTGAATGTGAAAGTTTTTAAAGATTGTTTTTTTTAAGAGAGCTAATTGAAGAGCGTATATTTATTCTGACAAAAAGATGGAGATAAAAATGTATGAAAATTTAGAGAGAAAAGTGAAAATTTCCTTTTTTTTTTTTTTTTTTTAAAAGCAGATTTTTTATTTTATAAGTAAAAATTTGTTATTCAAAATAAAAATTAGAAATTTGGATATTTTTTTGAGTGAAAAACAAAATATAAAAAAAAAAAACAAACAGCAGTATTCTTTTTTTTACCTCCAAAAAGAAAAAATAAAAGTTTTTCTCATTTAAACTACCGAAACTCGAGCGGCTCAAAAATTTTCACGCTTAACAAAAAAAAAACATAAAAAACCCTAGCCCTAATAAACGCGTAAAATAAAAAAATACGCGTAAGACGTGTATGAATGGCGATATCCGGGTAACTTAAGATTTTGGAAGAAAAATCCCGTGCCAAAAAATCCTCCACAGTATTTTCAAACCTCCGTCAAAAAGATTAACTTCAACACTTACCATCAATTTAAACATAACTACATTTTAACTAACAAGCTAAGATATATTGATCTATTCAATATACAACCTACTAAAATAAATACTACAAACCATGATCTACAGAAAGACATCTTGTCCCAAATAACCCACCCCTCATGAGTTTTATCAGTGACAAGGACTTTGATGAACAATTCGATGATCTCTCTGATTCTGACATCTTCCAGTCCTTTAACAATAACCCCCCACCACTTGAACCACTTCAACAAAAACAGCAACAGCAACAGCAACAACGACAAAAACAACAACAACAACATTCTCAAAGACAACTGAGAACCTTATCTACTGTAAAAAAAAGTAATGATATCCAGAAACAGACTTCCCAACCAAATGAATCGTCTTCTAGCGACACATCGGTGACCCTTGCTGCCATCCCATCAGGCAATGTCACCAGTTCTGATCGCAACAAGCAGGTTAGTATGAAAGCTTTTACCTCCCCCTTTTTTTTTATACAGAATGATAAACATTAACGGGAATATATGCTAACTTAACCTTTTTATTTTTCATTTTTAGCTCGAAAATGAAATTGAAAGACTTAAGGCCCAGCTCCAGAAAGCAGAAGATGATCGCAACATGGCACGCGGAAAAGTTACAATTCTTGAAACAAATCTTGCCCGCGTTTCCACAGACCACAAAACAAGACTAGATAATATTCTTTATGAACATGAACTTCAACGTACTGCCCACCAGAATGCTGTCCAGCAACTAAAGCATGAGGTAGAGGTTGTTCAAAACGAAAGGGCACTCATGCAAAATGATTTGACTAGTTTGCAAGCTCGCGTGCGCGCACTATCTCAAAACGTGGCTGCAAATATCAACAGTCCAGTGAACCAGCAACAAAGAGGACAAGGAATTGGATCAGGCCCAGGAGGATTCGGAGCCCCCATGGGCCATCAGGAAATGCTAATGACCCAAGGTTCACCGCTAGCTGCTGCGAATGAACGTAGGCGTGGCAGAGGTGTTGGCAGTGATCTTGCGCCTTCGTTCAGAGATGGATTTGCAAACATCCATGCGAATGCAAATGGTGGAGCTGCGTCGCCAAAGAAAAGACGAATTGCACAGAACTTTTCAGACAAGGCAATCGAGCTGCGGAATCTTATGTCGGAGCCTGAGCAACAGCTTCAGGAAGATCAACTTGAGTTGGAACCATCGGGTTCGCTACAACCACCACCTGTTTGGCAACACATACATCCCAAAGTTTCACAACAACAGCAGCAGCAACAACAACAACAGCAGCAGCAGCAGCAGCAACAACAACAGCAGCAGCAACAACAACAACAGCAGCAGCAGCAGCAGCAACAACAACAGCAGCAGCAGCAACAACAACAGCAGCAGCAGCAGCAGCAGCAGCAGCAGCAGCAGCATCAAAAACAAAAACAACAGCTACAACCCCAACCACAACTACCCAAAAAACTAGATACCCCACCTCCATTTGTCACCGCTAAACTGAAGGCCCAGGAAACAGAAATCTCCGGACTTCGTAAGCAACTTATAGAGAATACCGCCCATGGTGAAGCCAAACAACAAACCGTGGAATACATTGAAATGATTCTTAACCATACTGTTTTTGGCAACTTTTCTCCATCCTGGGACATTCTTAGCAAGTGGAGTATGAAAATTGATAATAACTTTCTCCCCATTTCACGTATCCTTCAAGCTGCGCTTTTTTCCGATGAAACTGGAGACCCATCTGCTTCAACACTCACACAAGTCGTGGACAGTTTTCTTGAGCGATGTAAGGCAGTAATATTCAAGTGCATTGACGACAATCGTTACGGACCCATTCCTATCATTTTTCAGCTTATCAACTCTACCGTCAACTATTTCCCCGATGCTATTCTTCTTGAACATTCACTTACATCCTTCATCTGCTCCTTCATTGAAACTCACGCACCTTACCTTAAATCTCTTCCCAACTCTGACAAAATTTCCAAGTGGACGTACGACCCCTTTAAGCTCCCAGACTTATCATACCTACACCCAGTTAACATGGATTCCCAAATATACCCTAACGACGCATTCAAAGAAATCAGCATTGTTTACTCGCTTGACCTTCTTGAAAATGTGTCAACTCATGCCGGAGCTTTGTCTTCTGACGCTTACAAGGCTGTTTGGGGCAGCGTCCCTTATAGTACCATTTCCTTGCTACTTAGCAACAAAATTACCTCCAACATTCTTTTGAAAGTAGTGCTGGCATTGCTTTCTTCAGTTTCTAATAATACCATTGGCTCCATCCGCCGTGAAGTGCTCACAAATAACGTGCGCGCTGCAGAAGAAAGTGCAGCAGCAGCAGCAGCTACTGCGGCAGCTTCTGCAACTACTGCTGATAAACGTGGTACCACTCCTGACTTTTCCCGATCAACAACACCCTTGTCCAATAGCATTTTCGACCGATCTAATACCCCACAAGAACGCAACGAGCGTGAGCTTATCTCTGCGCTATCTGCACTTCTTGTTGACAACATTAACGCGCGACACGTCCTTCTTTTTGCTGGTCTCGAAACCCTTTCCTCAACCAAACAAAACCCGTCACTCTTGAGCCACTCGTTCACTTACATTTACTACAATGACGTTTACAGTCTGGGGAAAACAACTGCATGCACACTCACAACTTCAAGCAGTGGCACAAATAGCCAACAGACAAGCATATCGTTCTCAGAACCACTCAGGTTTGCATCGTTGTACAAGAGCCCTGAGCAGTACTACCACGAACTTGCTGGACTCAACACAGCAACAACGCTGGTTCTACGGCGTGCTGTTATCAAATTCTTTTTACTGTGCTCTGTTACTAAATCGCCAACCGTCATTGCGCACTCCCGGCACGCTATGGTTGCAGTCATCCAGTGCATGGCCCGCCACCTCGACACCGTGTACCAAAGTGTGGAACCCGACACAGGTGCCGTTGCTCTCATTGCCGACTGCGTTACCCTTCTGCACAGCTTATGGGATTCGCTTATGCCACCACCACTGGCTCTCCCCCCAGCTATGGCCGACTCGCAGTTTGCCGAAGCTCACCCAGTCTCCAAGATTCTTGCTACTCTTCCGCATGGTGTCAGCTATGAGCTCGTGATTGCAATGTCCCGTATCGGGTTCAGTGGCGAAGGCACGACCGGAAGCGATGACGACATGCACGATGACGAAAAAGATGAGGATGATCTCCGCGACTTGATGCGCCCATTATTTTCTCCAGTAATTGTTGATATGGCACGCCAGGTTCTCGAGTACAATATTACAAGTGACGAGGCTGATTTTATTTGCATGCAACTGTCCAGCATTTAGACTAATATATAGACTTTTTTTTTAATTGCATTGTATACTGTAATTTGACTCTTTCATTTACTTCTTGTTTTCTTACTTTCTCTAAAAGCTATATAACGTATTGGTATCTTTGGAGGGAATGTCATTATCATTATCCTCTAAACTCTGCTCTATTCTACTTGAACCTAACGTCCCCAGACCCCAGAGTACCCTACATTGATTCCAATTTCCGCAGCCCCCATATTCCCGCGGCGTCCCTGCAATGGTTGTCGCGGTTGTTGTGACGACGACAATCCTGCATTGCTTCCAAACACTGCCGAAACCGGGCCCATGAACCCGCCATGGACACCGGTCCCCAACGCCAATCTTGAAAGCTTGGTAGCGTTTCCTGCGGGGCCCAAGAAACCGGCTGCTGGGGTTGCACAAAGCCCTGGAGACGGACCCGTGCTACCCAAAGGTAACACATTGGGCGGAGTCAGAAACGAAGACTGAGGAGTGGAGTAAAGCACAGGCAAAGAGGCACCAGTTGGTGACAACGATCCTTCTCGTGAATGCCCTTCCGAGTGACGCGAGAAAGACGACAATGGTGGCGGTGGAGAGTTTGTGCGACGTGGAGGGTTGAATGCATATAAAGGCGATGCAGTTACGGCCTCAGACACTGTTGTAAATGAACAGGAATGTAAGTCTTTAGAAGACTCTTCTCTGAGGCTATTTCTGGTGGTTGGAGCCTGCTGTCTATTGTCTGCAACCGGGGAAACAAACAGCGACGTGTTGACGTTACTGCGGCGCATGAGGTGCGTGAGAACTGGGCTCTTGCTAGCTACGCTCTCCACATCAATCAGAAACCGGACCCGTTTGGACCGGGAGCCGCCGCTGCCACCGCTACTAGTCACATTTGTTCCAAAGCTTGTATTAGAACCTGCACAGTTTGACGTCAGTGATGTCAGTGACGGTTTCCTGTGAGGGCCGCTACTACCCTTTCGGTTATTCTCAAAGCTCACACTTGCATTAACCAAGTCTTCTTCTTCCCAGCCGTCACCCTCGTACGACTCTGCTCGAGGACCCCGTCGCGGTGTCACAATTTTAGGCGACGCTTGGTTCACTGAGATACTTGTGAGCGAGGTCTCTTCATTGTGAATTTGAGTTCCTGCAGTAACTGCCGTTTTCTTCTTGATGCAGGACTTGAGTGGGGGTCTATCTGCATGGCGTCGACCCGTTGACTGAAACTTTTGAGTGGACGATGTGGACGAGTACGATGACGCTGAAAACCGGCGTCGTACAGTGTGATGATTAGGACCAAGATGCGTGTGGTGCTGGTGCAAGTGATGTTCGTGATCTCCGACATTATATCGCCGCCGTTTTAGAGTCTCACCGGACTTTGCATCACCCTGGCTAGGAGGTGGCACTGGGGGCTGAGGACTGTTTTCAGAGAAATAATACATGATTGGGTTTCCAGGAGAGTCTTTGCTTGACAGCGACCCAGACGCTGTACCACTGTCTAAACTATTTGCACTGACAGGATGGATATCACTTTTGGGTATTACAAATCCATTCGTTTCTGGCCCTTGCTTTTGGTAATGCACGCCATCATGATCAATAACAAACGAGCAACCTTCTTCTTTGTCCTTCACACTTTGTCCATGCCAACCAGAAACAATCTCTGATTGTTCTGCATTACTTTCTGTTGTTTCCGAGAGCGACTTGCGATCCGGCTCATTTTCAAAAATGTTGGTCGGTGAGTACCCCAGATCAGCTAAATACTTGTTGCGATAGGTATTGATGACCACCTCGTGATCCATAGCTGAGACTTCAGCGCTTGCCCCTCGCCGAATAATGCTTTCAAATGCTTGATCGAGAGGTAATACTTTGCAGATATCTTCTTCTTGGGGAGGAGTCACCATTATAGGTGGAGCAATGGAGGAGGGCGATGAGATGGGATCACACTGTTCAAGGGTATCGGGTTTGAAATTTTCTGTTAAAGAATTTGAATTTTTTGGTTTTTTAGGCGAGCTAGTAAATTCAGCAGCCGATTCAGGGTATGGTTCCTCAATGCGAATCGAATGGGTCCATCCGGGTACTCGAGCATGATTTTCATCTAACTCTTCTTCCTCCTCTTCGTCTTCTTCAAGTTTTGGATCAGCAGTTGAGCCAACAGATTTCTCTTCTTTTTGTTCTTCTTGTTCTTCCTCAATAATGGCTTTATTCCCTAGCTCCGATTTTTTATTCAATTCACTAGAATTCCCCCCAGTGTCCAGGTACTTGTGAGGCGTTGTCAAACATGCAATATAGCTGCTTGCACGATGAAATCTCAACTGGGTATCACTAGTCGGTTTAATTTCAACCGCTGGAGTCTCAAATTCTTCCACACTTTTATTCAACTCTGCATGATACCGCACTGTCTCCATTGCCTGCTTCTGCCCTGATAATTGCGACAACCGGGTGTAAATCTTCGTCGAACTATACTTTTCAGGGACCCGCACACTCCGCGACAATGAGTTGTATGGAAAAATCATTGCACTGCTGCCACTGCGGTAGCTTCCACTCCCTTCTCTCGTTTTGCGTAGCGACCCGCGTAACCGTGCTCCTGACCGATAACTTCCTCTTCTGCTGCTGCTGCCTCCATTCACCCCCTCATCTATGGGTAGCAGTGACCCGTTACTCGTACTGCGAATCCTGCTTCCACGACGCATTGTAACACTAGGGGTATATCCACGTTTCCCTGCCACTACTAAAGCACCGGTGGCGGCCGGGTCACCAGTCCCCACTCCGCGCTTGTAAAAAAAGATGCGCCGCACCTTATGCATAGCTTTGGCCACTACCACGCTAAACTTATGTGACTTTTTCTTAGACCCTTGGGCAGTGGCAGATGCCGCGGCGGCTGCTGCTGCTGTTGAAGCTGTTGAGGTATAGTGCGGGTGAACAAAGTTAGTATCTCCACTACTTTTGCGGTGCCAGTTTTCAGATTTCATAATTAAGGCAAAGAATAAAAAATGAATAGAAAAAAAGATATATTCTAGTGACGCAACGAAAATATTGGTGTATACAGGAATGATCTTGTGTAGTAAAAAGAAAATAGTGTGATTTCAACAAAGTTGTAAGTCTATAAAAAGGGCACATGATTGGAGAAAAGGTATTTGCAAATTGCCTAACTTGGGTGTTACACAACGGGTGTTTAATCAAGTTGGAGGTCCCTCATTTATTATTAACATTTATGTTATACAACTTACCATTATATAGATATACTAAGAATCCTTTTTATCCGCATCAACAGTTGGCGGTTTATTGTAGCCAAAAAAGCTACGGAATATTTCGTAAATAAGATAGAAGAAACATGTGAAGATGACCACCACAGAAACAACTTGCACTGTGGAGTAAGCTGAAAACGGAGCCACAGGGATATCAAACTCTGATCGCAGACGAGTGCTGGTAAAGTGGCTCGGGATAATGGGATTGAAATAGTAAAAAACAGTGTCATTGGGGAAAATGCTCTCATAGCCAATGCCTTTAGTTTCAATCGAAGCCGGAATTTTGGCTTCCAATTGGCTGTCCTTATCCGAAACGGCTTGACAGGCCCAAAACACCACGGGCCATGGTTGATGCTCATGGACCAGAGATGCATTCTGTTGAGGAATTTCGTATCGAGAGTGGGTAGGCAATTCGAAGTCCAAGTCTAATTTGTCGGAAACAGTGGTTGTATAAAGCTGTACAAGAGCTTCACTGCCCCATCCTCCTACAGCCCACACCGGGGCTTCGAGATCTGTTTCACCCCACACACCAAAAAGACGGCCTATTGGTGGACGGTTAGGTGTGGCTTCAGCAAGGTCTTTGAGCTGGTACTTGTCCAAAAAGAGAGACTTGTCGAAGGTGTATTTTGCAAAGAGGGCGCATCCGCTTTGTGGGACTCTGACGTTAGACATGTGTATTTCATGCTTAGGGTGTAAACCTGTAGGCCGGACAAAGTCCACATAGTAATTGGATTCACTATTTCTATGTTTGGTGGTATACTGGAAAAGTAGTTTTTCAGTTTTGTTTAAATCCAGGTCTCTGGAAAACCCTGCGAGGCCCCAGATGGAGTTCTTTGTGGTATACTCTGGATGGACTGCCAGCAGCCCCACCTCTACCTTTTCATTGGGGTATATTTTAGATATCGTAGACTCGGTCAAACCTAAGTCAGAAGCCATGGAAGTACGGTCACTCCAAAAGACTTCAAAAACAAGATCAGATTCCTTGTTAATAGGACGGGCATTGCTGGGAAGTGACCCATAGGTCAAGGAAAATGAATCTGCGTAGGTTAATTCTGCCAGTTGAGAAGTACATACTGAATTGGATTTATCGCATAGATTATTCTGAAGAGCCTCAGCAAGAGGTTTTAGGGTGTCTAATGGGGCATAAAGGGATTTCCATTGGAAGCCATTGACGAATTGCTAGAGAAAAAAATAAGTTAGAAGGGAGGTAAAATTTTTAAATATTGATGCACCATACCTTTTTCCCAGTAAATTCAACATTGAAAAACGTTTTGAGAAAGGAGGAAAGACCTTCGGTATCAATAGAGACACCATCTTTGGCCACAATTTCGACATGAAGACCTGATTCGCGCACAATGGAAGCGGGGTAGTTGTGGTTAAACGGAACATCACGGGACCACTTTACTTGAAGTTTATAAACTGAATTGAGTAATGCAGAGAACTATAAGGGAAACAATAAGAAACCAATAATGTTAGAGACAAAAGTGGTCATGATATGAGGAGAAAAGAAAAAAAGGGTATTTAAATGATACATACTTTTGGGTAGCTGGCTATCAGGTCGTAGGGGATGGTAATTTTGTCTTCACGTGGCGAAGTAAAATGGGAGGATGAGACCGACGCGTTTTCCTGTGAAAAGTCAAACTTTTCAATGGCATCTGGATCATCAAACTGAATAAAGAATGTATGACGACGGCGAATTGACATTTAGAATGGTGATATATATAAAAAGCTGAGGTAATGGATGATAGTTTAGATGTTGGTGGTAGATGTAGTGGTGGTGGTAGTGGCGGTGGTAGACTATTTGATGGGCTTAATTTGATATGCAGAGAGTATCGCGACGGCTGGCTTGCTAGTTTGCGGTGGCAGCTTTTTTTTGAGGCATGAACAGCACGATGAAGGGCTGTCAGTGCAGTGTGGCCGGGTAACTATTATTATTATTTTTTTATTGTTACCTTGACGCGTTTATTATTTTTGATGAGACACGACGCGTTTTAAAAGCCCTAACTGTGATACGCGTTGCGTTTCCATAGCAGCCTCAAAACCAGCCCAGCAATTTCAAAAGTAAACAAACAACCAAAATAAACAAATGCAAAACCGCGTTTTCTGGTGCTATGATAGGCGGAAACATTTAACTCCCACCACTACCACCACCACCAAATAATAATAACAACAATAATAACAACAACAACATCTTCAATATATCAACAAACCTACCTGCCTTTTATCAAAAACAACACATCCCAGCCCTTACCAGACACAGACCGTTTCGAATCCTCTGCATTTTTTTTTCACTCTCCTCCATCGTTCTTTTTGGTTTCTGTTACTGTTGACACTCTTTAGGTTTGGGTCGTTATACTCAATACATTAAACTGCTAGACATATTGGAAGATAAACTTACGGCTATTCTATCCTCAACTGTTCTTTCTTCACTTTTCCTCACTTTTCTGTTTTCACTTTACATTCCTTTTGCACTCTGTTTCATTATTTTTTACCATCATAGCAATCTCTTTTACTGCTTTTCCTTTCATCGCCATCATTAATGAATACCCAAAATCCTCCTCGCACACCTTCACCGCCGTCATCTGCACCGGATCCAGCCATGTGGGTTCCTCCAACCCCTCGCTATGCACCAATTGATGAGCCCGATAACTTCCCTGGAATTTCTAAATCCTATATTGCCAAATCGCGTCAACTTGAAGAAGCTGCTGCTGCTCAATCTTCTCAACGTTCTTCCAAACTCCTTACTCGCACACCGGCTCAACAGATTGTTGATAGAAGGCATCGGAGGCATGTCTCAGGTGAAGCTTCGCCCTGGGGTCACAATATGAGTGTGATGAAGGGTCCCTCTGCTCTTTACTTTCCCCTTACTCCAGAACAAACACCTGCTCGCAAGAAGAAGCGACAACTTGATACCATTCAGCGCACAACCTCTAGTTCTTCCTCTGTGGAATCCACCGCAAGTACTTCCACCACACAGTTTCGTAACACCAGTCAGACTCATTCTTCTGGTAGAATAATATTCCCTCCAAACACAAATATAGCTGGAAGTGGGCGCTCATACCATCGTCCACGACCAGTTTTGGCACTTGCGAAACCATCTGATCAAATCGTTGTTGATTCTTCGCATTCGGAAACTATTTCTTTGACAAGAAATGTTAACATTGGCAGTAATCAAGTAGCATCAACTCCATCATTATCATTATCATCACCATCACAATCACATCTCCAACTGCATGAATCCACCAGTACCTTATCGACTCCAAGACAAAAAGCAGATACATCTGTATGCAGAGTGCCATCTCCTTTACGTCAAGATCATTTATCTCCTCGCAAGCGTCAGATCCAAGAACAAAACAATCAACAATCACAACAACAAACACATTTTCAAATTTTCCATGATATGCAGCATTCTTCCACTAATTCACATTCTCAGATCAAACCCGCAAGTCCGGCAAAAAAGACACAAAATGCATTTGTTTCTAAGCTTTTGCTTTCTGCGAAAAAATCTAAAATTACACCAAATAACAAGGATCTGTCTTTTATTTCAACTTTGGCTGCTCCAGGTCTCTCTAAAAAGATTAAGGACAATGACATTTTCACCAAAAACGTGAAGAGAGGAGTTGACAAGGCTGAATATGACACAGATGGTATCCCAAAGGGTCTTTTGGACGAAGTGGATGCTGAGGACGAAGAATATTACAAAAACCATCCTCACCACCCTGTTGACTATTCAACTGTTCCAGGAATGTGGTGTGTATTTCGTGGGAAAAAAGTCTTCAGACCTTTTCCTGAAGGTGACCCTAAGTGTAATAAGATTACACCCTGCGTTCTATTCCCCAAGAAAGATTCACGCTCTCTTGAGGAATCATGTACACCTATTCCTCAGCGACGTGAATCCCAATCTCCTGTGGCTGTAGCTGCTGCTACATCTAGCTCTCTACACAGCCCTAGTTCCACCCCTATGATTCCCCTTTCTCCATTTCCACGTGTTGAATCTTCCAACAGAAGCAGAAAAAGGTCGATGAGCCCAGCGCTCTCGCTGCACGAGGACGACGATCTGGGTCTCCCGGTTTCTATTGTTTCGGGCTCAGCATCAGTAGTGCCGCAATTAACTTCTTCTTCTTCTGTTTCACCATCATCGTCATCCCCTCCAAAGCGCAGACGCTTGATGGTGCCTTCACCATCTTCCACAGAACGTATCACCCGGTCTAAAAGTCTTTTGATGGCACAAAAGCAATTTCAAGGAACATTTTTACCTCCACCGATATCAGCTCCTGCTGCTGCAGGCTCTCGTTCTTTGACAGCAACTGTCTCAGTAACTGATTTGGAAGACGAAATGACTGACCATGAAGACAGTGCACCACTTGTCGGCACAGTGACTCCCCGCAAAAGTTCGTCCATAGATTCTGTAATGACTGTTTCTTCTACCCATGGCATTTTGGCGGCAGCTACAGTTTCTCTTCTTCAACCTTCAGCCTCTGCACCTAACACTCAGCATCATCAACACTCTCATCACCATCAGACTCCTCATACTCCACGCACAAGCATAAATCGGAATCCGAGGTTTTTCAGATGACTTTGAAAAACAAAAGAGAGAAAAAAAACAAAAAAAAGATTTCATTGTATTTTTATCACATTTGCATCACCTTCCATCTTTGTACTCTTTTAATGACAGCTAATAATTGTATAACATTTGTATTTTTTTAAAAAAAAAAAAAAGGAAATGAAATTAATGAAATACTACTCTAATGAAAAATTTACAAAGACATAAGGTCTGGTTCTCAAATGATTTCAAATGTATTTTAAAAAAAACTCCATAGAATAAAAAAAGTTATAAAAAAGTCAAGTGCAATATCACGTCTAAGAGGGAGGGTTCACAACTTGAACCTCGTCATCATCATCCACTTCAATTACTTCAACACCATTTGGGACAGCTGAATTTCCAGATCCACTTGTGGCAGCGGTAGTCTGGAATTGGAAGCGACTAGTACCAGTAGTTTCTTCAGATCCAGCATTATTAAGTGGTCTAACGTGGAACGAAGTATTCTCGTCAAATCGATAGCTGCTATTTAAAGAGTTAGTGGCGGCATGAGAATCTGCATGTGGAGATAAAGAGCTTGACATCTGTTGCTGATGACGTCCGGAAACTGGAACAGAACGTTGGAGAGACTTTGATGAGCCAGCAGACGATGAGGTACTGCTGCTAAATGTCGAGGTACGGCGTGAAGCGGCAGAGTTTTTGCGTTTGAGCTCGTCAAAGATGGCATTGCGGTTTTCTAAAAAGTCGCGCGCAAGAAAGTATCCATGACGATCGCTCATTGTGACCAAGTTTTGCGTCTTGGGGCGCAAGAACAAAAAGCTCAGTTCCTGGCCCAAAGAAACACGATACTCTTCAGAAGGTTTTGCAATCTTCATCAAACGCTCCAAATGCTTAGAAATAGCGTCAATTGTCGCAATGCTTGAGAGCTTAAGAGGCTGCAGTAATGCTTGGATTTCCTTGAATCGCGCAGCTTGATGTTCGACCCCACCTTGTTCATTGTAAATGGCCTTAATTAACTCGTACGATTTACTGGGAACCAGCGAATCAGGTAATTCTAAAAGATAAAGCTTAAGTGCGCTTGCAACAATAGGCGCCTTGAATTTACTCAAAGTTTCAGAGTCAATTGAGAGACCATTGTTCAAAGCCTTGCGAAGTTTATGAGTTTCTTCGAGAGGTACCTCTACTGTCCAAACACCAAGACGTACTTCATCATTTTGAAGCAATGGGTATTGGTCATCCAAGTGACGCAAAATTGCGGAAACAATAAGAGGCACTCTTTTGCCATCACCACGAGCGCGCATCTCAATGTCGCCACCAAATGTCCACCCTTCATCAGGATTGTAGTAGTTGTCATAAACTGTGACCTTAGGGACAAAAAACCCAGTCTTATTTTCCTCAATAAGATAACGTATATCACGTTCAGGTACAATTGATTCTTGATAAAGAAGACACTTTTCAAGAGTAGCTTTAAGACCTGCCACTTTATTCGAGATAGCAGCTGTGAAATCCAGCAAAACAACCTTGATGGCTTTCAAACGATCATTCTCACACCTTTCCATGTAGCTCAGATGTCGAATAATTGTCTCCTCCAATGTAGTTCTTGTTGTATCATATTTGGTAATGGCTTCGTAAGTCTTTTGATCAAGCTCCTTAACTTCACGCGCAAGCTTTTCAATAGGAGTTTCGTTAGGATTAGGGTTGGAAAGGTAGTTTGAAATAGCCCCAGGTAAATACTCCCCGGCCATAGAGGAAATGAGATCGTTTCCACTCTTTTGCTCTTGTTCAAGACCTGCACGAGTGAAGGCTAAGCGCTTCCACTGGTAGTTAAATACAGAGGAATTGGCAAATTTGTTTCCGACCTGACCAACAAGACGGAGAAATCCATTTTGAATTAGGTCCTGACCAAGTTTTTCGGCAACAGGGATAGATCCACTTGTGACATTTGCGGTGAGCCAAGTGACAATCTCTGAACCGGTCGAGATGTGATCGTAAGTGCCGAGAATAGAAATCTTAATATTTTTTTGAGGAATTTCTGCCAGCATATTAGAGAGAAGCTTTCTAATCATGACACGAGTGTAAGGAACGTCAGCAAGCTCTATTTCTTCTTCATCATCCTCTTCAGCGGAGCTAGCTGGGGTTTCTACTGGGGTAGTTGCCGAAATAGTAGCCGAAGAAGATGATGATGCCAAAGGAGCTGATTCAGGAGGGATAGGAGGATCGGCCTCAGAAGTAGACAAAGCCCCTTGCGAATCGAGATGCTCCTTTTTGGCTTGCTCTTCAAGGAGTTTAGTTTCTTCTTCTTGTTTAGCATCGTCGTATAATCGGCACTTATTAAAGTAGCGGTTTTGAATTTTTTGAACTTCTTGACCCTCCTTCTCATACGATTTAACTTTACCCTTAAGAAAATCGTAAGAAAAATCAACACGTTCCTTGTGCTCTGCGGCCCATTTACCAAAAGGCTGAATCACCATTTTACGGATATTTTCAGCCACTTGAACGTGATGCTGGCCTTCTTCACCCATTTCCTTGATAATTCCTTCGTAAGACCGGCGAAGACTAGCACCTTCATCAGCTCCAAAGCCATCTTTTCGTGGTGCAAGAGAGACTGGAATCTCGTTTAGTCTAGAACCATAGGCATACTCTGCTTCGGCACGGGCGTTTGCTAAAGCTAGAATTTCTTCGTTTTCACTGCAGCCTTGAACAAGTTTTTTGAACAAAGCATCTAGACCTATAAAGATATTAGACTTGAACTTTTCATTGAAATTAATGACCGTTACTTACCGCCAACGTAATCGGGGGTCCAAAAGTTGGAGGTAAAGGACATGAGATATAATTGCTTTGGTGCTGTTTTTTGATTATCGGTAAATAAATGATAAATGACAGCTCCAATCCGGGGGAAATATGCAAATTATTATTATTTACTTGCACTTTCTCTTAATAATCTTAGAGGCAAGCAAAAAATCAATAAGAAAACAGTAATTGAATGAGATGATGTGAAAAAAGAATTCAGAACTATGAATTTTTATTTTGTTAAAATCGTTTCCTGAAGGCTGTGTACATTTATCTTATGGGACTGGGAGAAGGATGGTTTGAGTTTGTTTAAGTGCTACGCAAAAAAAGGTCCATTGCCTATGTAATTTAATATTTGTTACGTGCAGCTGCATTGAATGTAGCTGTGTGGTCTTTTCTCTAAAAGAAAGAGGCGTAGGCGTTTCTACGGTTCATGACATCTCGTGTCACAAATTTGTGTAACAAAAAAATGTAACGCCTTGACTCAAGTTGTAACAAGTCAAGACCAGTGCTTTAATAATCGTCAGTTCCTTATAACAAACCACACAGATACTTTTAAACATATTTTTGAACAATAAAGATGGTTTACGCGTATCCTCGAGTCTCAATTGAATTTTGTACTCAGTGCAAATGGAATCTTAGAGCAGCTTGGTATATGCAGGAACTTCTTTCCACATTTGGCAATGGTCTAGGTGAAGTTGCTTTGCTTCCTTCATCAGCTGGAACCTTCATTGTCACTATCATCCCAGAACAAGATGCTACTCCCATTGTCCTATGGAACAGAAAAGACAAGGGCGGATTTCCTGGTAAGCTCACTTATGTATTGTAATTTGAAAACCAATTTTTACTGACTTGTAGTCATAGATTCAAAAGAACTAAAGCAGCTAGTGAGAGATGTTATTCAGCCAAACAGAGATCTGGGGCATGTTGACAAACACAACAAGAATGAGAAAAAGACCCCCACTCAGGAACCACATATAGAATCTAAAGCTGACCAAGAAGATGATGATGCCTGCCCCAACATTAACTAATCTTATAAAAGATTAAGTAAAAAAAGACCAGTGAGAATTGTAATTATCCAAATTGGCATTTTGCCTTTTCGAACTCATTTCACGTGACCTCGAATCAAAATGGTATTGTTTAGCTGAAATCATAGGCTCAAATATTTGAACAGAATCTATGAACCAATTACTTTAAGAATGGCAATTTCATATGATTTATTTGTGACAAGATTAATTAATCTAAAAAAAATACTCAAGGTTTTGAGAGAAATAGAATTTCTGTTTTTTGTGTTGATATGAATGAATGGTTAGGGCATTTCATTTGAAGTTGATGCTGTAATGATTACCGTTTGCTTAATATATCTTCAAATTCTAATCTATAATGATTTCTATTCAAAAACAATATATTTCGGTTGAATAATTATATGTGATAAAATAAAGCTAAATGTTACATTAAAGTAAATAAAAATTAAGAATAACAAGATCTTGTTATAATTTTAAAATCAATAGTAAATAAGTCTTCAAAACTACATTTACTCAAAAACTTTAAAATTCATCTAAAAAAATATAAATTTTTTTAAATAAATTGATTGGTTTGTAAACAATAAAGATAACAACTTTATTTCCTTGTCTGTTTTCATGAAACTTGAAGTGTATGGCGAACTGATTTACTTTATTGTACACCCGATTTTCAAAATATATATATATATATAATAATTTAATAAGCAAAATAAATTAAGATAGACGAGACTCATGACTCCCTTAAGGGTGGCCCCAACCAAAAATGATAGTTTAAAATCCTGGTTCTTTTCATATTTTTTCATCTTAAGATAAATGTATTATCTATCCTCTTTGTATTTTTTTCATTTTTCATTTTTCATTTTTCATTTTTCATTTTTCATTTTTTATTTTTCATTTTTTATTTTATATTAGTCAACTGTTTTCTTTTCTCACATTTTTTAAATTTTTCAAATTTTTTAAATTTTTTTTGTCGAGAATAGAAAATATTTTAAAAACTTTTATGTTCATGAAAATGTATTAAATTAGAACATCTTTTTAGAATCTAGAATCTTTTTAAAGTAATTACTTTTTCATATATTGAATCAGCCACGAGCAATAGATCAACTAATAAACTTATTTAAAAAATGATTAATTAATCATTATAATGAAAATTTCAATGATTAAACAAACACCACTCTAATACATTCTAATGAAAAAATCACCTTTTACTTTCACTAAATTGCGATGATTACATGTGAATTATTTTTAAAAAAAAATAAACGTATCAGTTTAATCCTCTGAGATTATATTCCAGAAATTTCTGCATAACCTTTTACGGTAATGTTCCCTTTTTTTTTCCGAATGCAAATGGCAGCTTTATGTAATTCGTAACTAACACTGTCTTTCAAAAGTTCGTAGTTTTTAGCTTCTTCAAATATAAAAATTCCCGTGTCAAAAGTTGACAAAGAGTTGAGGACACGTTCATGTTGATACAAATGTTAGCATTCAAATTAATGGAAATCCTCAAAAATTTTTTCACCATTGATTATAATGAATAGTAGATCTAATATAACTCTAGAGTTATTTTTTTTTAAATCTATCACCCAACTCATTCATTTTTTTTTCAAAGAATAATTGTGCTAAGCATATCTTGATATTTCATAGTCGGAAGCAATGGTTGCAATCGCCACGTAACCGGCTATTGATGGTTATTCCAAATAAAAAAATTTTTCTCCCACACCTCTCATTTGACTTTTGCATAAATCTACCTTGGTACCATAATTACAAATAGTTTTAAAACGGCCACATCGCATATCTATCTACGTCTCCATGGACTTTGGCTGAATCCAATTCACCAAAGTTTTCAAAAATTTCAAAATATTGAACTAAGGAAATTTTAATCCTCAATAAAAAAATATTTAAAATAGAAAATTTAAATTTAAAGTCAGCTGGATTATTCATTTTAATAAAGTTTTTTAAAAGAAATACAAAGATATTCTTAATTAAGAATGTGTTTTAACATTTAAAGTTTTCATAAACCAACCCTACACTGATATTCTCCGACGGTTAATGTAATACCATCCATTTCTAGAGTAAATTTTTTTTTAAAAAATCATATCTCTTCTAAATTTAATGTAACTAAAAAAATATAAAGCATAGAAGCCCAACTTGTATTTTCTTGGTCAAAAAAAAGATGCAAAAATAATCGTTACTTTTTATTGCGTTATAAATTTTTTTAAAATGCCTTGCTGTAGCTGAGATTAAATTAACAACGTGATGCCTGAACTCGTTATCCAAATCGCTATTAGCAATTTCAAGCCTTTGTGCACTCAATATCTTTATTAAATTTATATTTCGATAGCCGCCGGTGTTCATTTTTTCATTTGTTTGTTGAATGGTCCTTTTTTCAATTTTGATGGAGCCTTTTCTAATAGTTGACCTTGCAAAGTTGAAAATAAAAGTCTTGGCAAGGTTTCCAACCGTTGATATCAGCGTTATCTTAGAAAAAAAAACTTTTTATATTCAAAAAAGGCAATTGCTTTGCAAAGTCATGAAGATACTCATTTTTTTTTTTGAAAAAAAAAATAATTTTTTTAAACTAATCATTGTGCTAAGGTGTATATTAGGGAAGTTTGTCTGAATGATAATTCAATTTCCGTGCCTATATTAATTTTTCATAGTAGTTGTAGCTATTACTTTTTGTCAAGTTTTTGATACTTTTCAATATTTTTTTTTCGTACATTTTAGTATCAGGGCAACCCCCATCGTAAATATTATGGCTACCACAAAAATAATACTCGTAAAAATATGTTTACCAGTATCTCCGTGGACAACGCTGTGGAGGATTTAGCCCACACTCTTCAACAGCATTTCACAATGACAATAAACTTATAAATTCAACTTTGTTTTATGCAACAATGGTTTTCATTAAAATAAAAAATGCTTGTTTAAAAGTATTATGTGATTTTGATACAAAATTATTTGATACAACAATATTGTATATTTTTCAATTTTTTAGAGCAAATTTCAAGATTTGAAAAAAACAAAAAAACCAGTGATATTTTCAAGGCATTCAAATAATTCACTCAAGTTGAGTCCATTTCATAATTGTTTCTTTTCTTTTTTTTTTTAACAACGTAAATAAACTACTAGTATCTTGACAACTTAAGAAAAGTACTGGTCAAACGTATTTATTTCGAATTTTTTAAACTTATCAGCTAATTAACATTACCGCTATCTTCATCTTTAAATAAGCTTTTTTTTCAACCTTAATATTTTTTTATTTTATATAAATAGTTTATCAATTTCCAATATTTATCAATTTTTTTTTCTGTTTTTCATTAATATATATCCTCTTTTTTTTAAATCATTAAATCATTAAATTATTATTGATATCACATTTCATATCTAACTATGGAAAAAACTTACTCAACTGACCTTGAGCGAAACGGCCAAGTTTTGTACGGACGAAACAGTTCTAGCAGCAACTCCTTTAATGAGAAAAAAAATGTCTACACATACACAAATCCAGTTTCAAACTTAGAAAGCGGTGCTGTTGACGGCAGCGTTGTTGAAACGACAGAAAATCCACAAGGCCGTCTTCAACGTGATCTCAAAGCCCGCCATATCACTATGATTGCAATTGGTGGCGCCCTTGGCACAGGTCTTGTCATTGGTTCTGGTTCTGCTTTGGCCCAGGCTGGTCCTGCTTCCTTGCTGATTGCCTATCTTATTGTTGGTTTCATTGTATATCTGGTTATGTGTGCTTTAGGTGAAATGGCTACTTGGATCCCTCTTTCTGAAGGCTTTCCCGGCTATGCTTCTCGTTTCTGTGACCCTTGCCTTGGTTTTGCCGTTGGTTGGGTTTATTACATGAAATACATTATTGTCACACCAAACCAACTAGTAGCTGGTGCACTTGTTATACAGTACTGGTTACCACGAGAAAAAGTTAACCCAGGGGTTTGGATTACTATTTTCCTTGTTGTCATTATCTTTTTAAATCTTTTTGGTGTTAAGATTTTTGGTGAGCTTGAATTTTGGCTTTCTTGTCTAAAAGTCATTACAATGCTTGGTCTTATTATGGTTACTCTTATTATTGCTCTTGGTGGTGGCCCTGATCACGACAGACGTGGTTTTAGATATTGGAAGGATCCGGGTGCTTTTAAACCTTACAGCAAGGGAACACATTCAATTGAAGGATCAGAGGGAAAGTTTGTTGCATGGGCATCCGTTTTGGTTACTGCAGTTTTTGCCTTCTTGGGCACTGAGTTAGTCGGTGTTACTGTCGGTGAGGCTGAAAACCCTCGCAGAAACATTCCCAGAGCCATCAAGCTCACATTCTTCCGCATTCTATTATTTTACATTGTTGCCATATTCTTTCTTGGAATGTGTGTTCCTTACAATGATACTAAACTTGCCTTTGCCAACAAAGCTAGTACCAGTGCTGCCGCTTCCCCATTCGTTGTTGCCATTACTAATGCAGGAATTCCTAAGCTGAATCAAATCATCAATGCTTGTATTTTGATTTTTATTTTTTCTAGTTCCAATTCAGACTTGTATATTGCTACAAGAACCCTCTATGGCATGGCTAAGAACGGCAAGGCTCCTAAGATTTTCTTAAGAATTAATAGATGGGGTATTCCTTATGTGGCACTGGGCTGCTCGGCCATGTTTTGCTGCTTGGCATATTTGTGCACGGCTCAAAGTTCTGCCAAGGTTTTCAACTACTTTGTCAACGTTGTTTCTATCATGGGCCTTCTTACTTGGATTTGCATCTTGATTACTCATATATGTTTTGTCAGGGGTAGAAAAGCTCAAGGTATTCCTAAAAGTGAGATTGTTTACAAGGCTCCATTTGGCGAAATTGGCAGTTGGATTGCTCTCGTTTTCTGCATTATCATTGCTCTTATTAAGAACTTTACTGCATTTGTTTTTTCCTTTGACAAAACGTCATTCATTACCGGTTACATTGGCATCCCTATTTTCTTGATTTTGGTTTTGGGTTATAAGTTTATCATGAAGTCTAAATTTGTTAAGCCCACAGAAATCGATTTCTACCCGCCATTGAGGCACGAGATTGACTGTGAAGAGCAGGAGTTTTTGGAGAGACAGTTAAAAGAAAACATTGAAAATCCACCGTCTTTTGCAAAGAAAATTTACAACCATTCCATTGGCTATTTGTTTTAAAAATAATTTGTTTATGTATTTGATTTTTTAGATATTTATGAAAATGATAACTATTTATTGATATTCTTAATATGACCGCAACTGAACTTTATATTATTAGCTACACATTGAATTTTTGAATATTATCTTTATAGTTTTTTAAGTGAGACCATTAACCATATTAAAACACTCCCTAAAAAGAGATGAAAAGAGATGGATACAAGTGTGATAGTCAAGAGACAAGAACAAGCTTACACCTCCAATAAATTATGTAATCATACAGAACATTAAGAAGGGATAACAACGTACTGTCACCAGTAAATGAAATTGATATTGGTAACATAAATATAACTAACTTATAAAGATTTGAAGTGGATTTTAATCGAATCAATGTTAGCAGTCAGAATGACTGTCCCCAATCATAGGAGTATTTCAATTGGCCTTTTTTGTTCTGAACCCTGCTTAAATTCTTTTCTGAATTTGGAAATGATGTAAGGCTGAAAAACAATCATAAGTGCATGAGTTTTTTTGGCTGTGGAAATACAATATGATAGAGTGCATTTTGCTGCAAATTTTTGTGAGTAGATTTCGCTATAAAATCTTAATAATATTATAATGAACTCATAATTATGAGCTCATTTTGCCCTACAAAAATTACATGACCCCTCATTTTTTCTTATCTTCATGTTTCCAGTTTAGTCTTGAAACCATTAAGAAAAGCAGCAAGAAACGTGAGACTCAGGCCAAATCAATTTATTGATCGGAATTCTACTTTTAGGCTTTTGAAAAGTATATAAAGAACGGAAATTCATTTTGGATTTACTATTATTTTTTTTTTCATTCTTTATAATTACATTTCATCACTCCATCTTCATTAAATATATATATTCTCCTCTCAGAAAATAAATCAAAAACAAATCATTTAAAATGTCTTCTAACTGCAGTTGCTCTACCCCTACTCAATCTACTTGCACTTGTGTGAGCTCTTGCCAGTGCAAGGAAAATCGGTTTTGCAATAATAAGTTTTGTTTTTGCAACAGCTGCAAATCTCTCTGTTGCTACAAAGATGGCTGTCCTTGCCCTCCTGGTTTTTGCAAGTGCACTGAATGCAAAAATTCTGGCTGCACTAAAAATTCCTGCTCTTGTTCACTTGCAGAGTGTGTCTGCAGCTCTTGCAAGTCTGCTTGTTGCACTAAGGAAACATGTGCTTGTCCTCCTGGAACTTGCAAATGTGCAGGCTGCAACGACAAGCTCGGAAAGTCTTGCACCAAGGAAACTTGTTCATGCCCTGCCGGCGAGTGCAAATGTGATGGCTGTAAATAAAAAATAAAAAAAAAAATGTTTATTATTTCACCATTATTTTAAGGGTCATCAATCATAATATTTTTATAAAAGGAAAATTTAAGTCAAGTATTCAAATTATATATGAAATAATAAGTAAAAAATTTACTTCGACAATACTACAATATCATCCACTTTCAAGATTTTGCGTTTATTTTGGTATTAGCTTTAATGTAAAAACTATCAAATTCATCTTATATAAGATAATGTATATATACATTCATGAAAGTTTTTGAGAAAAAGTTAAGTCATAGGTACTTTAAAGAAAATTAAGTTATCGGATTATCGGTATCACGAAGTTTTTAATATATGCTTCTGATACTACAAATAGGACATAGTATTTTCAAGTACTTCTTTCAATTCGTTCCTATAGGGATTCCATAAACCATTTCAATTTTCTATTTCCATACCTATGCTAGTAATAACTAGCGTTAACAATTTATCAATATAAAATGATTTCAAGTAAATAATCGCATTGACAAAAAACAATTTTTTTTCTAACAGAGCAATTACTGCTATACTTTTTAAGTCAAAAAAAATTAACGCCAGGGATAATAACCGGGAGAATGCCATTCAACAGGTGTTTTATTATACTCGTTTGAAATTCTAATCATTGGGACAGTCAGCTTGCGAACAACAACTGCTGCTTCAGCAGCCCGTTCCTTTTCTGCATTGGCGGCATTGAAAGCAACCTTAACATCTTCAAGCGTAAAATCAGTGCCAGAGCCCACTGGTGTATCGCCTTTCCAAAATGTCACCGAAGAAAGCTTCCATTTAAAAGCTTGAGAGACAGCAGCCCCCAATAGAACAGCAAGATGATTTGCCAACTCTTGGCTGGTAAGAGTAGAGGTATCATCGATGTGAATGCGCACGACACGGACAGTATCACTGCCAAAATTAATTTCCCAAATAATATAGACAGGCCCATAGCGGGCTCCAGTTTTTAACGGGAAATATTCATCGTCAATTTCACCGATAACAGGGAGAGCGGGTATTATTTCCGGGTACGTTGTGTGGGCATCAAATGTCGAGGAGCCCCAGAAAAAACGGAAAAAGTCAGCATCAGGGTTGATGGCCACACGTGTAATACCATCTCCTTCTGTGGCGGTTATCATTTCTTTAATCAATTTAGTTTTGTCAACTTGTGCAAGGTTTTCAAAATCGGCTGTCCCGAGCCAAGAAAACTCGTCAAGGTCCGTGTAAAATGTACTTTCGACGGGTGCGGCTTCCGACAAGTCAATGTAAAGCTCTTCGGGAGTAAGAGATTTGTATCCAAAGGCCGAATAGTATTCGCCAACTTCTGACCATAAAGTAGAAAAATTAACTTTGTTGTCTTTTGCTTGTTGGTCAATGATTTTGGTAATTTCTCGTAATAAGTGAGATGCATAGCCTTTGCCACGATACTCTGGGGGAGTGACTACTGCCATGATTGATGGAGAGATTACTTCCTGAGGAGCTTTGCCCTTTTCTACAACAGTCACCGGACGAGGAAAGAGAACTAATGATGAAAGGATATTGAGTTGGCCATTGTCCTTGGTGGGGGTTTCCGAATCAAGAAGAACCCATTGAGTTGAGTCTAAGGGTTTACTATAAGTGCTGCTAATGAACTTGACTTTATCATTAAATTTGTCAAAAGAAATTTGATTATACCATTGGCCATGCTGAATTCTACCGGCAGCGGTAAGATCTTCTGGGGAATCGACTTGTTTAAGGATATATGAAACGGTCATTGCTGTTGTTTTTTTTAAATGAAATAACGGTTGGGTTTCTGGGATTAGTTAAGTTGATGTTTTATTTGCACTTTACTATATTAAAGAAAAAATAAATGAAATATATAACAAGGCAATTGGGAATGTATTTATACGTTTTTGAAATCCATCATTTTATGAAAAAAATTAAAAGACTTCAAAAGCCGAAACGAATAAGATTTCATCATATATGATGACTTTAACCAAGGTAAGCATACTGATGGGTACTTAAATTCGGCTAGAGTTACTTGGACGTGTGACACGAAGGCATAAGACTTGGTTCTGGTTAGATTAAGTGGTCTTATCTTGAGCAAATTATCAATATACCTTTGAAAGGATCCATTTTAATTAAATCAAGCATTCAATAATTGCATTTTAGGAATCTTTAACCTGACCTTACTTCAGCTTAACAAATTTACCTATTTCAATACTATTAAAAAAAACAATTCAATGTTATCCAAGGTAAATCAACAGAAACAAAAAAAAATAAAAATAAAAATAAGCTTGATTGAAGAACAAAAAAAAAGTAAGCCTAAAACAATAAATCAAATAAACCACCTATATATTTTCTTTTCCAAAAATGCTAGATCACCAATCATCCCAGTCACTCTTCTTGTTCTTTGCTTCTGGGTTTTCAATCCCTTGCAGATTAGTGTGAGCATCCGGCTTGGATAAGCCAAAAGCTGGCTCAATCTCGGGACTACCAACTTGGTAATTTTCTTCGCCCAAATCGTCAAAAAGCTTTGAGTAAGTATTTCCGCCTTGTTGTCTGCTTGTTGAAGTGGAAGATGTGGTAAAAGTGTTGAATGTTTCTATGCCATACTTGCTAGTTTCCTGAACTTTTTGGCCAAACTGCAACACTGCCTTTCTAGTTGTTTGACCGTATTCGCCCTCTTGGAAGTTTTTGACACCAGGCCTAATGTACTGTTCATTAACTTGATCGACACTCTTGGAGATGGTACGAGAGAAAATGCTCCAGCCCTTGCTCATGGAGCCAAGAGGATCATTTGAAAAATTGTCAAAAACAGAAGCAGCACTGTCAGGGTGGGGTTCTGAGGCAGTGTTTCCAAATCCAGCGTACTTTCCGCCTTGCGAAGGAGGAAGGTTGTCAGGTCTGTTTTCGTTAACTTTACCAAGAGTCGAAAAGTATTCCTCGTTGCGAGTCTTTTGAGTAGGATCGGTAGAAGTACCGGTATTACCATCACCAAATCGTCTATTGGTAATGATAGTGTTTCCACCAGAATTACTACTAGCCACAGGGGTCTTTGGTTTTGCTGCAGAAGAGGCCTTGGGCTCACGCTTTTGACGGACCCATTCAACACCTTGAACTTCAGCTGCAAGCATATCCTTGTAGTCTTGAGCAATGTCTGAGTTATACTTTTCTTGTGGCTTAAGAGTCATGTCTAGACCTTCCTTCTCCATCCACTCACGGGCCCGCTCGTTGCCTCCAATTTCCATAGCTTTCATCTCTTCGGGCTTGAACTGGTCCATGGTGACGGATCTAACAAAAGAGATGTGGACACCAAGGCCACGGTGAATACCGGCACAGTCTAAACAGATGAAAATGCCGTACTTGGGAGAAGCCCATTGCGGGTTGGAAGCACCGCAGTCGAAGCATTGTTTGTTTGTGCCTTGTTTTTGAAGAGCCTAAAATGTTACATAGATTGTCCGTGCAGCACGAGACAACCGTGCGATGTAAAAGTTAAAAAAAATTGAATCAAAAAGAGGAAGCTCTATGGAGTCAAAAACATACTAACAAGCGTCTTCGGTTATCAGGATCTACAGTCCAGTCAGAAGGCATGATTGAATAAGGTGTTCAAATGAAATGAGAAATATAGGGATTATATCTATGAAAGTAAACAAAATGCACAGTTAACTTAAATCAAAAGATCAAAGAAAGTAATAAAAAAAGCGATTGAAGAAACCCCCTAGGTTATTTGAAAAAATAAAAAAAGATAAGAAATTAAAGAGAGTTATTTAAAATAAAAAAAAGAAGAAATGCCTGTTTTAGGGATTTGGAATTTTTGTTTTCTTTTTTTTGTTTATTTATTTTTTTTTTTGGCTGTTTTGATTTTAATATTATTTTGGTGGTTTAATATGGTTATTTATTCGTGTCATTAAGAACAAAAATAATATATCCCCCGTTATGACCTTGGTAATTTAATCATACTGTATTATACGCTACCAGCCCCATAGTTACGTGGCACTATCTCTCTGCAGAAAACAATGCAAGCCCAAAAGCAACTGAGATCGCCGCCATACATCACGATCAGACAGTCTCCTTAAAAAAAAGCTTATTGAGCAGTGTATTTTTATAAGGCAGACATTGTTAAAATATTTTAATTTTTAAATAATTCAGGTTTGTTATATATAAGAGTGATTTGGTTAGACTTTTCACATGAGCTTAGTTTAAAAAAAATAATTGTCTGTTTTAGTCGTATATTCCCGTTTGTTTATCTTGGTCGCATGCGCCTCTCTCCATTCCTGTCAGTTTCCTGGTCACTGACAATGTTGATACTGACGTAGATTCATGAGTTCACAATTTGTTTAATTTTCAGTAAACCATCATGACAATACTTGCTACAACTATATTAATTATTTTTTTATTATTTATTTTCATACTTTCATTTTTTCATCTATGTATTCTTTGTTCTTTTTCTATGTATGCGCCAAGTTGAAACTTTCAGATCAATTGCATTCTAAGTTGAAATTTGCAGACTTTAAAAACCAATTTGCCCACGTGATATTATATTTTTAGGGAAAGGGTTTTTGCCATGAGCCAAGATTTTTTTTTTTTGAGCCTATCATCACTTGGAATTTCTAAGCTTTTCTAAGCAGATCTGCAGAAAAGGCCGCTTGTCATAGACAACTTTCCGACCATCCTTTACATTTCATTTTTTATAATTTTTAATCTTTTGTTTCTGCATTATTTATAAAACCTGTTTGAAAGCTCATCAAATATTATAGCCATTTAAAATGTCTACAGATACCACTAAACCTCAGGGCGTATGCCCTGTTGATCATACCACCCGTGAAGCTTGGATTCGCAACGCGGGAAGCAACCAAAAGCCATTACTTGAAGACAAACTCAACCAGCAGCAACAAGTTCCCGCGCCGCATCCAGTACCTGCTGGAGCTGATGAAGCCAAATGTCCGGTTGACCATGAGTCGCGGGCTGTGTGGCTACAAAACGGCGGTGAAGGTCGTGTCAACGTCGAAAACTGTTCCTCTGACCGATTAGGAAGCAACTTTAGCACACCCTCTACTGCTGTCGATTCAACGGGTCACCGCCTTTCTACAGAACGTGAGATATCAACAATCCCTAGAGCAAGTACTGGCGACAACTGGGTGTACCCTTCGCAACAACAATTCTTCACAGCTATGCAGCGTAAGAATTGGGACCCAAGTGCCGACGATATGAAGACTGTGGTTCCGATCCACAATGCAGTCAACGAACGTGCATGGACGGAGATTCTTAAGTGGGAGCAGGGTGAAGGTGGTGAATCGTGCGGTGGACCCCAGCTCATTCGTTTCCAAGGTGACTCAAAGAAAATCACACCCAAGGCTAGATTCAATATGATTTTTGGATACCAAAAACCCTTTGATCGCCACGACTGGCTCGTCGATCGCTGTGGAACACAGGTTGAGTATGTTTTGGACTTTTACTCTGGTAAGCCTAATCCTCTGATGCCTGATATGCCCAGTTTCTACATTGACGTTCGACCAAAGCTCAACTCGATAGAAGGCTGCCGCATGAGACTTTTTAAGTGGTTTGGTCTAAAATAAATAGACGTTTTACATTGTTGCTGTTTTTTTGTTTAAATTTTTTCTTATGATTTTGATACTTGCGTGTAAATAAATTCTGATATTCTTAATAATAATAATAATAATAATAATAATAATAATAATAATAATAATAATAATAATAATAATAATAATAATAATAATAATAAATAATAATAATAATAATAATAATAATAATAATAATAATAATAATAATAATAATAATAATAATAATAATAATAATAATAATAATAATAATAATAATAATAATAATAATAATAATAATAATAATAATAATAATAATAATAATAATAATAATAATAATAATAATAATAATAATAATAATAATAATAATAATAATAATAATAATAATAATAATAATAATAATAATAATAATAATAATAATAATAATAATAATAATAATAATAATAATAATAATAGTAGTAGTAGTTGTTTTTTTTAGAAAAGTTCATGGTGTTATTTGAAAATCTATTAACACCAGATATCACTCATCTTAATAGGATTTTTTTCTTTAATTTTCCTGTAAAAATACATTATCATTACCGCTTGTTTTTATATTTATATATTTACAATTGAGCTCTGTACATATTGATGTGTACTTGCAGGTGATTTAATTTAACTTGTTCATAAAAAAAATAAAGAAAAAAATGGAAAAAAGCAAAGAAAGTCATGAAAAAATTTATGGTCTGCCCATGAAGCCAGAACCGCCAGAAGCCTGGCCAACCTTTTGCATGTTCTAAAAATGAGAAAAGTTAGTAAATCAAACTAGGAAAAAAAAAGTGTAACATATTGTCATTGACACTTACCTCGCCAACCTTGGTGTTGACCTCGAAGTACTTGGCAACGCATCTGTCAAGACACAGAGCTTCACTCTTGTTAACAACACCCTCCTCGTACTTAACGCTGATGCACTTGGTATAGCAAGAGTCGACAAGTCTGTTGAACATATCGGTGACCATGTCGAGCTCAGCCTCAGCGGCAGCAATCTTAGCGGGGTTGGTAATACCGTTGGCAGCAGAGCCAGCACCGAAACCAAACAAAGAAGACATTTTTAATTGATGTGATTTAAAGGGGTATTTTTATGTGCGTAAAAAAAACAAGCAAGATCCGTAGATGTCTAGATGGCGGATGGATTGGCGTAGCAAACAACAAGGCCCTATTTGGTGATGTATTTTTGGTGGTAGGGAAGAGAAAAATTTATGATTTTCACCTGCGGAGAAGCAAAATTTTTCACAATACTGTAATATACGCTGGAGCTAAGTGATTGTAAGAATGTTGCATTTTAAATACTTGTTACAAATATTTAAAATACTTTAAATACAACTTTTCTTGTAATTTTCAACGTTTTTGTGTTTGTGCACATGCCTTTCTGTTAAGAGATCCGCATACGTGTCTAAAAACGGCCGGCGAAAAGAATAAGCAGAGGAAAACCTCGCCCCACAATCACATACAGACATTTTGGCAACTCGCACCAACCAGAAAGAAATTCAGAAATATCATTTTTTTTTCTTCGACAACCCAATATTACGAGAAAAAAAAAAGCACTAGCCGGTATTCTTGTCTTAATCATAATATACCCAAAACCGCTTTTTGGATTTTTCATTCCAAATTAATTCATTTAAATCATTTGGTTTCTTGGTTTCTTGGTTTCTTGGTTTCTTGGTTTCTTGGTTTCTTGGTCATAATTATTCAATTGATCTAATCATCACATATCTCGTATTCTTTCCGTGTTTCTCAGCATACCAACGTTTCTCTATTATCCTATAAAAAATGAGGGCCTGGAATTTTTTACCCGCGATACTTTCGCTTTCATCAGTTGTTTCCGCCATTGAAGCAATTAGTGCGCTTTCTATTCCTCAGAACAAGGAGGCCGGCAAACCGATCCCTAACTGGACCAGTCATGGTAGCGTGCAGGTGGAGGCAGGCCGAGTTTTTTTGACTGGTCTGGGCGGTAAAGACCTACAAAACTCAATCTGGGCTAACCTTGGCAATAATCTCGAGAGCTGGACACTAGACGTTGATTTCACTGCTGGTGGTCTTGTCGAGGCTGGTGGTGGTCTGGCTATTTGGTACACCACTGATCAAGGGTTCCCTGGTCCTGCATACGGTAACAAGGACACTTGGGATGGTCTGGGTATTTTCATTGACAGTGCAATCAAGGACGAATCTGGCAATGAAGATTCTGGATCGGTCCATGGTCATCTGAATGACGGTACCACATCATTTGTTAACACAATCAGCAAAGATCCTAAATCTCATGCATTCTCGTTATGCCACGTCAATTATAGAAATACAGGATATCTCACGCAGGTTAAGATTTCTTATGCTCCTGGTCTGTTTAGAATTTTGGTCAACAACCAGGTTTGTGTCCAAACTGACAAGATTGTCCTGCCCAAGGGCGGCTACTTTGGCATCTCCGCAGGTGGCACCGGGAACGTGGACAACTTTTCTCTGTATAGAGTCGAGACTTTTGTCAATGTTCAGCCCAGTGTTGAACAAGTTGACAATGCTATGAAACTTGAAAAGGAAAAGCAGCAACAGCAACAGAATGAACAGCAGAAGAAGCAGCAAAATGAGCAACAAAAGCAACAACAAAATGAACAAAAGGTTGTTGCTCAGTCTTCCTCTTCTTCTTCATCTTCTTCATCTTCCAGTTCTCCAATAAACAATGAGGAAATCACCAAAATGATTGAAAAGCTCAATCTGGTGTGGCACAATGGCAAGGAATGGAAGGAGCATACCGAAGGAGCAGTCAGTGCAATGACTCAGCAAACGCTAAGTGAGCTCAAGAACCAGCGCAAAGTGTTTGAAGACTCTTTGAAAGAGATCAACAACAAGTTTGAACAGCGAGTCAACAAACTGGAGAATGTTATCAAGGAGCTGATTGAGCTGCAGCGGAATACATTGGAGGGCCGTACAGCTGACACCAAGGCGCACATTTCGAGCGAAATCAATAAGCTCAATACGCATGTGGATGATATTACTCGGTCACTCAAGGAGCATTCGACCAGTCTGGGCAACTTGCCACACTCGCTCCACACTGCTGTGATTGAGGGCGGCCAGTCCATCTGGACCATTCTCCTGGTAGTGTTTGTAGTCCAAGCAGTTGTCGGACTTGGCTATTATCTTTACTCTCTCAGACAAAAGGGGTACCATGCTAAGCTTCTTTAGAAAAAAAAAAAAAATATTGAAGATAATAATGGAACAAAATGGACTAAATGGGATTTTGAAATTAAAATAAATTAAGAAAAAAAAATTGATAAAAAAAATAAAAAAATAAAGTGAAATTTCTTGTATGAAAAGTTTGAAACATTGTAACCTTTTTTCTTTTTTTTTTTTTATCGCGATATGATGATTCTTGTTTCTCGAGGCCTTTGCAACCTTACAAAGAAAAGTTTAAGGTTGTATCGATTTCCCCTTCCTCTCGTCCCCCCACATTATGACGTAAATATCCCGTTGTATTGTTCCATTAAATACTACCAAGACTAAACTAGTTTGTGTGCCCGTTTTTCATTTCCAAGCTTGTCTCAGAACTAAGGAAAAGATACAACCCCCACCTTTTAAAAACACTCCTTCATCATACTAAACTCTCGTACTTCTATAGTCCCGGAAAGTTCTCTTATATCAAATAACTTTACCCGCGTTCTATCCTATTGTTTATTATTATGCCTGGAAAAGGATGAAATCTTTTTTTTTCTAACCTAAACTTACATCTATAGTACCTTTTCTCGGCTTTTTATCTATTTTTTTTTTCTTTTCAAAAAAAAAACTTTCATTAATTACCTTCAAATTTTACTCTGCTCTTGGCCCCATTCTTTTCGCTAAAACCCGCCCGGTCGTGGTCCACCGATACCGGGAGCACGCCAATCCGGTACACCTTGTTGTTGTTGTTGCTGCTGCTGCTGCTGTAGCATCTGCTGCTGTAACTGTGCCTGCATCTGCGGCGTCATTTGCTGCTGCATCTGTGGAGGCATTCTCTGTTGTTGCTGCTGTTGCGGTATTATTCCTCCACCTGGCTGTTGCTGTTGTTGTTGATTCATAGGGCCTCCTATTCCGGCTCCAATCCCTGCCCCATGCTGCTGTTGCTTATGTGCAAACTGCTGCTGTTGCTGCTGTGCGAGTTGCAACACATGAATCTGTTGCGGAGTCAAGCTGCGAAGTTGCTGTGGCGTCAACCGGTTCTGAGCCGCAGCTGCTAATAACGCCTGTGCCTGTGCTTGAATCTGTGCTTGAGCCTGAATCTGTGCTGGAGTCTGTTGTGAAGGAGATGGTCCCTGTGGCTGTTGCTGCTGCTGTTGATGTTGATGCTGCTGATGTTGTTGATGCTGCTGCTGCTGTTGCTGTTGCTGTTGCTGTTGCTGTTGATGTTGATGTTGATGTTGATGTTGCTGTTGCTGTTGATGTTGCTGTTGCTGTTGATGTTGCTGTTGCTGTTGATGTTGCTGTTGCTGTTGCTGTTGCTGTTGCTGTTGCTGTTGATGTTGATGTTGATGTTGCTGATGCTGATGCTGCAGTAGAGGTGGCACTTGCTGGTGTTGTTGTTGTTGCTGCTGCTTTGGTGGCGGAGGAACAGAACCTTTCGGAGGACCTTGCTGAGGGCCTGGAAGTCCTGGTGCTGGTGTTTTCATTTGCATCTGACCCGCACTCATATTTCCATGAGCCATATGACCACCTCCACGGTTTAAATGACGAGTCGGCGGACGACCTCTTGTTCCAGGAGTTCGTCCTCTGCGCGCTGGAACAGGGTTGGGTGCGGGGGACGGCATGGGAGAGTTATTTAGAGGCATCATTTTGTTTGGTGGCACCTGTGGCTGCTGCTGCTGCTGCTGAGGGAATCCTGGTGCAGTCGATCCCGGTGGACCCATTGGTGGATGTGACGACCCAGGTGGAACTCCTGGTCCTGGAGCTCCGGGTGGCATTTGTTGTGGAGGGAGGGTTCCCTGTTGAGGTCCCTGTTGAGGTCCCGGAGCAGGTACAGGTGGACGCATGGCATTAGAAACTAGAGGCCGGCGCACGGTGGGCTCGTAAGGCTGAACAGCAAGGGGAGGGTCCGGGAGAAGTTGCATTTCTGCTTGTGGCATTTCGAGCTCGCCAGCAATGTATTTTGTAAAGCCAATGGGCACTGTTTGTGGAGCACGCTCAATGTACACGCCAGTCTCGGTAAAGGACACAATTTTGGGTTCCGGCGAGGGTTCGCGCGGAATGGGGATCCGTGAAATCATTGATTCGAGAGACTCAACAGGTTCGACTTCTTCAACCTCAATTGGAGACTTGGGTTCGGGAGGATTGGTTGAGTCGGTTGTTGTAAGTTCAGGGTCCAGCTTTACAGGTGGTTGTTCCTCAGTCTTTTCCAGTTCTTTGGGTTTTGTGCCAAATAAGTCGTCTTCGTCGTCATTCATGAGACTGTCAGTGTTCAAAAAGTTCATGGGATCATCTTGATCATTAAAAAATAATGATGAAGGTGCTTTGGAAGTATCATCCAGTAAGCTCTTTGATGAGTCTGACTTCCCCATGGCCTCTGCGGCTTCCTTTTCGGCAGCTTCCCTGGTTGCCTTTTCGCGTGCCGCTGCAGCTTCTTCAGCCAACCTTTTTTTGTTTTCTTCGGCTTCACGCACAAGCGTTGCATGTTCAATTTTAACTTCTTCAATCTTCTTGGTCCTCTGTTCGACCTGCTCATGGAACAGCTTTCGTCGCTTGCGGTTATCCTCAACTGCATGTTTGTCAAAGTCCATTTGTACAAGCGATTTTGGTTGCCAGAAAGTTTCCCACAAAAGCCGCCGGTGGTTGCGCTGCTGGTTAATATAGTGAGTAAAGTTAAGCACAGAATGGAAAGTTTCCACGTCCTGTGCACGTTCTGCAGAGCCCAAATAAAGAGCCAGTTTTGCGGTCAGCAGTTTGCTTGATCCACGTCCAGGGCCTCCAATCACAGGGGTAACAGACGTTGCACTGTCTGCTGCTCCATTTCCGTTGGGTGAAAATCTTGCCAAACTTTCGGCCAAATCGCGGCTATTTGCCGAAAGAATGGCTGCGAATCCTGCATGGTCCTGAAACTCAAACGAACCCGAGATATCTGAACCTGGCAGAAATGAATCTGGGGGGGCAGTTGCTGGATTTTTAGTAAACACTCCAAGAGACGGGTTGAAATTAAATCCAAGTGGTGGCGGAATCATTGGCACAACACCTACACCATGATTTGAAGGGATAGGTGTTGTGGCGTATCGGAAAGTACCAATGCTAGAGAGTCCAATGGGATAGTGTAATTCCGCATTATTGAACTGTGCAGCAGGGCCCGAAAGGTACGGTAACGGTTTGTGTGAAGCCATACTCATGGGAGGTGGGTGAAGAGGGTTATGAGAACTGTATGCGTTAGATGCTGTAAAAGCTTGGAATTGACTGTGGTGTCCGTAGTGAGATTGGTGGTGGTGGGAGTGATGATGAGAATGATGGCTTCCAGGCCCATGATGGCTATTACTATTAATTCCGCTACCCCCGCCACCTCCACCACTGCCACCCCCACTTCCTCCCCCACCCCGTTGCGTGGGATATGAGTCCTGTGCTGGAGCCACAGGGCCTACTGTTACAGATGATGGGCCACCGCCATATCTTTTTGCATCAAAAACGACTCTATCTTGTTCAGTGAACCCTGCCTCTATAGCCTTTTGTTCCCAATAGTCATCTTTAACGCGATATCCATCTTTTACAACTTTGGCACCAAATTCGCGGAATATTGACCTTGCCGTTACTAGTGCTATTTGCCGAGACCTAAAGGAATAAGAAAGAATTTTGAGCGCAATAAGTTTTTCCTTATCACTTTGAGAGGCAATCATTTTGTATAGTGACTTGTTTTTATTAAATAGAAGGTACGAATCTCGATAGTTTAGCTCTTTGGCACACTCTGTGGCCATCATGAAAAGCTTGTTTCCGCGGCCTGGCAGCGTGAATGTATGAATACGGTATTCACGGTCGCCAAGTAGTTCGCCATCTATCGAGATTTTCTTTTCACCAGCTTCGTCAAATAAAATGGGCACGTATTCATCCTTTTCTGGTGTCAGTTCTGTAGTTGTTGTGATGCCATTTTGCGAAGTCATTTTGAATTTTTTTAAAAGTGTGGCAGAAAGTGAGAAGGTCAATTGACGCGTTTTTTCTTTTTCTCTGGCTATAGGGTATTATTCCGAAAGTGTAGAAATTGAAGGATGAAATATTAATTAAGGGTATGACGCGTGTATTTTTTTAAAAAAAAATTATAGTAAAGTACAGTCCCACGGTAAAAGACCTTGTTTGTGTATAGTGTAAGTATAGGCAAATATATATATATATATATATATATATATATTTTTTTTCAGCTGTGTGTTTTTGGTCCGTGTTTGTGTTTCGTGATGATTAAATTGGTGGTTTAGGTATTTTTTTATTTTTTGTGGAAAAAAATAAATAAATAAAATAAAATTGTTATTTAGAAATACCCTAACCTGAATTTTCAATCATGTGATATTCACGTGAGTTTAAATATTATTTAACCTCGGCATTTAAATTAAAGTTTGGAATGACTTTATTTTGCGACTACCCAAAATATTAAATTAAAAGATTATTCAAAGAAAAAATATGATGTTTGGTTTCTTTTTTTTTCGGTTAAACACAATCCATTAAGTTGATTATAAGCATATTAAATGTTTGAATCACTGAATAAACGTAGACAATTTCGCAATGCGCGATTTTAAAAAAAAGAAAAAAAAAAAAAAAAGAGGACACTTACTGCCTTCATTTTGTTGGAATGTAAAGATTAAAGAAAAAAAAATGAATGAGGTTTCAACAATAGGTAACTGGAAGAAGCATTAACTAGGTATAAAAGGTTTTGAATCATTTAAGGGTCTATCAATGTAGTAAATTAAATGTTTTAACTATATTCACCGTCACTTTTAATGTTAAATCATCATTTAGATCTTAAGCTTTTTTTTTTTTTTTTTTGTGCTGGGATAGATCTGCATAGGAAAATATATGTTACGATAGTTTGGACTCAAAATATTGCCCAGGTATTATTTGATTCCGGGAAGATTACCGCTTGGTTGCAACCTGTTTTGTTGGTTAACTGGTTGCATGGAAATTTTTGTTCTTTCTGCATAGGAACAACAAACTTTGCATGTAGGTTTGCAGTTTTTTTATTTATTTATTTATTTTTTAATTTATTTTAAGAACGATAGCAGAAAACCAAAGAAAGACTCAAGTAGAATGACTCCCCCCTAATTAGAAATAACAAAAAAAAAGATATCTTTCTAAGAAAGATGAGTTTTTTTTTTTAAAATTATTAATTTTGTTTTTTATACAATAATTATTATTATTGACAAAAGTTTGGTGCATACCGGTGCAGCACCGAACCCAAACTACAAACAAGGAAGTCGGTGTAACGTCGGCATTAAATGAAGGTTCACTCATGTGAAGAAGATAAAAACAAAAACAGCAACACCATCAACAACAGCAACAACAACAGCAACACCGGCCACAGTTCTCGGTACTTAATTATAATTATGTCTTAACCTTTTTCGTAATAATAAAATGAATGGCATGCTGGATGGGTCTACTAATTTGAATTAATGCTAGCATTCCCTCGGAGGGTTTGGTGATGATGTGGATATAGTTAAAATTAGTTTGTTTATTTGTTTGTTTGTATTAACTACCTAACATTTGGTATATACCAATATATACCCAGTTGTCTAGTCCATAGCAACGACCCTTTAAATGGTCTGACTGGATGGTTGATCAAGTAACTTGAATACCGCCTTAATATATTAAACAATAGAAAGAAATCAAATACAATGCTTTGTTTTTTTTTTCTTTTTTTTTTTTATATATTATTAGTTTGTTGACTTCAATATTGATTTTTATCTCCATCATTTAAGGCTCCATTCTTTTTATGACCATGTGTGAATGTTTGTAAAAGTAAAATAACATTTGTAGATATTGAATGAATAATCATAATAAATAATAATTCGCGCCTTATTAAAGCTCGAGATTTCGGAAAAATAAGAAGCCGTGTGTGGAAAGGTACACTACTTAACCTTCTCTCACCCACTCAAAGTTTTTCCGAAAATGAGCTCAAGTAATCCATACAGTTTTAAAATGAAAATGATACACAAATTTTGAACATAACTATAATACATTAAAAAATTCTAAACAAACTAAAGGATTTTTTTTTAAAGGTGTGGGGGGGAAGGGAAAAGAGAGGGAGATTTTTATTAAGGGAAAGTCATAAAATCATGAGAAAAAAATGCCAAGTGAATGAAGGTTTTTAATAAAAAAAAAAGGGCCAATCCTTTTTTTTTTTTACACCATAGACTCTGATCGCGACATGGTTCTGGCGAGAGCAAGGGACAAAGTGTCTTCCTCGTCCTCTTCCTCGCCGGCCTCCTCGCGCTCCTTTCTCTGGCGCTCTTCCTCTGCAATGAGGCGGTTAAAGTAAGAACCGGCACGCAATCGGGGTCCGTAGATCTCAAAGAGCCAAGGAATAGGCATCATGGCAAGAGCAACAAAGGCAAAGAAGGAAGAAGCCCAGGAAATGTGCATGCGCTTATACATTTGGACGGTGAAGAGGGGGAAGACAGAGGCAATGATATAACGAGCAAGGTTATTTGCGGCAAGCGCGGAAGCCAGAATAATAGTAGGGTATGAAAGCATAAAGTAGAGAAGAACAGAAAAGAAAATGAGCAGCAAAGACATGCCAAAGGGTACACCAGCAGCAAGCGGGGCCATCCAGTGGACACTTGCGCGTGCAGTCCAAGCTTGCCAAAAGAGTGAGATGGGGAGAAGGATTGCACCAATTTTGGCAGGGAGCAGACGAGACTCAGCAGTAGGGATGATGGGCTTGCCATCTTCACCCTTAGGGATGCGAGTACCATCTGGTTGTGTGGGATAAAAGATAAAGCGGTCGATTGAAAGGAAAACAACGACACCCAAGCACAAACCAACACCAATACCAATAAAGGTAAGGCCTGTGATGGAGTGAGACATGTCGTAGACTCCAGTATAGATAACTGGGTAAGCCTCAAAGAAGCCGAAGAGAATGGCAAAAACAAAGGCAGAGTAGATGGAAAGTACAATAACAATGGGTTCACGGGCGAAAAGCATTTGAAGAGGACGGAGAACAGTAAGAACTAGAATGAGTTTGAGGAAGCCGCCGAGGCCCATCTTGGGCTTTTGGATTGTAATACCACGCTTCTTGGCACGGCGACGCATAATGGTGCGCTTATAAGTCTCAGGCATCCAGATAATGAAGGGGATAGTGACGCCAGAAAGCATGAGACTGATCCACATGGTCCACTTCCAGCCTTTAGCAGCAACAGCAAAGCCGCCCATGATGGGACCAAGAACAGGGCCTGCAAAGGGAGCAAAGCAAAAGGCAGTCATTGTAACGCCAAGCATTTCAATGGACCAGAGATCACTAATGGTACCACCAGCAATGGCCATGACTGGGGAGGCGAAAAAGCCCGAGAAGAAACGAAGAATAAGAACGGACCAAATGTTTGTGGAAAGACCAACGCCCATGACGAAAAGCATGGAGATGGGCATGGAGGTAAGGTAAACGATTTTACGGCCAAAAATCTCTGAAAGGGGGGCACCGAGAACAGGGCCGAGTGAGAGACCAATGAGGTAAAAGGTAAGACCGGAAAGGACTAGAGTTTGAGAGGCATGGAACTTAACCATCATATCGAAAGTTCCTGAGACGAAGAGGGAAGAGCCGCAAGTGACGGAGAGACACATAAAGGCAGCTGTCATGGTGATGACCCATTTTTTCAGGTTGCTCCAATTTTGCGGGTTTTCCGGGTCATCGGGGCTGTCCCAATCGAGGGATTCTAGTGGCACTGGTTCATCTGGATTGTGTTGATGGGCATGATGGTGGTCTTCTTCATCTTCTTCTTTTTCTTTTGGATTATGGAATGGTTGTGGTTTTTCTGTAAGAGATAATGGGATATCGTCATTTTCTGGAATGTAGATTTCGTTTGAGTTATCTGAAGACGAGTCTGAGATTTTTTCATTGGCTGGCTTGTCGCCATATGTTTCTTGTGTTTGAATGTCACTATTTGACATTTTTTATAAATGTTGGAAGGTATATGTGTGTTGTATATATATGATGAAGTATTGAATGGGATTCAAAATGATAGGGAATTGAAGGTAAATTTATAAAAAATAAAAAAATAAAAAAAAATAAAAAAGATTTTTAAAAATACAGAAAAGGCAATCATTGGGAGGGATTGAATGGGTATTTATATAGAAAAAAAAACCTCCCCGGGACTTGTGTTTATGGCTATTGATTGTATATGTTTTTTTTTAATTTGATATATATATATATTATAATATATATAAATAATGTTGATTTATATGTTTTCTATATATTTTCAAGAATAAAAAAAAAAAAAAAAAAAGCTCCTTTGGCTAAATCGGCACACAACCAGTTTAGGGGCAGTGGCAGTAGCAGCAACAGCAGTTTTAATTGCGAAGGCCTGCTGCTGGTTGTGATTATTTAATCCGTGTGTGTGTGTGTGTTGTGGCCTCGGTTAAGATAGAAGCCAGTTATGGACTTTTTTTTTTTTTTTTTTTTAAAAAAGATTTCTTTTATTTTATTGCTCATTCCTAAATCCATATTATCATCATTATGATGATGATAATGATGATGACGAAAAAGTCTGGCTATGACTTATTCCACGTGCAAAAAATGACTTCCATACAAGGGAAAAGCCGTTATTAAGGGGATTTTGGAAGAAATAAATAAAAGAAAATAAAAATTTGTGATTTCTTAATCAAAATGTTAATTTAAAAAAATGATTATTTCTCAAGAAACACAAATACAAATACAAATATAATTTCAATAATAATTATAATCTCTTTTTGAAGTTCAAAAGATTTGAATATTTCTCATTTATTCTTTCCCCCATCTTCTTAAAAAAAAAAAAAAACTGGCATCTGGGGTACCGACACACATAAATAAAAACCCTTTGCAAAGAATGTTATTTTTTTTTGTCACAAAGCCAGTTTGTGGATATCCATCAATGGATATCATGTGTATAAATTTTAGCCATGTTTTCTAATTCTTTTTTTTTTTCATTTCATTTCATTTCATTTCATTATTGTTTTATATAAAATAAATAAATAAATAAAAATAAGGAAGGAATCATGATGTGACTTAACTAATATGAGCCACTTTATGTTTGACAATAATTTTTTTTAAGTCTTGTAAGCATCAAAAAAAAAAAAAAAAAAAAAAAAAACGAATTACGCAATAATTAATAGAAGCTTTTGTGTGTGTGTGTGTTTTTTTCTTTTTTTTTTCATTTTAACTGATGTCAGAATGATTTTCAATCATTTTATCGAAATTTTTTTTTTTATTTTTTTATTATTTTTATATTTTATATTTTAAAATGTAAATTGTATATAAATTGCAAAATTTTAATGTTGTTTTTCTTTTATAAATTTTTAAAAACTGTTTTATATAAGCATCGAAATTTCCTTTAAACTAAAAAAAAAAAAAAAAAAAAACCAAAAATTAAGCTCATAAGCACGGCTGGTGATTATGTAATTGCTATCTTTCTTTAGGTCTAAGAAATATTGTTGCTTCTCTTTTTGACTTAGCAAAGAAGATAAAAAAACCGGGCCGAGGATCCAAAAAAAAAAAGGTGGAATAATAATCATCCATCCACAAGTGTCAAAATAAAAAAAATAAAAATAAAAATAAATATATATATATATATATGAATTTGTAATTGAAAGAATAAGATATGATCAACAAAAATTCCCTATTTAGAAAAATAAAAAAAAAAGAAAAAATAGAAATTTATGAGAATATATAAGAAATTAAAAAAAAAAGAAAGTTAACCAAAGTTGAATAATCCGGCTGTAAGCAGCAATAATGTAGCTGATAATGATTTCCTTGAATTTAAAAAAAATATAATCTGTTCACCTGCGTATTCTTCTTCCTTGTCTTATATAAAGAGAGGCCTTAATTTTTTTTTTTTTTTTCATCATAGATTATAATATAAATGTTAGATTTAAACAAAAGTTGAATTACAGAAACAAAAAAAGGAAAGTAACCCCTAAGTTGTACAATTCAAGTTTTTTTTTTTTTTTTTCCAGTTGACTAACTTCAAACTGTTTGAGTTGTATGAATAAATATCTTAATGTAATAAATCAATATAAATATATAGATATATAGATATATAAAATACCCTATTTGTTCAAAAGCAGAAGCATTAATAACTGTCTACGTTTAAGGCCAGATTCTTGGAAACTGAATACTCACCTATTAAAGATATTCAAGATTTGACTGGCTACCTAAGCTTTCTTACCTACTGTCTTAAATATTAAGAAAATATGATAGACAGATATAGTTAAATAAATAAATAAATAAATAAAATATAAATAAAATACCACCAACGTTACAAGTTGACATATTTAATTTCAATTAATTATAATTAATTATAATTAATTAGAATAATTCACATAAATGTCTTTTCTTATCTATATTATTTTTTACTTATTTTTATTTAGGGGGGAACAAAAAGCCAAGTTGTTATTTTATATTTTATATGTTATATTTTATTCTGTTGTCAAAATTGCTTCAGAATAGAAACTAATTGATGATATTTAATCAAAACTGAACAAAATTGCTTTAAACATATAAAATGAAATAAAATAAATAAATAAATAAATAAAAAAAAATCATATATTTTTATACATCAATGTATATCAACTTGTTTTTTTTTTCTTTTAATCTTGTCAATTCTTCTTTTCTTTATATATATATATATATATATATATATATATATATCACTCTGAATAATAGTATCTCGTATTTTTTTTTTTCTTAGCACTAATCAAATCACAGTCAAACGTGTATGTGTGTGTAAGCCGATGAGTTTATTTTTGAGCCACGTTGAAAGCTTTTTTTAGTGGGAAAAAAGAAAAAGAAAAAGAAAAAAAAGAAAAAAAATTCCTTCCTTTTAGTCGCATGTCAAGATTTAAAACAATTTGTAGCCACTTGGGAAACTGTTTCTTCTACGCATTAAATCGTTCAATTTGTTTTTTTTTTTTTTTTTTTTTTTTTTAAAATAGTTATTATTATAATAACAAATAAATAACCATTCACTATATAGCAAAAACCCAAAATTTTGATTTAAATGAATATTATATTTAATTATATTTTATACTATTATTATTATTATTATTATTATTATTATTATTTTTTGATCAATTGACTAACCAATTGTTGAAAATCTCAAAGTCCCTAACTGAAATTAAATCAACACTTATTCACTTTTATCATTAAAAGAGGCCTAACTATTATTTATTATAATAACTAAAATATAAGGTAATTACCTTATATTTTCCATTTAATTAATCAATAAATCAATAAATCAATTAACAGATCAATCGATCTTTGAATGACTAAAAAAAATAAAAATAAAAACAACTAAAAGCAACTAAAAGATGAGGGTATAGTGCATAATTATATTATAATATCCATCAACAATGTCACACACTAACAACAACTTTCAATTCAACTGAGCCACTTCTCAATTATCCAATATATATAAATATCAAATATCCTTCTCCTCAAACAAAGAATCAAAAGAATTCAAACTCATGTCTATTTTCTAATGATGATGATGATGTTGTTGTTGTTATTCTTGTTATCTTCAAAATGCCTCATTTAACCACAAGAATTTTCATCACTGGTTTGCTTTATTTGTTCATATCAAAAGGGTATCATCCATTTGTCCTAGTCTAGCAGCCTCTTTCTTCATTAAATGCAAAACAAATACGTCATCGTTTAGACCCTCCGCCTTATCGTTCTTTTTTATTCTCTCTAAAACTCGCTTATTCTTCTTCTTCTTTTTTTTTTTTTTTTTTTTTTTTTTTTTTTCCTTCAAGAACCCCCTGACTGCTTCTTCTCTCCATACTCCTTCACATCAGCCTTCAGTCGCTCTCTCACAATCTGCACAATTGCGTTTTGAGTCTGAGCCTCCAGTACCTTCAGTTGTGGCTCTACATCTCTCTTCAAGTCCCAGTTCGCCCGTTTGGGTTGTAAGCTTTCTAAATCAAGTCCCGTCTTAGTCGATCCAGTTTCATCTTCTGTTTCTGCCCTAGGTCCCGTAGATGATATACCCCGCTCGCGAAGACGCGCCAAAGTCTCCCGCTCAAATTCAGCTGAAACAGCTTCTACTGTCTCGTCCGTTCCAAGCCGCAATGTTGGAGGCCCATTAAACCCAGACTGAGGCCCACGAAGTTCTACGTTATAATTCTTACCAATGGGCTTCAATGGCTCGAAAGCATCAGATTCTTCCTTTGAATTTGAAGCTCTAAAATATATATATTGTATTAGCCAATAATTTTCATCATCATCATCATCATAGTAGTAGTAGTAGTAGTAGTAATATTGATCTCTTTCTAAACTTACCCATTTTCAGTGCCCTTTTTAATGTTTCGCAGCTTAGCCAGCCGCTCTTTCCGACTCAGCGCTTGTGATTCTAAAGATGACATTTGTTTGCAAGATTTTTTCAAATGATGGCAATGGTCAATGGGAAAATAAAAATAAATATAAAAAATAAAAAAAAAGTAAATTTTAAAGCAGTGGAAAAAAAAAAAAAAAAAAACGCGTTAATGTTATGGATTTATTAGTCATGATTAATAATACTTGACACTTTGCACTTTATGTTTTTTTTTTTTTTTTTTTTCCTTCTTCTTCTTCCATAAAATTTCACTCCACCGTTCCCAAATATTCATTCTGGTGATTCTTCTCTAAATTACAAATCTTTTAATTATCTACCCCTCTTTACAAAACTATCCTCGTCCCTAATTTATCTCTGGGAGTAATTTTTCCCTATTTTTATTATTATTATTATTTTTTCTGTTTTTTAGAATTCTTGATAAAAGATTAAAAGACAATTGTCTCTTTTTTTTCTTTTTCTGCTGTAATCTATAAACAACTCTGGACTTTGGGATAGAAGGATATAAAGGACTTATATTTAAAAAAGAAGAAGAAGAAGAAATGGCAGCCAACATTCCAGGCTTTAATTCGTTTTCAACCGTTGACACAAATGTAAGAAACTTTTTTTTTTTTTTTTTTTTGATTTCAGGAGGACTCAAGAAAACGAAAAAAAAAAATGTGTTTGATTAAGCATGCTCTTATTCCTCGACTTTTTTTTTTTGGTCACTTGGATCGCATGCCTTTATACACACATTGAATTTTGTTAAAGTGAGAAATTGAAAAATATTTCATATTGCTTGAGTGTTTTGAAACAAAAAACTTGTTTTTTTTTTTTTTTTTTTTTTTTTTCAAAGAGATTAAGAAATCTGGAATTTTCATCGTATATTGACCACATGGAGGTTTTTTTTTTTTTTATTTTCCTTATAGGGGAAACCAGAGACTTCGGTCATCACGCTGCAACCGCATTATGAATGGCGGTTTGAAATCCCCCAGCGATGTAAATACAGCATCAAGGTATGCCCATTTTAACACTCAATGAATAATCAACTTACAATCGATTTTAAAATCTAACAATACACAGCTATTAAAAGGTACCGCCGAAATCTTTGGAACCGAAATTACACAAGGCCCTGAGTATGTTTTTGCAAACTACAAGGGTGCAATCTACACCTGGCATGGTTGTACTTTTGAATACAAAAATATCTCTAAAAACAGTCTCGGTATGCAAACCCTTGGTCTCGCAAGCATTCGAGGAAGTGGCTCCGGTGCTTCTGCAGCTTCTTACAAGCCCAGCGGAAATGCAACTGGAATTTCCACTGCATCTGGATCTGGGTCTCTAGGAAGTGGCACATCAAACTTTTCTGATTTTTTGCCTGGAGGTGGGTTTGAAGGCTCAACCGTCGATGATGATGATGATGATGACAAGAAAAAAACAAATCCAAATCAAGAACCTGGGAACCCTGACGGATCAGAAACAAAAAACAACAATGCTGTACCAACACCAACATCAGCACCTGTAATCAACAATACTGTCATTTCGGAACACATTTCAGATAAAACAGAAATGACCTTTTATGCAAACTTGCATTTTGCATTTGAAAACATTCGCCAGAAACAAGCCCTAGAGCTTCCTTCAAACTCATCATCACCTCCCTCTACTAATGCTAGTCCACGGGTGTTGCTGTTGGGCCCTCGTGACTGTGGTAAGACATCTCTGTGTAAAACCCTGGTGTCTTACGATTGTAAACGTGGGCGCACGCCAGTTGTTGTGAACTTGGACCCTGTCGAGTCGGTGTTTTGTGCGCCTGGCGCGCTCTCGGCCACCGTGCTTGCTGACATTTTGGAGATTGAACAAGGTTGGGGCGGTAGTGCCATTACAGGACCTGCCCTGTTTCACCCAAAACAGCCTCTCGTGCGTTTTTTTGGACTCGATAATCCCATGAAAAATGTACAGTATTACGGTGAAAGTATCTCATTGCTCGCGAAAAACGTGCGCGAAAGACTGGACCAGGACCCAATTGCTGCTGCAACTGGAATCTACGTCGATACCCCGGCTGAACTAGTGGCCCAGGAAAACAAAGAATTGGCCCGTTCACTTGTTGCCCGTATCATTGCCGATTTTGCCATTAATGTGGTGTTAGTTGTTGGTGCTGATGGATCAGATTTGGTCGACGAGATTAAGAAAATTGTAAATACATCTGCTACTGAACAACAACAAACTCCCGCTTTGGATACAACTACACCACCCATTGAAGAAACAGACCCCTCCAAAAGTACCTCTGCTGATACCACTACTGAAAACTCGTCTGTAACCCCATCACCGTCAACAATCACCCACAAGGTTACTGTGGTGTCAGTTCCTAAATCAGGTGGAGCTGTGATCCGGTCCCCAGAGTTTCTGGTCTCAATGCAGTCGCGGCTCATCAATGAATACTTTTATGGTACACCCAAACAACCCTTGTCACCATATACCATAACGGTTGATTACTCAATGCTTCATATTTACCGTATTGCTGAGGACAAGCTCTCCGACTCCGGCGAGGTTCTTTCAGGCGACACGGCTGGCGCAGAATTCACAGCAAACGGGTCCAATGACGATGATGATGACGATTACTACGAGCCCTTTGACGAAAGTGCTCGTGCACCTGTAGCATCAACAACAAGCACTACAGGTGTAGTTACTTCCTCAGTTCCGAAAAAGCCAAAGTATCTTATTAAGCTCGAACCTAGTTCCATTGTGGAGAATGGGCTTCTTGCGGTAGTAGATGCGAGCGTGGATGATTCAATAGATTCAATTGCCAAGGCAGCTGTGAGGTGTTTTGTTCATGTGGTTGAGGCGGATGATAATCGCCGTAAGATGCGGATTCTTATGCCTATTCATGGTCGGTTGCCCAATAAACCTTTTATTTTGGGTGATTTCCGATATACAGAATAAGCAATAAATAGTATAAGAAAAGAAGAAGAAGAAGAAAAGATGATTTATTATTTTATGAAAAAAAAAAAAAAAATTTGCATTTATTCTTGGATAAAATGATAAAAGTAAAATAAACTTGTTTGAAATTGAAATGGTTTGAAAAATATTAATACCTTGAATCGTAATTGTTCTCATAAACTCTACAAAGCTCTTTAACTGAAAAAAAAATAAAATAAAATAAAATAAAATAAAATAAAACATTTCCCCAAAGATGAAGTCATAAAAACTCAACTAAGTTCTGTTTACATTAGGTTTCAAAATACAAAAAAAAAATGCATTGATTTAGAAATTATAAAAAAAAAAAAAAAAAAAAAAAAAAAAAAAAAAAAAAAAAAATGGCATGCAATAAGTCTCTTTTCTTTTCTACTATACTTTAAGATTTTGAATGAAATTGTCCAAATTGTACTCCTCCTCGTAATCCTTCTCATCCCAGAGCTCTCCAAGCTCGCCAATAGGATTACTGGCTCCTTTGCCCTTAATCTGGCCCGTCTCGTCAAGAGCACCTTCATCATCGCCAGCCCCTCCAGCTCCACCCTTGCCTATGCCTTCAATACTTGCATCCGTCTCAAACAGATCCAGCAACTGGTCCGTGTCCATGGACGCCAGTCCAGAGTTTTGCTGGTTAATGACAGTTGATGCAATGTTAAGCTTAAACTTTTGCAGACCCATAATTTTCTCCTCCAGTGTACCGCGCGTAATTAGACGATAAACATTGACCACCTTCTTCTGACCAATACGATGCGCACGATCCATGGCCTGCAAGTCATTCATAGGATTCCAATCGTGCTCAACAAAAATAACAGTGTCAGCACCCGTCAAGTTCAAACCGAGACCACCAACGTGAGTTGTCAGCAATAAAACATCGATAGAAGGATCACTATTAAACTTTTGCACAATTTCGTGACGAATACGAGCATCCTTGCTACCGTCAAGACGCATGTATGTTACTGATGGCATGTATTTCTTGAGCAAATCGTTCTCCACAATGTCCAACATATCCTTGAGCTGACAGAAAATCAAAGCACGATGCTGCGAAGTTACACCGGCATTGAGCTCATTCAATTGGTTAGCAACAACGCTGCTATTGCTTCCGTTAGTCGTAGCAACCGCATCGTTATTATTGACACCAATGCCACTCGACTTGAGCAGTTCTTGAAGAGCAAGAAGCTTAGGAGCATGCTGAATGGAGCGAATATTATCGTGGTGTGCTTGTAGCTGGTGCATAACCAATTGGTATTGAGGATGCTTGGGGTTCATAATAAGAGCAGGGTGGTTACACAACTTGCGCATGTACTGTAGAGCCTGGAAAATGTGCTGCTTGCCCTCCTTTGATCCAACCTCAGAGGAAACCGAAGGTTTCTGTTTTTTGGCAAAGCTTTCATATAATTGCTTTTGCAAATCACTAAGCTCACAGTAGTAATCCTGGATAATCTTTGGTGGCAAGTCAGATAAAACGTCTTCCTTAAGACGACGCAGCAAAAATGGAAGTACTTGCTTATGGAGCGCCTCAAGAGCCAAGGCACCAGCCTCCTGTTCTTTGGAAGAGCTCTTACTATTACGACTCGCTGCAATAGGTTTAGCAAAGCGCTCATTGAAAACCTTTTCAGTACCCAAAAATCCAGGCATTAAAAAGTCAAAGAGCGACCAAAGTTCCAAAACGTTGTTTTGAATAGGAGTACCAGAAAGAATAAGTCTGTGGTTTGCAATAAGCTTTTTGACAGCTTGAGTAAGCTTGGAAGACGCATTGCGGATAATATGGCCTTCATCGAGGGTGCAGTAGTTCCAGTTTTGTTGGTTAATGTGAGAAATATCATTTCTGGTAATATCATACGAGGTGATGACAACGTCGTAATCATTGAAAGTGGGGATGAGCTTTTGACGAACATTAGGAGGCCCGACGTAGCATAAACACTTGATAAATGGAGCATAAGTGTTAAACTCATGCATCCAGTGGCCAGTAAGAGTAGGCGGGCAAATGATAATGGATGGCAACCGTCGCGATTCTGGAGAATGTGATTTTGCATGTTCCTCAGCGCGAAGATGGTGGTCACTGGCAATTATGCAAATTGTTTGAAGAGTTTTACCAAGACCCATATCATCACATAAAATACCATGAAGGTGGTACTTGTTGAGAAAGGCAAGCCAATTAACACCTTCCTGCTGGTAAGATCGAAGACTGGCCTTGATAGCAACAGGAAGTTTAAACGTTTGAACTTTGCTGACATCAAGCATTTGAGAAATAAACTCCCGCTCACGGTCTCTTCCTTCCAAAAGCTTTCCCGACATTCCTGGAGGATCAGGAATACCAGACTCAAGAGGAACAAGCTTGATGATTGAAGCAAATGTAGTTGTAGCCAGTAAACGAATATCTTGATCAGCATCACTCATGCGACCCAAAACAGGAACAATCAAGAAGACAACGTAGGGAAGAATATCAGATCCCATTGTGGCAGTAAGATGGTAAATGCATTCAATAGCACCCTGGCGAGAGTAAATTTCAAGAGCATTAGAAACCATGGAGAGAATGTTCTCTACAAGGAAAGTAATACCAGTGATGGGCATGACGCTGCAAATAGAAGCAAAGCACTTAGCAGCTGCATATCTAAGAACAGAGTACTTAACTGTAAGAATCTTTTGGATAAGAGGGAAGATTGGCTTAAAGTCATCATGCAGAGAAGGGTCAACGAATGGAAGTAAAGCACGAATTACTGACAAGGCGTCAATAATGTCTTGGCCATAAGTGGACTCAGAATCCTCGATATCAGGTGGCAGCTGAGTAATGTTATAATCGGCATCTGGAAGAGCATTAAACATGCACTCCTTGAGCTTGGGCAGTTTGTTGAAAACTTGTGAGCCATAATGGCGTGTCATGTTTTCCAAAGCAGTCTGAGCACCCAGGCGCTTAATCTTTGCCGCGTGAACTTCACGCTGATGCGCAATAATGTCGGCAGGGTCAGACTTGGCTTCTTCCTTGCGCAGAGACAAAATTTTATCCAAGAAGAGTTGATTGGGGTGAAACTCAGGTACCTCGGAAGTGTCCACACAAAGAAATGAGCAAAGGTTCTTGACAATCTTGTCGGAAGCACCAGTCTTGCCCATGTCAACAAACATAGTTACCAAACGGGAAATGGAAGAGGCAGCACGCAATTGAAGCTGGCGGTGTTCCTCAGCTTTGACGCTGTCCATAAGACTGCGGATAATAGGATTAAGTTTCTTTGGAAGAGTGTTAAAGCTGACATATGCTGCAGCAACCGCTGAAAATATGCTAATGTCGCGAGAGGATTTAGCATCATGGGCTTCTTGAATAGAATGAAGAAGATTTCGGTGAGCATCATCCAGCACTTTTGCATATGTGATACGGTATCCAGCAGAAAGCGACCGGCGAAGCTTGTCATAAGTAACAGTGGCAACAGATTGAGCAGTGTCAATGCTAAAAGACTCAGGACCAGCTTCAGCTTCGCCTTGAACAACAACAGCAAGCTGAGGAATCTTATTAGCAGATAACTTGGCGGAGTCAACAAAGACACTGAAGAGAGTGAGACACTGGGTGCGCACAGCCTTGAGGTAAGGAACAAAATCTCTATACATGGGGATGGGTTGGTCATTATTAAGAATGGAGGTGAAAAGTTCGATATTGACATTCTTGTACTGAACATGGCTAGGGTTTTGAGTCATTTCAGGAGAAAGTGATCGGCCATACTCTTCGAGAATAACACCAGTTAAAAGACGCTGGGTAGAAAAGGTGGAAAAGATGTACTTGTTAAAAACAAAGAGAGATGAAACTTCAGAAGGCTCCCACATTGCAATCAAACGGCCATAAGCTTTTGAAGACGCAATTCTAGTGCGGAGGAAAGTGGAGAACCCGATAAGTGTGACATCGCCCTTGAGAATGGGGCTATCGATGTTGACCTCAAAAGAAACCGGGATTGAGGATTCTTTTGGAGCAGCAGGTGTGGTGGTGCGACGTTTACGCTTATTTGTAGATTTGGAATCTGAACCATTGCCATTGGAAACAGGAAGGGTGAGCGGGGCACCGGTAGGTTTAATCATGAGAGTTGTATCCATCTTGTATGATGTTCTAGAGGCACCAATAGGGGTCATTAACAATATAAGTAAAGACTTTGCATGAGGCCCTAAAAGTTTTGTAATGCTGTATGTACCGTTTGGAGAATGTTCGATGGAATGGTCCAAGAGAGCATTCCAGAGGTTAAGAGAAAGATTTAAAACGTCTTCATTTTGCTCAACAAGGAGATTTTGGAAAACAAGACGTAAAACAATGGAATTGATCCAGTCCTTGGTACCAGGGCCATCAATAGCCAAAAAAGTTAAAAGGGCACGCAAAACAGATTTCCGAACGTTTGTGATTGAATGACGCAAAAATGGAGAGAGATGAGGAACTAACATGGAAAAGGATTTGGAGGGATCATGTTCCGCATTTTCTTTAATGATTTCAAGAACCTGAGGATACTCACTTAGCTTGGCGAGAAGATCCATGACGTTACCAATACTGGCACTAAGTTCGTCTCTAAGCTCTGCCAAACAGCCCCAGAGAACATCGAGTAGCGCTGGGATAGTTTTGGAACGGAGAGTAACAAACTCGTTTGAGATTGGAATGAGAGTAGCAGCACTCATAGCTTGAACATCATCATCAGATTCCTTAAGGCCATGAATTACGCATGCAATAAGGCCGTCAAGATAATCTGAACTCTTGAATAAAATGTCATTACGAACAGAAACAAGGTAACGAAGACCAAGCATGCCACCATGGCAAGCCTCCCAAAGTGGGGCAGGCAGATCCAAATCAGTTTGAAGAACTAGACGAGTTAAAACGTCAAAAGTGCTTTTAATGACAGAATCAGGGAGATGTAAAAGAAGGGCACCTAAAGTTTGAGCGGCAGATTCGCGGACAGGGGCAACCACTTGATCTGCAACATAGTCACCAAAACGATCGAGTGCAAAGATGCAGCAGAGACGGCAGGAAAGATCCTCGAGCCAAGCTCTATTGCGCTCATCATTTTCTATGCGAGACTTGCCAATGACTCTGCCAGCGCCAGCGCCGTGGACCTTGATGACTTCACGCAGGCCCAGCGCAGCACCGTGGCGGACCTCCCAGACAGCGTCAAAAAGATCAATCATGAGAAGCTCACAAATACCCTCGAATGGCCAAACGCGGCCGGCTGAGCCCTCCATTTGGAGAAGGGGAGAAGTCTTAGGAGCCTTGTGCTCAATGACAACCTTGTCATTGTGTCCTTGTTCAGTTGTAGTCCACTCGCTTCCATCCTGTTGCATTTTGACAGCTGAAGGCGCAGGGCTTTCTTGGTCCATGCGACGAGCAGCCGAACTAGCGGCCAGGTCCACGACACGAACCTTATTTTGGTTATGTTTAGCATCATTTTTAGCTTTCCGGCGGGCCATGGCACGGAGTCGTGCATTTGAAGCGGAAACATGATCTGGTGCTGGATGAGCAGCCGTGGCAGTGGCAGCGGCAGTACCAGCAGAAGAAAAAGAAGAAGAAGAAGAAGAAGAAGAAGAAGCAGGAGAATTACCATGCTGAGATTGTTCTGGGGTAGCCCTGCCAGATTTTGGAGCAGGAGAAGAATTATTTTTGGAACGAGAGGAAGGTCTCTTTGGTTTATCAGTGGTGATTCCAACGACGGGGGAAGCAGCAGGCGAAGCTGATTTAGGGATAGGGTGAGCAAGGTCAGAATCATTTAAAATCTCATCATCTATATACTCATTTCCAAGACCAAGACGACGTTTCAAGTCCATTTTTTGGCGGCGAAGTTGGTCAATGGAATCTGTATCACCGATAGGTTGGTCGTACTCGCTTCCAGCAGAAGCAACGAGTTTTTTCCCCTTTTTAATGATTTTCTTCAGGTCAAAAGTTTTAAAAGAAAACATTGTATCTGGTAAATCATCTTGGGGTTTTAAAGAGGAAGTGGATTTTTCAGAATCTTCTTGCTTGACGACAGTTGGTAGGAAAGTAGTAGAGTCTTCTTGTTTGATTACAGTATCAGAAGGCTCAGATTTGATTTCTAGGTCAGAAGTTTCTGATTTAATTGGTTTTTCATCTTTTTCGGATTTTATGAGTTGGGATCCATTAGAAGTCTCCGAGTCAAGCTTTACATCCGGCTCTTCGTTATTTGGGTCCCACTTGGGACAATTTGCGACGATTCCGCCAAGAGCACGAGCAGCTGAAATTCTCGTATCCCATTTTTTTGACTTCATATAAGGGAAGACTCTTCCGAGTAAGTTGAGGAGGTCTTCAGGATGAGCTTTTTGAACATCTGCAAGTTGGTCAGCAGCAGTATTGCGCACAAAAGCCGAAGAGCCAGTATCTAAGAGTCTAAAAAAAAAAAAAAAAAAAAAAGTTAGAATGGAAGAAAATTAAAAATAGAAAAAAAAAAAAAAAACAGGATAATAATAATAATAATACATACAATACTAATCGATCTAATCGTGACATTTTAAGTTATTGATAAATATGAGAATAATTTTGTAGTGCTGATAAAAATACATTACTAAAGTATAGGAAATGAGACTTTAGGAAGACATAAAGATGTGCAAAAAAATATATATATGAAATTTGAAATGATGGCGATAATTGTATGATTGATATGTATATATTTATATTTACAATAAAGTTGTTGTTGAAATATCTAATTTAGTGGAGAAAATAAAATCCCATAATTATGAAAAAAAAAAAAAAAAAGAGTTTGAAATTTTTGAAAAAAAAAAAAAAAAAAAACGCGTTTGTGGGGGGGGATTGTGGGATTTAAATAGACGCGTAAAAAGTGGGTTTTGCCCCAAGGCGTGTTTGCTGCGCGTGGCCGAAGGGTGTGTGTGTGTGTGTGTGTGTGTATAAAAGTGGGTTAGGGTGCGGTTAAAAAATAAAATAATAAATGTGAATAGGGTTAGGGTGAGGGCAAAGGGTTTTATATTTATATTTTATATGTGAGTTGCCACTCTATGAGGGGGGGAGGGGGGAAAATTTAAAATAAAAATTAAAAAATTAAAAAAATTAAAAAAATTAAAAAAATAAAAAAAATAAAAAAAATAAATTTTTATTTTATTTTTATTTTTTATTTCTCTTGTTTTTAAATAAATTTTTTAAATGTTTTTTTTTTTTTTTTTTTTTTTGATTTTGATTTTGATTTTCTGGGAAAAAAAAAAGACGGCAGGTGTGCGCCATATATATACTTTTTGGGATGTCACTGGTGTAAAAATAAACACCAGATTTTTGGCCAATGAGCCCTGCCTTTTTTTTTATTTTTTATTTTTTTTATTTTTTTTTATTTTTTTATTTTACTTCTCGGAGCACACACATATATATATATTATATACACACATCACAATAATGTTACTCAGCATAAGCACTACCACCACCACCACCATATTTTGTTATTATATTTTGTTATATAATTTTTTATATTATTTTTAATATATAAAATTATTTTATTATTATCACGGTAGTAGTCAAATATTAACAGACACACCACCATCCCTTCAATTATATAACGGGCCTTTTTTGAGCTTTCCTTATTTCCCTACTTTATATATATATAGATATATATATATAGATATATTAGATAGTTTTCCTTTTTGCTAGGAAACTCAAATATACGTATTACAAAGCAATCGGATCATAACCACACGCAAGCTTAATATTCTTAATACCTTATTAATCGGACGTGTCCCGTTTGGAACCCCAATCTGTTGGTTATGTGGATAATGTCAAAGTTCCGGCTTCCTCTCTCTTTTTTTTTCTTTCTTTCTCTCTTTCTCTATTTACAACAAACATTGACACGACTCGGTTGCCACTCACTACCATGTAAACAAATAGGGGAGGAGGGGGCTCACGCAAAAAAATTTTAAATTTTTTTTTTAAATTTTAAATAATAAAAAAAAAAAAAAAAAAAAAATCGAGCTTAAAATTTTTTTTTTTATTTTTTTTTTATTTTTTTTTTATTTTTTTTTTTTTTTAGTTTAGCCTTACTAGGCTGGCTTTTATTTATTCTTAAATTATTTCCATGCCATGCTGTTCCATACCAAAAAAAAAAAAAAAAATTTTTTGTTGTTTTTTTGTTCTTCTTCTACTTGGAATTTTTTTTTTCCAGACTTGTATATATATATATATATATATATATATATATAATACAATAATAGGTTTTGAAACCACTGAAAAAAAAAAAAAAAAAAAAAAAACTTATTAAATTGAATTTCATAATGATTCTTTTTTTTTTTTTTTTTTTTTTAGGAGAGTAGGTGGTTCAATATATTAAAAGTTTAGAATTCCTTAGAAGTATATATACTATATAGAAAGGACAAAGCTTCATGTTAGCACTAGTTAGTCTAAAATACAGTGTATTTAGTTAACTGGAGCCGTTATTTTTTTTTATTTTTTTTTTTAAGTTGTCATTGTTTGCGGAATTTTATTTTTTTTATTTTTTTTTTTTTTTTTTTTTTTTCTTTATTAATTTGAGCAATCGATAAAAAGGTTTTTAATATCCATATGCTTGACAATTAATTCAAATAAATATAATAGTAGTAATATTAGTAAAAGGAATGCTAATCAAGGTAAAAGTGGAAATAAAATTTTGAAGAAGAAGAAGAAGAAGAAGAAAAAATAAAAAAATAAAAATTTTTTTAAACAAAAACAAGATGATTAAGTTTTTAATGGAGGTGTAGTTGTTTAGTGATATTTGGTAATTTCTAAAAGGTGTTGTTGGCCCAAAGAAATAAATAAAAAAAAAAAAAAAAAAACCCAAGTATGTTTGTGTGTGTGTGTAGGAGAACTCTTAATATTTCTTATTTAGAAAGTTTAAAAGGGCTCACATGTAAATTTTCAAAATAATGTCACAAGTATGTAATAAAATCATGTAATGTAATTATAAAAAAAAAAAAAAAAAAAAAACTTTTACAATATTCCCCGCCTTTTTTTTTTTTTTTTTTTTTTTGTATGAGTTATTTAAATAGTTTGCATAAAAAATGATTTTATAAGTTTCATGGTATTTTTATTTTTTTATTTATTTTTATTTATTTTTATTTATTTTTATTTATTTTTATTTATTTTTATTTTTTTGTGAGAACCAATGACGTTTGATTGGGAATTCTTAGATGAATTTTTAAACCAAAAAAAAATTAAAATTAAAAATAAAATAAACAGAATTATTACTTAACACTTGGGATTTAAAACAAGATACATACCTATCGATTAATTGACAAAAGTTGTTATCAAAATCAAACAAAAAAAAAAAAAAAAATCAATGAACTTTCCATAAGAGGTAGTAGTATATACTTGAAAAGTTTTTTTTTTTTTTTTATATACTATATATGGCAGTAATCGAGCAAATTAATTATATATTAATTTACATATTATAATGTAGAAACTTTTTAAACAGTGAGGAATTAAAGAGAAGACCATATAAAAAGTTATTGAAATATCTTTAAATTTTAAAATAAAAAAAAAAAAAAAATCTATAGAAAGATTTATAAAATCAATATTTGATAGATTGATTTAAATTACTATGATATGAAAAAAAAAAAAAAAAAAAATTTCAATTTAATTTTTTTTTTTTAAAATTTTAAATAAAGAATCATTTATGAGATTAATGAGTCACTATCAAAGAAATTAATCAGTCATATATGGTGATCAATGGAAAAAAAAAAAAAAAAAAAAAAAGTTTAAGTAAGACTTTTAAACACATATATTCAAATGTTTTATCTTCTGTTTATCTTTTTTTTTTTTTTTTTTTTTTTTTTTTTAATTCTCCTTATTGCTCGTATCGCGAGACATTTCAACGAGCCACTCTGTAATTTATTAGAAGCGGCAGTTTAGACGGAGGTGAAATTTTATTTTTTTTTTTATTTTTACATATTGTTGTAGTGATGTGTGGCTATAGGGGGCGACTTTTGACTTATATAATTATGTAACAAAATGTAAGGCTGAGGGATGACATGTGCCTGTTTTTTATTTTTTAATATCAAAAAAAAAAAAAAAAAAAAAAGTTGTCATTGCACTTTTTTTTTGTTTTGTTTTATTAAATCTTTGTGTACACATAAAAAATTTCTTATTTTCCATAGATCCAGAATACTACAGCTGAGTCATCTTTTTTCTCCCCACACTTTTTTGTAATAATTACATAATCTTTATCAGATATATATGATTTTCATATGACTAATTTATATTTCTTAAAAAATTTTTCAAAAAAAAAAAAAAAAAAAAAAAAAAAAAAAAAAAAAAAAAAGGCTTAGCAAATAAAAAAAAAAAAAAAAAAAAATTTTTTTATATATACACACACATAGAGAATCAATAGCCCTCATAGTATTTTAGTTCTACATATATAAATAAATATTAAGTCCTTGTGAAATAGTCATATAAATTAATTATTGTTAAATATTTTTAAATATCCCCGTAGTAAAAAAAAAAAATAAAAATAAAATAAAATAAAATAATCTTGAGAGTGACTTATCTTTTTTTGACAAAAAAAAAAAAATCCATTCAAAACCCTCTCACCCCCCTTCCCTTCCTCTTCGAATAAAAAAAAAAAAAACTATAAAAGTCCCTTTCATTTCCCTTTTACAAAAAAATTTTTTTTTTTTTTTTCTTTCTTTCTTTCTTTCTTTCTTTCTTTTCCACACACACCCATTCCTTCCTTCCTTCCTTTCTTCTTCTTCTTCTTCTTCTTCTTCTTCTTCTTCTTCTCTTTTTAAATTAATTGAAAATTTTTCACTCAATATAAATTTTTATTTTTTTTAAAAAAAAAAAAAAGCCCTCATCGTCATCTCATTCAGCATCTTTACAATCACCATTTTATTTTATTTATTCAACCATCCAGTAATATAATACCATAATAATACCATCAAATACCTATTTTTTAACAATAAAAAAAATGACTGAAGCTTCTTCTACTACACCTTCTTCTTCTTCTTCTTCCTCTACCAACGGCACTGAAAGCCTCCTGCCCAAGTCTAATCCTTATGGACCTAACCCAAGCGATTTCCTCTCCAATGTCAGCAGTTTCAAGCTGATTGAATCCACCCTGAGAGAAGGTGAACAATTTGCCAATGCCTTTTTCGACACTGAAAAGAAGATTGAAATTGCCAAGGCTCTTGATGACTTTGGTGTCGACTACATTGAGCTTACCTCACCAGCTGCTTCCGAACAATCGCGCAAGGACTGCGAAGCTATCTGCAAACTCGGCCTCAAGGCTAAGATCCTTACCCACATTAGATGCCACATGGACGACGCCCGGTTAGCTGTCGCAACTGGTGTCGACGGTGTCGACGTTGTTATTGGCACCTCCCAGTTCCTTAGACAATTCTCCCACGGTAAGGATATGAGTTACATTGCCCAGTCTGCAGTTGAAGTCATTGAATACGTCAAGTCCCACAATATCGAGATTCGATTTTCTTCCGAAGACTCGTTCCGATCAGACCTTGTCGATCTTCTCAACATTTACAGAACAGTCGACAAGATTGGTGTCAACCGTGTTGGTATCGCTGATACCGTTGGTTGCGCAAACCCCAGACAAGTTTATGACCTTGTCAGAACCCTCCGTTCCATTGTCTCTTGCGAGATTGAATGCCATTTCCACAATGACACTGGCTGTGCTATTGCCAATGCCTACTCGGCCCTTGAGGCTGGTGCCACCCTGATTGACGTTTCCGTCCTGGGTATCGGTGAGAGAAATGGTATTACTCCTCTTGGTGGTCTCATGGCCCGCATGATTGCTGCTGACCGCGACTATGTTCTTTCCAAGTACAAGCTCCACAAGCTGAGAGATCTCGAGAACCTGGTTGCTGAGGCCGTCCACGTTAATATTCCCTTCAACAACCCCATTACTGGTTTCTGTGCCTTCACCCACAAGGCTGGTATCCACGCCAAGGCCATTCTCGCTAACCCCTCTACCTACGAGATTCTTAACCCTGCTGATTTTGGTCTTTCCAGATATATCCACTTTGCTAACCGTCTCACTGGCTGGAACGCTATCAAGTCAAGAGTTGACCAGCTCAACCTTCATCTTACTGATGACCAGTGCAAGGAAGTTACTGCCAAGATTAAGAAGCTTGGTGACATTAGACCTCTGAATATCGATGATGTTGATTCCATCATTCGTGATTTCCATGCCGAAGTTAACACCCCAAGGCTCGGTCCTGTTGGCGATGAGCCTGCTCCCAAGAGAGCCAAGACTGAGGCTTCGTCTCTCTCTAACGAGGTTACCCAGGAGGAAGAGGCCAAGACTGAGGAGGCTCCTTCTGCTTAAAAAGGACAATAAAAAAAATGTTTATGTGATTATTACTACAATGTGTTGATATTAGAACAAGCAAACAAACAAACAAAAAAAGGATTCTATTCTATCGGTTTTTGAAGTTTTTCTTTTTTTCTTTTTTTCTTTTTTTCTTTTTCTTTCTTTTTTTTTTTTTTTTTTTTTTTTAGCTTATAGACAAAAAATTGGCATGTTATTTGTTTTTTTTTAAAGATCTCTTTTGATTTATTGATTTTTATTTAATACGTAGTTTTTTTTTTTTTTTGTTATCTTGCTCTTAGATCAATTATTTGGATTTTGAAGTTTATTTTATTTTTTTATTTCTGGTAAAAAAAAAAAAAAAATTTTTTTTCACCATATGATAGTCCAATCATAAGCATTATCTTGATTTACAGATAGGTCTAATAAAAAATGTTCGGAAGCAACAACAATAATAATAACATTAACAAAAACCATAAAAAAAAAAAAAAAAAACTTTTTCAACCGGATCCTCCTTCCCCATTTTTTTATTTTTTTTATTTTTAAAGAATCGGCCCGTAAAAAAAAAACAGCAATCCCGTATAATTGTTAGTTTAGTGAGGAACCAATCCTAAAATGATGTAGTAATTCATATTCAATTAATTCTATATACCCAAAGAGCGACATGTTAAACGAACAACTTATATCAATATTCAGTTTATATGCTAACAGACCATTGTAGTCTCATTTTAAATGTATTATTATTATTATTTTTTTTTTTTCCCATTCTTCATTTTTAATTCAGTAACACTGTAACGACAAGTTTCAATAGTTGAACAAAAAAAAAAAAAAAAAAAAAAACTTTCTTGGAAAGTAAAACTTGGGACATTAATCATTTTATGATTCGAACTATCTACATAATTAATTGAAAAAAATTTATTTTTTTTTTCTTTTACTTTCGGTTCCTTGTGATCCACTGATAAGTTTTCATTTTATTTTTATTATTATTCAAAAAAACTTCGTGAAGATGTTAAATTTTATTAAGAAGAAGAAATGAAAATAAAATCAACTTTCAACGTCCCGGCTAGAAAAAACCCGACAATACTATTTGTTTGCTATATATTACCTTCATGCCTAAATATTCAAGCCGTACATAATTAAATCACATGATACATGAATATTTATCATAACCTTTGTTACAATTGTTATGCCAATTAGTATATTACAAAACAAACTCTTTTTATTGTCACTAAATCTGTCATAAAAGTTGTCACATAAAATAGGCAGCCATCACCACCCACCGTCTCAATGCGGCCAGCCTCAACTCCCTCATGCAGCGACCAGTGCTGCATCACGACTGCAAAAATTTTTGGCTGCATACACACAAATTTATTGGGTTTTTTGGGCGGGAGATTTTTTTTTTTCTATATATACAAACCAAAAAAAAAAAAAAATAAAAAGTCATTCACTACCACCATCATTTTATAAAACCTCCTTCTTACCCACACCTTTTATTTAATTTTTTTTTTTTTCAAAGAAATTAATAACAAACCACCTAACGGGGTTATCTAACTTTCTTTGAAGCTAATCCCTTCATTCTTCACTTTTCATCTTTATCTTCCAAAATGGTTGTTAACGAGGCCATCTTCCGTAAGTATTAAAGGCAGCAGCAACAGCAGCAGCAACCATATTTTGAAAAAGTCTTTACTCTCTCCACATGTACTAACAATGACTCTTCTCCACTAGGCTCTGCGGAAATGGGTCTTGTCCAATTTTATATTGCTAGCGATATCAAGCGCGAAGTTGTTTCCGCTCTTGGCGAGCGTGGCAATGTCCAATTTCGTGACCTTAACTCCAAGGTGAGCGCTTTCCAGCGTTCCTTTGTCAAGGAAATTCGTAAACTCGACAACTCTGAGCGTCAACTCCGCTTCCTTAAGGCTGAACTCGAGGCCCGTGCAATTGTTGCTGCTCCTGCCGCTGAGCATGTTGCCGTGGCTCCAAACCCTTCCGACATTGATGACCTTTGCGAAAAACTCAATGACCTCGAGGAACGTGTCTCTCAACTTAAAGAATCGGAGGGCAGTCTTCTCAAGAAGGAAATGGAACTTGTTGAACGCCGTTACGTTCTGCGTGGTACCGGCTCTGTTTTCTCTAGACAATCTCCCTCTGATGTCAATGAAAGCGTCCCTCTTCTCACTGACGATTCCATTGAGCCTGAACAAGACATTGAGGCTGGCCCTGGCGCTTCCCTCGCTAATGTAGACTTTGTTGCCGGTGTCATTTCCAAGGAAAAGGTCCCTATCCTTGAACGCATTCTTTGGAGAGCTCTTCGTGGTAACTTGCTTCTTCGCCAGGTTGATATTCAAGAACCTATTTATGACCCCAAGTCTGGCAAGAAGATCCCCAAGTCAGTCTTTGTTGTCTTTACCCATGGTGCTACCCTCCTCGCCAAGGTTAAGCGCATTTCCGAAGCCCTCGACGGTGACATTTACCACGTTGACCACGACAATGAAATCCGCGGTGAGGCTCTCAATGATGTCAACAGCAGCATTGACGATATCAAGAAGGTTGTTTCCAACACTCGTTCTACCATTGAAGCCGAGCTTGTCACTCTTTCCGCAAAGATTAACAATTGGTCCATTGTCATTGCAAAGGAAAAGGCCATCTATGCAGCCCTCAACCTTTTCCTCTATGACCCCCGTCGCAAGTGTTTGATTGCTGAGGGTTGGGTCCCCAAGGATAGCATCCAATCGGTCCAAAATACCCTCCGCACCATCACTGAGGGCGCCGGTGTCGACATGCCTTCCATTGTCAATGAGCTTTCCACAAACAAAATCCCTCCCACCTATCACCGCGTCAACAAGTTTACCTCTGCTTTCCAGGCCATTGTCGACGTTTATGCCGTTGCTACTTACCGTGAAGTCAACCCAGGTCTCCCCACCGTCATTACTTTCCCCTTTATGTTCGCCATCATGTTTGGTGACTGTGGTCACGGTATCCTTCTTTCCCTTGCTGCTCTTGCTCTTGTCATTAACGAAAAGAAAATTGCCAAGATTAAGCGCGATGAAATTTTCGACATGGCTTATGGTGGTCGTTACATTTTGCTTCTCATGGGTCTCTTTTCCATCTACACTGGTCTCCTTTACAATGATCTCTTCTCTCGTTCTCTCACTCTCTTCAAATCTGGATGGGTTTGGCCAGAGCACTGGAAGGAGGGCGAAACCATTATCGGTCGCCAGGTTGGTGTTTACGCTTTTGGTCTCGATTCTGCATGGCATGGAACTGAAAACAACCTTCTCTTTACCAACTCTTACAAGATGAAGCTTTCCATTCTTATGGGTTTCATCCACATGACTTACAGTTATATGTTCTCCCTTGTCAACCACCGCTTCTTCAAGTCTGGCATTGACATTTGGGGTAACTTTGTTCCTGGTCTCTTGTTTATGCAAAGTATCTTTGGCTATCTTTCCATCTGCATTGTTTACAAGTGGTCTGTTGACTGGGTCGGTATCGGTAAGAGCCCCCCAGGTCTCCTCAACATGCTTATCTCCATGTTTTTGTCCCCTGGTACCGTTGAAGAGCCCCTCTACCCCCACCAGGCCAAGGTCCAGGTTGCTCTCTTGCTCATTGCTTTCATTTGTGTTCCTTGGCTCCTGCTTCTCAAGCCCCTTTACCTCCGCAAGAAACTCCAGGAGAAGGAGGCTGGCCACAACTATGAGGTTATTGGTGAGGCCAATGGCGATGCCAATGGCGGCGAGGCTCCTCACTCTGCTGCTGACGACGATGATGACGAACCCCACGGTCACGGCGACAATTTCGGTGACATTATGATTCACCAGGTCATTCACACTATTGAATTCTGCCTTAACTGCGTTTCCCACACTGCTTCATACCTCCGTCTTTGGGCTTTGTCGCTTGCCCACGCCCAACTTTCCACGGTCTTGTGGTCCATGACCATTGCCGGTTCCTTTGGCATGACTGGTCCCTTTGGTGTCTTCATGACTGTCTTTTTGTTTGGCATGTGGTTTGTCCTTACCGTCTGTATTCTCGTCGTTATGGAAGGTACCTCTGCCATGCTGCATTCGCTCCGTCTCCACTGGGTCGAATCTATGTCCAAGTTCTTTGTCGGTGAGGGTAGACCTTACCTCCCCTTTTCCTTTGAAAAGATTATTGCTGGCGACGAATAAGAACGCTCGACTTTATGAAAACACAATTAAATACCTTGTATACAATAGTTGCCAATTAAATAAATTTAATAATTAATTATAAATTTTTTTTTTTTTTTTTTTTTTTAGAGAAAGTAATTTAAATAGAAGTCTTTTCTAAAGACTTTGCAAGTTTCTTTTCTTGTTGCTGCTGAGCAAGAAGTTTAAGACCTTCAGTCTGTGTAAGACTGTTGACGTCCAAGTAGGGTCTTTCAGCAATACCAACGGTTCTAACACCACTCCGGAACTCATCTCCAAGCAATCGAATATCGCGGTTGGCTGCGTGCAATGTCGAGCGGTTATCCCAGATTGCAATATCATACTTATCCCACTTGTAACGCACATGAATATCATGCGACTGCACCAGCAAATCCCACACGAGTTTCTGCAATGCTTGGGCCTCAAGAGGTGTCACATCATTCAGGTGTGTGAAATTGGATCCAATTCCGAAAAAGGCTTTCCATCCAGTCACCGGATTAGTTCTTATAATTGGATGTACCGCAATACTATCATCACCCGTATTCTCCGGTGCACCTCGTGCCTCAGAATATATCTGAAACTTATCAACAGCTGCCCGCTTAAACAATGGCTGAGAATAAGTTCCAGTCAACGTGTCAAAATATCCTCGCAAAGATGGTGATAACTTTTCGTATAATGCGTACCCGTTGGCCCACAATGTATCTCCACCGGAAGGTGGTTGTTCGAAAATTCGTAGCGACGAGTAATCAGCAGGCACAGGCTCAAAAGTGATATCGGAGTGCCAACCTTCAGCCGCGGTACGGTCACCGGCCACGTCCACAATTAGGTTTTTGCGTCGGTTTGTGATGAAGGTAATTTCAGGATCTACAAGCCCGGACTCACCAATGATACCTGCACCTGGAGTAGTTTGGTGTTTATGTAGTCCGTTGGCTGCAGGTTTCCCCGAAAGAAGTCCTAACTTTTGAATCAGATCCTTTTGCTGTTGAATCGTCAAGTTCTGTTGTTTTTTGAAAAAAACAACACCGCGCTGGGAAATCTGAATTGCCAAGTCACGCAACAACTCATCATCCTCTAAAATATCGACAAGATTGACATCTTCTGAGTATGTTGTACCCAACAAGGGAGTCAAGTCAGTGGTGTATTTTGAGTATTTCTCATCTAGTTTCCCTGATGAAACCAATGGCTTTTGACGATCCTCTGGCTTGATGTAAGAAGGACCCTCGAGATACTTGTCCCAGTAGGGTGAGGGACCAGAAATGAGTTTCTGCTCAGGGAACTTGCTTGAGTCATTGATAGCAAATTGAAGATCTGTAAATACTGACATTGGAGATTTGCTTTGCTTTGCTTTGGTTTTCTTTTTTTCTTTTTTTCTTTTTTCTTTTTTTTCTTAGAAGTTTAGGGTTTAAAGTACTGTTGATTTGATATTTATAAAGAATTGATAAAATTGAATCAAATTATAAGAATATCTGTTCTGTTTTATATTCATTTTTTAAGCCAAGGACTTTTTGTCAATCAATATGTGGCTTCAAAATTTCATTGATAACTTTAAGTACTTTGGTTTTTTTTTTTTTTTTTTTTATCTATATAATCAGACATGGAGATACGTTTTCATTGCAATTTTTTCTCCGAATTGTGTAATCGCAGTCCTATAAGGTTGTATCTAAAGATATTAAAACTTATGTACCTGGATCGCACAATAGAATTAGTTCAGGCATACTTTGAATAATAAGCAGCGTAGGAATTTAACAGTTTTTAACAGTATCGCATTCCTTCGTTCCTTTTAACTTGACAATTTTTTGAGGTTTATCACCTTACGGAGTCCGAATCAAATATTGCACAACTTCCACTACTATCAATTTTAATATAATTTAAGATAATCGGAGTTCCTTTTTTGATATTTATAATGAAAATAAATGTTAGAACTTGGAAAAGTTATTTATGATCGGAACGCGATAAAACTTAAAAAGAAAGAAGTAAAAAAAAAAAAAAAAGGAATGCAAAGATGCCCGACCCTCCCCCACAAATGATATAGTCATGACGTCAAGTTGAACTCATTATATTAAAATTAATTTTAAAATTTTTTAGTAGACAACTCAAATGTCCAAGAACACTCAAAATTATAAAAACGATATAGGAAAAAAAAAGAAAAAAAATAACGGATTACCTCCAATTTCATACTGGGATATCCAATACTTAAACATTCATTTTCAGAGGTTTGCTGATAGAAGATGAGAAATGACATGGATTGTTTTACTTACAAATAAAAAAAATTCAACAGCATTTCCTCACAAGGAAATCAATTGGATAAAAACTGTGCCACAATCTCTCTCTTTATTCCACAAAACCACAGTTATCCTTGAAACTTCAATTTTTTTACTTAAAAATCCCATTGTTTTTAATAATATCTTTATTTATTACAAAAACTAACATCAATAATATATACATTTATTTACAGCTTTTTTCAACATATTTTCACCCATTCCTTCTGGCCCTCATAATCGATTGTCGTTATAGTTAAATCCCAAAACAATTCAACGTTAAGACAGTGAGCTCAAATCACAACATTAGATTATCAAACTTATTTTAATAAGCTTGAATTAATGAATTTTTAGTTGCTTTCACTTTGACTGAGCTTTTAAAGTATCTTCTAAGATCTAGTAGTTTCAGATAACCCTGATCAAAGCAACAACTATACTTGAAATCATTTTTTCCCTTTTATTCTCACATTTTTACCAGCATATATTAGACATGAACACTTCTTTACTAAACCTTTTACTATTCAATTACTTGTTGACCTTTTAATTCGCTACTGAGATAAACAAACTTCCGGTGAGTTTAATTGAATAATCTGGTTGATCAGTTATTTTTAGTTAAGATTCTTACTTATAATGGAAATATTGAATGTTTTTTTTTATACAAAAAAAGTATTAAATTTAAACTTTATTCACTAACAATTTCTTTAAAAATAAAATAATCACCTGTTCAATTACCAATTAACCTGACAAGTTAATAACCAGATCAAAAAAATTAATAAAAAAACACTGCAAAAAAAGATATTATGGACGACACCGGAGTTGAACCGGGGACCTTTCGCATGCTAAGCGAACGTGATAGCCAACTACACCAGACGCCCTTATAATCACGTGATTTATAAATTCTAATAGGTTTATAAAACATATCAACTATATACATTAAAATGGCTTTTTTTTTGGGCTGAAATGCTTATTGGTTAATTTTTAATTTTTTAATTTTCATTAAATAGCATTATAACTTATTTTTGGGCTGTTGGAAATGCAATTTTTAAAGTCAGATTAAAAGTTTATTATGAAACGATAAATAGTAAGAAAAAAAAGGATAGCGCAGATGCTGGTGTGTAATTCTATAATTCTATAACCCTTGAATAAAAACAAACAATTGATTGAAAGTCCATTGAGTTTCTGGTTTGTTTCATCTAGCAAAAAAAAAGATATTTGTAAATTGTTAAATATGCAGCTGTTTAAATTAAATAAAAAAAATATTGGTAAAATGGAAAGTTATTTAGTAAAATCAAAAGGGATTGAATTGATGCTGATGTTATATAGTTCAGTATCAATAGAATGAAAACAAAAAAAAAAATTAAAAAGAGATATTATTAAATTAGATTCTGATATTAAATAACAGTGATCAAAATACTGGTAAATGGGCTCTGTGCTGAATGAGTAGGGTGTGGAAATACAAGCCAATACAACAGTAGATAAAAAACAAGGTACGCTGTAATATAATTGAAAAAAAAAATGTTTTTAGTGAAGCTGGTATAAATATAGATATAAAAACTATTGTTTAAGCTAATAATGAAGCAAAAACAGAAACTTATATTGAAGCTGGTAATAAGGCAAGTTTTGAACCAGATATGAAAGTAAGCAATTGGGCAAGTCTTAAAGCTAGTATATAAGTGAGTTTTTTTAAAAGAATGTTTGTGTTGAAATCAAGGCCGACATATAAATGGATATAAATATTAATATTGATGTTGAAGCAGGCGTAAAGGTATGTTAAACTAGGTACAAGTAATTTCAAACGTGTGTATAAAAGTCAGAAATTGATATAGATACCAATAGTGAAAATGGCAATATAGTTATGATGATATAGGTGTATAAATTCCCCGATTAAGTAATATATTGCATACTTCATCTGTTCAACTTACTTATATTACAGCTTTAACTTCTAGTTGTTAAAATCTTTAGCTGACTTTATATTACCATTTAGGCTAATATAGAGAAAACCTATTTTATTGTTAACGATGGCTTGATCTTTTGTTTTTTTTCCCCCCCGAGTGGCTAGTGAAACTCTTCAGGTACTTCCATATTTACAGGGATATCTTTGCATTGCTGCTCATAGATTATCAAAGCTATTCCTTAGCCTTGCTTCAGCCTTTATGGCGCCAAAAAAAAAGTTGTCATAGAGATGATAGCGGTTACTATCATATTTTAGTGACCTAACTCCGTTTATAGCTTCCCAAAGTAGAACATTGTTTCCTCAAACTTTGGTCAATCTCCGAATCTATTACTTATTAATCAATAGATGTTAATACAAGGACACAATGGAAATAAAAAAAAAATGAAAATAATTACTGAATCCTTGGCTATTCTATTTCACCTTTTGAAGGTTTTCTTTGTGAGAAAATTATCAAAGGCCTAATTATTTTTTTTAAAAAAAAACAAGCGGGGTATAATCTTTCATGTGTGGGGGGAATCAATAATCACCATAGTCGTCGTTCCGTGCTGAATCGGTCATAAAATTCATTATGCCTTTGATTTAAAAGTAAAGAAATGATTAATGGTGATATAAACATTTTTTATGACTCTTAATTCAAAAGATCCTTTGGTCCTTTATTTGATTTGAATTGCAAATAAGAAGGGAATGGACCGTTGAAGACGAACGGTCAACAATTTGTCAGTGTATGTCTATCTGAAAATGGTTCAGCCGTCCAACTGTATTATGACTAACTTTTTTTTTTTTTGAACAAAAAGAAAGAAAAAGAAGAAAAAAAAATTTTAAAAAAGGAAACGGCTTCCCGACCAGAATGCATCTACAATTATTCAAGAAAAAAAAAAAGAATTAACTACAAGTTAGTTTGACGGATGAGAAACTCGCCCGCAGAGTTAGAGTTATCTTTGTGGGAAGTTAGTCAGTCCAATTAATATATATAAATGGTCCAGTTTGCTCAAACCTTTTTATACTCTTTCTTCTTTCCTCTGTTTTGACATTTCTCCAAAATCAAATTTAGTAATTGACGATTTTTTTTTTTCTCTCAAGAACAAATTTATTAAACGAAAGTCCCCCCACGCATATTGCATTCTCTATACGTTTATTATATAAATTCAAATTTTCCATAGCCTGATGTCTGTCTCATCAAAAGAAAACTCCATAAAAGTCTCTATTTCTGTACCAGAACCAACCGCGAGCCAAGAAAAGAGAGGCCCTGAGCCTACTTCTTACTTTTGCGGGGAAAACGGTTCAAATTCAAACCTTTCATTTACTGCTGCCAGCCATCATCAACATCATCATCATCACAATCTCCATTCCACTATAAGCAATGTAGACTATGGTGCTGCAGAAACAATGCTCATGGAAGGCGAAGACCTTAGCGGACGGAAAAGTCCTGCATCTAGCAGCATACGTCGTAGTCGAGAAGACGTTGAGGCACACGGTACAGGAGCTGCTGATCTGACTGAAAAAGAGCCCGAACTCGAGTTTGATCGAGGATATGCATGGGTCGTGCTTATTGCTGGAACAATGATAAACGCTTTTAGTTGGGGTGCATCTGGAGCGTTTGGTGTTTTCCTGGCCACCTTCTTAGACACTAACAAGTACCCTGGAGCAACACGCATGGATTTTGCGTTTGTAGGTGGTCTACAGTTTGGTCTTGGGTTAATGGTATCACCGTTTGTTGTACAAGCCATTCAAAAGATTTCCTTTCCAATTTTCATCATTGCCGGATCATTTGTACTGGCTGCCGGAAACATTGCAGCATCGTTCGCAACACGCATCTGGCATCTGTATTTGACACAAGGCTTGCTAAGTGGTGTAGGGATCGGAATGGTCTTTGTGACAGCCAACGCAGCAGTGCCCATGTGGTTTGTAAATCGTCGGGGCATCGCATATGGCATCTTTACTTGTGGCGCGGGGCTCGGAAGCATCATCTTCAGTTTATCAGTACAGTCGCTGATTGATCGGGTGGGGCTTGCATGGGCTCAGCGATACGTAGGGTTTATGACATTTGGATTCTGCATTCTTTCAGGTATTTTTATCAAAGAACGTCGGAGTGTTTACAAGAGCAGAGGAGCCAATGCATACAACTTTGCTCTGTTGAAACGACCAGATATCTTGCTGGCCATTTTTTGGGGCATTATCACAATGCTGTGTTATGGGATTGTTTTATATACGATGGCGCCATATGCCGTGAGTGTTGGTTTAACACATCATCAAGGCTCGGTACTTTCATCAGTGGTCAGTGCGGGTATAGTTATTGGTCGGCCCGTTATGGGTCACTTTGCAGATAAGATTGGAAGTCTTAACATTGCTTTAGTAACAACGCTGCTGAGCACTGTTTTCATTTTAGCATGGTGGATTCCAAGCAAAAGCTACGGTTCACTTATTGCATTGTCCTTTTGTCTGGGGAGCGTTGTGAGTTCCTTTTCAGCTGGGTTCCCGCCAATATGTGCATCGCTGGTCGATCTGGAAGACTTGAGTGCAATGATGTCTATGAGTTGGACCGTTATTGGAGCCCTCAATATCTTTTCAACACCTGTGGCAATTGGCTTAACGACTGTCAATGACACATACTTGTATTCTCAAATCTTTACAGGACTATTGTTTTTTGTTTCGTCATTGATTCTAGTGGTTATTAGAGGAATCGAGTTTAGGATGCAAGAGCAGGAAAGTGATGAAGTAACAGATCAAACAGTTTGTTCGTCTAAAAGTTGTACAGAAGAAGGATGTACTGGGTTAAAAGAAACCAAGCCAAAGTCATTTATCGCATTAATGTTTAAAGTTGCAAAAGTTTAGTATAAAAAAAAAAAAAGTAAAAAAAATTTTCAGTAAAAAAAACAAAATAACATCCAAATTTATAAATACATGGCACACGACATTACGATAACTATTCTCAAAAGAAGGTTTTTTTGAAGATATCCTTTTAGCCCTTTTTTTTATTTTTTTCAAGAGATGGCATCATTATATTAAAAATAGAAGTCTATTTTCATTTTTTTTAGTTGTCCTCAGAAACAACCTCAGTCTGAAGACCCTTGACAGAGGGAACATCGACAGCCTGGACGTAAGAGAAAAGCTTCTCCTTGGCACCCTCCTCGTCGTTTCTCTTTCTAGAGATACGGAGTCTGAGTCTGTGGGGAACACCTCTAATGCCACGCTCCCAAAGCTTCTTGTTCAGGACAGGATCGACACGAACATCAGTAGTACCCATGTGTCTCTTGGCGAACTCCTTGATGGCCTTGACAGCACGGGGAGCACGCTTCTTGAACTGAAGACCAAAGACCTACAAAGTGGTGTTAGTATAGGGGGTTTTTCATCAAGGTATCTTCAAAAACATCATCGTCAACATGATGATGATTATGGATATATCCGTTTTCAACGTACCCGCTTGTGGAGGTGGATGGTGTATTCACGGGTAACAACGTCAGAGATGGCGCTTCTTTGCTTAGTGGATGGAGCCATTTTGGGTGGTTGTGTCTGTCTAAGGATTGATGCTATCGATTCAACAAGGCAGCAAAAGGGGTACAAAGAGGGGAGGGGGCGGGAAGGGAAAAAAAAATTGAGTGGGTAGAGGATTTTTTTTTTTTTCTCTCTCTCCCTTCTCAGACAAACTAGAAGATAGAAAGTAAAAGTTTTTTTGTAACTATGCTTGTAACATGATTACTAAGCTTGTAAGTTGTGAATAAAAAAATTTTTATTTTATTTTTTTTTATTTTTTTTATTTTTTATTTTTTATTTTTTTTAATTTATTTTTTTTTTTTTTTGACATTTTTTGGTTTTCATTTTCATTTTAAAAGATTTGTATTTTTGTGTGTATCATGTGACTAAATTTGAAATTATTGAAACATGTTTTGTAACATTATTAGGGCTGTACCCTAGCTTAATTTAAAATATATTATTAGCATTAAAATTTCAGTGAATATATGGGTCTGTGTAAATATCAGACTGGATATTATTAAATTTTTTTTTTGTTGCCCACAAACCTTTCCCCAAATTAATATTTGAATTAATATTTTAAACATCGATTTTGATATCGAAAGAAAAAAAAAAAAATTAAAATAAAATAAAATAAAACAAATATCAAAAAATGAGCAATTTCAACAATCCAAAATATTAAAAATAAACTCAATCGAATTTAAAAACATATTAATTGAGCCGACATTGCTTGAAATCCTCTCTTACCTTCAACTTTTTACATTATTGTAGTGAAGCCGTTTATCTCTCTCTCTGAAAAAATCAGAAATCATTTGCACTTTTTCTGATTTATTGATAAATTGATAAACTCAGCCTCATGAGTTCACGTGATTTATTTCTGCGGCTGTGTAGGTCAAAAATTGGTTTTTTTTTCTGTGTGGGGTGGAGGTGAGAGGGAGATTCTGTAAGACTTGTTTTGAGCCGCAATAATAACAATAAAATTGCTTTGGAACAGCCCAAAGGCGGAAATAGCTTAGCATTCCTTAACGTAAGATTTCAAGCACATCCTGGCCTAAAGAATATAAATAAAAGTCTCTTGTACTTGCTCAAAAAAATAACTTTTTTTTTTTAAACAACCTCCTTATTATCAGTCATAATTCAATTTTTGAGCAATTTATCATCAAACAAACATATCTCTATTTTAAAATATTCGACATCAATATGAGCTGCAGTTCAGAGCCAAAAAAAATGTACTTAGAATCGCTGGGTCATGACATTCTTGTCAACCATGTGTTTCCGTATCTCTCGGAAAAAGACATTATGACACTTGCCGGCATGTCCTCTGTATTGCACAACTATGCTAATGACCCTGCAGTGTGGCATGATCTCTACTTCAAGACATTTGGCATGCAACCAAATCCATTTACAGAATTCAACTGGCCAGAAATGTACCGGTGGCGTAGGCATGCTGCGCTGTATACTTGGGGTGAAGGAAACAATGGTCGATTGGGGTACAACATTTTGGATGGGTTTATTCCCCAGGAAGCACTAACACCTGAACGGTTCCCGCGTGGCGTTTCATTACCACAAAAGGTTCCAGGCCTTGACAAAATGGTGATTTCCGATGTTGTGACAGGTGGGTATTGGACTGCAATATTGACTGCAACAGGGGATATTTACGGAATTGGAGAGTTGGGATCTAGGCCTTGGGATCTACCTGATTATTCAGGATCCAATGATAATGACCGAAGTGTATTTGACAATTTGAGACAAGGTGGTCCGGTAGGGCCCGTCATTAGCCGATTTTTATGGCCGTTTCGGGTCGGCGGAGTGATTGACCGTGGAGTAGATCCTGCACCGGATTTAGGAGTGGGAAATAATAGTGCGCGAAATTTCCCATTGACGCCGCACCGCCCACGCATAGACCGACCGGCACATTTGTCAATGCCGCAAACACGAAATCCTAATGAAGAGCCAGATGATGAAGCCCAGCCATTTACGAGCAATATCGTACTTCCTGGAGAGGAAAATATGAGTGCATTTACGCAAGACCAAGTTAAACAAGAAAAAGGTGACAATGATGGAATTAATTACCAAGAACGCGTGGGGATGTCACAACGTATCAATTCAAAATTTTTAGAGACTCTTTCACCAAAAAAAGTTGAATTTGTTGGACTGGGAGGTGGTGGTCGAACACATTTGCTCGGGTTAGACAAGGAATATAATGTATGGGTATGGGACAAGTTATTTAATGCCCCGGGGACCAAGGTTGAACTGGACTTTAACCAAGGTGTTGTGAAGCCATTGAAGATTAACAAGCTTGCTGCGGCTTGGAACTGTAATGCTGCACTTGTTGATGGGAAGGGGCTTGTTGTTTGGTGGGACGGGTTTGGTCATTCGCAGCTACTTGCAGAGACGAAAAAACAGGAAAAGGACTGGAAAAGACAGGGCAAGACTGGTGAGGTTGTGCAGACGACAGTTGTACCTCTTACTGACCAAGGACTTGACAGCCCTGACCGGGTGGTTGACTTCCATGCAGGTGACAAGTTTATCATTTATGCGACTGCGTCGGGCAAGTTGTATCGGGTACGGACCAATAATCGAGAAAGCATTGTTGGAGAGGGCCGAGAAGAACTCAAGGAGTTTCAATCATTATTGCAAAAGGAGTTTGAAGCTGGATTGAGTGACAAGGAGCGAGCTGCACTAACCGCAGAGGATCGGCCTAAGTTTGATCGTGTGCGCGGGGGGTACAAGTTCGTTGCTGCGCTGAGCAATAGCGACCATGTCGTGTATGCGGACGCGCTTGAGGGTGATGGAGCCAAGCTCAAAAAGCCAGAGGCGCCGGCCATATTACAAAATGCTGGATGTATTTCAGTTGCTGCAGGCGATCATCACTTATTGGCTTTGCTACGGGGGGGGCGGTTAATGTCCTGGGGAATGGAGTGTCAAAAATGTGGAGATCTTGGGTTGGGAGGAACAGAGGCCAAGAGTCACATAAGACAAGGTGAATTTGTGAGGGGTGATTTTATTGTTAAAGAGCCCGTAGAAGTGAAGACTCCGGGGAAAGTTGTTGCTATAGCGGCAGGAGGATGGCAATCAAGTGCCATTATTACTACTGATATAGATGAAGAGAATTGATAAACGAGGAAAAGGAAGATGCTTTGGATATTAATTAATTCAAAAAAAAAAAAAAACAATGTTTAGCTAAGCTAATTCATTAAATGATTGCATTTTTTTTTGTAAGATTTATTTTTTTTTTAATGATAAATTATTTATATGGTTAAAGTTAATGTAAACATTATTAAATACAAAACCCAAAGAATATATCAAGCTTAGAAGTGAAGAATAGTGAAAAGAATATAATCTATGTGATTAAAAAGGTTTTCTTTTTGTTTTTTTGATTTTTTTTTTATTATTTAGTACTGCAGAATGGTTCGACAAGAAGAGCTCAAGTTTTCAATATTAAAAAAAAAAGGTAATGGATTGATTTATGTTGTTTTTTTTTTAGTTATTGAAACAATTTACTCGCGCTCCTTGATGCCAACGACGGCTCTGCCAAAGTAGTAAAGAGGAACAAAGACAGAGGTGGTCCAGAAAAGAGCGTAAGCAGGGTAGACGATGAACTTAGAGCGAGGGTGTCTGAGCCAGAGAGGAGTGGCAGCGTTAGCCTGGTAAAACTTCTGGTGGTCGATAACGTGGTTCTTAGGCTGGGGAAAAAAAAAAAAAAGATATATATATTAGTCAAATGTGTACATTATAAATTTTCAATACTGGAGATGAAGCAATAGGAAGCTTACCATTGTGACGATTTGATGAGTTTTGGAGATGGGAGGGGGTGATGGTGGTTGTGGTGATGTGGTAGAAATAAAATAAAAAAAAAAAAAAGGGAGGTTTAGGAGGTGGTGAGAAAGAAGGGAAAGAAAATTTGTGTAAGGAGCGGTTGTTGTGCGGCGGCGGACTTTGCCAGCCAACAGGAGGTCGGCAGAAGAGTAATCAGACCAAAAAAAAAAAAAAGCGTGATATGGGCTTTGGGTTCTTGGAACAAAATAGAGACAGGCTGAGAGCTACACACACAATAACAATAACAACAACAACAACTACTACAACTACAAGCTTTGGTGCAGTACGGAAAAGTGGTGTGTTTTTTGTGCGGCTGAATTTAAAGAGAGGATTTTCTGTTCAGCAAAGAGATTATTCGGCAGTTGTGTTATTGGCTGTTGAAAAGATCCTAAAGTTTGTCAGTATATGTGCATTTGTTATTACAAAAAAAAAAAATTGAAATTAAAAATTAATATTATTAGTCATGGTTAGTCATTGTTATGTAATAAACGCGTAACGCGTATTTTTATTACATTATTATTTTAATTTTTAATTTTAAAATTTTAAAATTATTAAATCTAATTTTTTTTAAATTTGACGTGTTAATTAATAAACCCATTTCTTTTCACATGCATTTTTTAAATAACTCTCATAAATTTATACCAAAATATTCGATTAGAAAACCCCGCGGTATACGGAACTTGCTACAAACCTTTAATACACTCGCATATATTTATTGAGATACTTTTTTTTTTTTTTTTTTTTTTGTCGCATATAATTATGGGATTTCATGAAGAATCTTTAGTCCTGACACAATTGATTTTTTTTTATTCAACAAGTTTCAGCAGATTATTAACACACTAAATAAGTTTTATTTATATCTTGATTAAACAGATCTGTTTTTCTTTTTTCTTTTTCTTTTTAATTATTATTATTATTATTATTATTATTATTATTACTAATTTCTTCTTCTTTAAATTTATGCTTAATTGTTGTTTGGGAATGGTTACTTAATTGTTTAATAAATAGAGCAAGAGGATGAGAAAGAGAGGGACTTTTATGACAAAATGACAAAATGACAAAATGACAAAATGACAAAATGACAAAATGACAACCGTATATATATACACGAGGCTTATTGTTGTGATTTGTATGGCAAATCTAAGGGAAGAGACATTGACTTGTAATTGTAACCAAGCACAAAAAAAAAAAAAAAAAAAAAAAAAAAAACAGATTTAAGGGGAAAGTACACAATAGCAACCACTTAAAAGCAGCATCAACACCTTCAAAGAAGAAAGTTTGTGAAAACTACACATTTGAGATAATAATAATAATAAAAACACAAAGAGTCAAAAAAAAAAAAAAAAAAAAAAAAAAAAAAATTAAACAATTCGTTTTATAGTAAAAAACCTGATTCAGATATTGAATGGTGATCATGATCCAAAATTTTTTTTTTTTTTAAAACAATGTAAGGAGCAAGCGAAAGGATAATTTTATTTGTATTTATTTGTTCATTTATGATTTTATTATATATGCAAAAAAACAAAAAAAAACAAAATCCATACGGATGTTGGAAATCCGTCTCCCCCGTCCCTTTTAAAAGTGGCAGTGAAGAAACGAAGATGATTTGTAGCAGTTGGTTGGTTGATTGAGTGGAGACAAAATAAAAAAAAAAAAAAGAGGGGCAGAAGATGTATTTTCTTATATATTATATAGAGAAAGTAGATTTGAAGAACCTCCTCTTTCTCTCTCTCTCTCTCTTTAACAAAAAAAAAAGAAAAAAAAAAAGAAACATGTACTTTAATCTGAAAATAATAATATAGATATTGGTAGTATAATATAGATCGTTACGAGGAAAACAGCAACAGCCAACCAAAGGCCCCACGTCTAGAGTGGAGAAAATAAGAGAAGGGGGGAGGTGCGAGAAAAAAAAAAAAACGCAAAATGATTCATTTAAATAATTTTTTTTTAACCGTAATAGCAAGAAAGAAAAAAGGTATTTTGAATATCAAAAAATAAGAAAAAAAAAATAAAAAAAAAATTTAAATATTGGAGAGTGATTTAAAAATTGATTAGCTTGTGAATTTTTAAATTGTGCTTTTTTAATATTGAAATTTTTTTGGGATTTTGAAAAAAAAAATTTTTTTCTTTTTTTTTTTTTCTTTTGCGATAAGGAATTTCAGTAAGAAACACCTAAAACCAATGAATTAGACTGGAAAAATCTACTCATCAATTTAGATCTTTTTTACAAAGATCATCATAACAGAAATGCTAGAAAATGTAAGAAATATATATATATCTTGTATATAATGGTGATATTGGGGGAGGAAATTAAAAATCTCTCTTTCTTTTAATAAGTATTAAACCAAATTTTTTTAAAAAAAAAAATCTTTGCATCGCATTCAAATCTCTTTTTTCATTCAAAAATAAAAAATTTTTTATTATTATTTTTTGGTGGCTACAATTTCAGGCATGAAAAGTTTTTTTTTTTTTTTTCCCTTATCTCTAAACTTTGAAAGAAATTCTCCCACCCAAAAACATTTTACAACTACCAACCATAATGACTAGCAACATCAATAGTAACAAATGGAAATGAGCATAATGTGTGTATCTTCAGTAGTAGAATCGTAGTATTGTATATATATATAGAATAGTAATGCTCACAAAATAACAATAGCAACGGTCGGCCCAAAAAAAAAAAAAAAACTTTAGACAAAATTTTGAGATAAAAAAAAATTTAAAATTTCACAAATTCTTTCCTTTTTTTTTTTTTTTTTTTTTCTTCTTCTTTTCTTCCCATCAATATTTTCTCTTTTTCTTATTTTGGCCTTCTATTAGCTTTAAATACACTTTAATATATACCCTTTTTTTTTTTTTTTTTTTCTATATCCCATCCTAATCACTTTATATCCATCCATCTCAAAAATGCCTCCTCCACCACCACCACCACCGCCGCCTGTAGGCCCTCCTTCCTTTTCTCGAACGCTTTCCCAGCCTCCATCTTTACCTCCATCCCAACCCTCTTCAGGACCCCTTCACCCATCTCTTGCAAACGGCCTGCCTGATCCAAATGATATCACTTCTGCAATTCGCGAAGATTCTTCTACAACATTTGCCACCAACCCACGGCTTGCCCTTTCCCGACCCATGTCCCGCGCAGGCTCTCGTTCAGGAATCATGCACCCAAATCCTTCTGGTGGTACCAATAACTTTGCCTCTTATGGCACGATTGACGGACTAAAAGCTTACGATTCCCATCATTCCACAGCTATGCATTCTCCTCGCAACTCGGTCATCTTTAATCCGGAACCATACGTCATGAACCATGCTGTGCCTCTTCCTACTAGTGTCTACCAGCGTCTTCATCGCCAATCAGTCATTTCACTTTCTGCAACCCCATCTCCAAGGGAAACAATGGTTCGTGTTGGAAATCTCCAGGAAATGCGACCGTTCCATTTGGTTGGATTTTCTAGTCCCTTTTGTGACTGGGAAGCATATCGCAAACCAGATGAAGTTTTAGAAACAATTCAAAACAAGGAAGTCCGCGAATTTTATGAAAAACAAAATGCTCTCATTGACCGATATATGGAGATTGATCGTCTTCTAGATTCGGGTCTTCAGATTGATATGCTCCGGGAATATGGCTCTGATTTGGCGGAAACCCATGAAGTCATTCAAGAAGAAGAAGAAGTCCCTACGGGGTCTTCAACTGAAAGTCTTACTACAGTCGCAAATGGCGGCAGCGCAATCATCAACCACACAACGGGTGGCAATGGTATTCGCAGCGGATCAGGTAACAGCTCAACTTCAAAACTGAAACTTACAGCTCGTCAGGGTGTGCCCGGTCGAATTGACCAGGAGTCGCCCCTCGTTAACAATGGTCAGGATCGTGAATCGCAGTCTCAAATCGTCATGTTTGCCATTTATGTCAATTTAGTCATTAACGTTTTCCTACTAGCTGGAAAAATTGCTGTTGCACTTCTCACAGACTCCCTGACCATTGTGGCCTCACTTGTGGATTCCGTCTTAGACTTTTTGTCAACTGCTATTATTTGGGTCTCTACGCGGCTTGTCGAGCGCCGTGATTGGCGTACCAAACATCTTTACCCGGTCGGCCGCACACGTCTTGAACCCATTGGCGTGCTAGTCTTTTCTATTCTCATTATTGTCTCATTCTTACAGGTTGGAGACGAGGCTGTTCAGCGATTACTCTGGGGACAGCGTATTGCTGTTGCTATTGGCATTGGATCAGTTGCCATTATGGCAGTGACTGTTGTGGCCAAGGTCTTTTGTTGGCTTTGGTGCAAGACTATTGATTCTAGTGCTGTGCAGGCTTTAGCTCAAGATGCTCTTTCCGATATTGTGTTTAATACCTTTTCTATCATTATGCCTCTCACTGGCCATTACTTTGACATTTGGTGGCTTGATCCGCTGGGTGCATTGTTACTTTCGTGTTACATTTCATGGTCTTGGGGTGAAACTGCCCTCGAGCACATTGACCATCTTACGGGTGCTGCGGCAGAGCCTGAGGATCGCCAGATTCTTTTGTACTTGTGTGCACGTTTTGCCGAGACGATTAAACAAGTAACTGCATTAAACGCATATCATTCAGGTGACCGCCTGACAGTTGAGGTTGATATTGTGTTGGAGCCAAAATCGAGTTTGCGCGACTCACATGACATTGGTGAGGCTCTGCAGTATGCCTTAGAGACAGTTCCATTTGTCGAGCGTGCGTTTGTTCATTTGGATTACCGTGAGGGTAATTTCACTGGTCATTTAGAGCGATGATTATGGTTAATGATGACGATTTAAAAATTAAAAAAAATTTAAAAATTAAAGTTACATTTAGGTAACTTTTTTTCTCAAGTTATTTTTTTTTTTTTATTATAAAAAAAAAAGTAACATAATTTGTATTAATAGTTTCTATAATCATGTCTAAAACATGACTAATGATGATTAATTATATTTATGCGACGTGTGTGTTTGTATAAAAATGTAAACAAAACTTTGTTACAACAAAGCCCGCTTTTTTTTTATTTTAGGCGGCCTTAGGTGCAGCCATTTAATTTGCCGCTTTTTTTCTATTGTGTGTGTGTGGCTATCCTTTTTGTCATGTCATATAATTTTAATAAAAAATTTTTTTTCTTTCATTACCACCACCTCCACCGCCTTTCTATTGCACGATTTTTTTAAAATTTTATATTCCAACTTTTTTGTGACAAATTTTTTTTTTTTTTTTATTCTATTCCTCTTTTTTTTCTTACTTTTTTTTTTTTTCATAGAGAGATTGAAAAGTACACACAAAAAGAGAATTTATATTTCAACAACAAAGATATTTCAACAAATTCTTGCAACATTTTGGTCATTATTGTTGTTGAAGTTGAAATAAATATATTCCAAACAAAAGGTCTTTTTAAATTCAACAAAACTGTACTACAACATTATAATAATAATAATAATAATAATAATAAATATAATACAAAACAAAACAAACTTCAATATCAACAATCTCCAGCCATTTGGCAAAAAAATTTAAAATTTCCAGCTGTGTTTTGCTTGTAATATAAAAAAAAAAAATTACTCACCATATAAAAAAAAGAAAAAAAAAAACTACTTATTACTTCAATACATTTGCCCAAAATACGCGCCTTTCTTCTTCTTCTTCTTCTTCTTCTTCTTTGATCTCAAAACGCGTCTTAATTTATTAGAATCTTTTAAAAAGACGCGTTTTTCTTAAAGTCAATTAATTATAAAAACAACTAAAAGGGAATCTATCAATCAATCAATCAATCAAAAGAAAAGAAAAGAAAAGAAAAAAAAAAGAAAGGGCTTTTATTAATATTATATCATTAACCAATCTCGGCTCTGCCAATTTTCAAATCATCCTTGATAGATTAAAAACATTTATTTATCTCCACACACACACATAACATCTACACAGCCATAAATGGTCTCTGTAAAAGACGAACGCTCAATACAGGTTCTGGGTGACCCCAATTCTACATCACCTTTATATTCAAACCAACTATACATTACAGATAACCTTCAATCAGACCAAGGCGTTCAGCAGCAACAGCAGCAACAACAACAACAACAACAGCAGCAGCAGCAGCAGCAGCAGACTTCTCAACAACAACAACAGTCCGCGCAGTCGGTACAACAATCAGCTCAGCAGTCTGCCCAGCAACGATACTCTGCAGCCCAGCTAGCTTACACCAACGCATCTTCCCACCAACAACTCTTGGGTATAGATTCATCCCCACTTCATAAACAACAACAACAACAACAACAACAACAACAACAACAACAACAACAACAACAACAGTCTCATCAAAGAGGCACTATTCCTACTACAGTCTCATCCCAGCAAATGAATCCCCTGCTGGCAACTTCTGCTGGTAGTTCTCCTGGACTTGTCCACACTAGCCGTTCGACTTCAGCAGCCGTGGCTGCCGCCGCTGCTGCCGCTGCTGTCACTGCAGGAGACCTTGCTGCTGCTGCTGCCGCCGCGGCTGCTGCTGCCGCTGTAGATGATAGCATGAGTGTGCACCACCAACAACATAATGATGGCACAGATCTTGATGCCCAGCAGCAACAACAACAGCAGCAGCAGCAGCAACAGCAGCAGCAGCAGCAACAGCAGCAGCAGCAACAACAACAACAGCAACAACAACAACAGCAACAGCAGCAGCAGCAGCAGCAGCAGCAGCAGCAACAACATCAACAACAGCAGCAGCAGCAACAACAGCCACAGCAGCCACAACAACAACAACAACCGCAGCAACATTCTGGCCACCATGACGATGGTAATGGTGACCATGAAACAGGAAGCCAGGCTGGTGAAGAATCCGCGCGGCGTGTCAACTTGAGTGGCCAAGAAAAACTTCTTCTTGTCAAGACATTTGTTGATCATGAGCGCGAGTTTTTCGATGCCAATGTGCGTAACCGTGATTTTTGGATCACCATTAACAAGGAGTTTTCTGCGCGTATTGCGCGACCATTTAAAACCGCCCGTCAAGCTATTTATCGTTACGTCAAATCCTCTGAGGCTGACGAAAAGGAACCAGGATCTGGTGGCACTCCCGATGGTTCTAACGCAGTTTTGGCTGCTGCCGTGGCTGCCGCAAACCGTTCAGCCGGTGGACCTGGAGGAAATGGTACTGGAGTACCTGATGACGGGTCTACTCCTCCTCCAGGTAGTGCAGGCTCATCTACTGATGCCTATGGCATTGACTTGCATGCCGGGGCTGGTGGTGCTCGACGCCGTGCCGAGGATGACTTTTCCAAGTACGTGGAACGCGCTGTGTCTATGTTCCAAAGCCGCAAAGAGATGAAGGAAAAGCGTATCAAGCGCTCAACCCTTGGATTGACAAGTGGCAGCAGTAGTCTGACGAGCACACCCATGCACAATGGTGGAGCTGCTGGCTCGGCCTCAGGTCACCATCACAAGGTTGGCGCACTGGGAAACCACCACACGCACCATCTCCATCAGGAGTCTCCGGACGAATACCAGGATTCTATTGAACAGGGACTTCCTCTTCACCAATATGCTGTAGTGGCTACGGCTTCAGCAGCGGCAAATGATGGTGTCCAAAACCCGCTTTCGCCAACGCCAAATGTCGGCAAGTCTGGGTCGCGCCGCAGCACTGGACCTGGCGGATCATCTCGCAGCGCTTCTGCATTACTTAATCAGACTCTTGCTCAGGGTGTATCTGGCGAGAAACGGTATCTTAATCCTACAGACATTTATGGCAGCAGGAAAAAGTTCAAGACTGGTTACGATGATGGTATGTTTTATTGATTTACTTTTTTTTTTTTTATTAAGATTCAAAGACTAACATTTTAGGCCAAATTTCTATTGACTCAGAAGTGCGGATCCAAGCGCTCGAAAAGCGGATGGATAGTCTGTACGAGTCGCTGGGCGCACACCAACGTCGGTTTGAACAGTTTACAGCTATTTGCAGCCAATTTTTCTCCAAACTCACTGAAAAGATTGGCGTGGACAATCCTCTTAATGAATACCAAACGTTTGGACAGGGTCAAGGCCAGCCTGAAGACGAACACCAGGCCCAATCAAATCAAGAGGAGGAGGATGCTCGGGCAGCTCAAGAACAACAAGAGCAAGAGCAAGAGCAAGAACAAGAACAACAGGAACAGCAGCAACAAGAGCAGCAGCACCAACAGCAACAAGAGCAACAAGAGCAGCAGCAGCAACAACACTACAATGGGTCGTACCAATTACCGATTCCGATGAACCAAAGTGCTTACCAGCAGCAGAGCTCGATTGTGTCGTCAATGATACATCCTGCGTTAATACAACAGCAAGAACAGCAACAGCAAGAGCAGCAGCAACAAGATGATGAAGACAAGGAGGACGATGCTGCAGCGGCAGCAGCGGCAGCTGTTGCAGCAGCTGGTATGGTTGATCCGTCTTTAACTGGCGCTGGCCAAGAAGAAGAGGATCAGGGAGCTGAACAACCTCAGGAGCAGGATTCTGAGGAACAAGCAGCTCACCACCACCATGCCCACCATCAGCATGTACACCATGGACACCACCACGACGAAACTGGAGCCCCTGAATCTGCAGTCGATGTCGAAGCTGTTGCAGCTGCAGCAGCTGCGGTGGCTGCTGTTGAGGAGCAGGAACATCACGCGACTCACCAGATGTACGATGTTGGTGTGGACGAAGACCAAGATGTTGTTATGGCAGGCGTCGATGAGAAGGATAAGAATGGTTCACAAGAGGAAGAAGAAGAGGATGTTGATGTTCATGCTATTGTGGAGGCCAACGCATCCGAGATTGTGGAACAAGAGCAACGAGAGCAACAACAACACCAACAATCTGAGCAAGAACAAGATCAGCAGCATCATACTGTGGAAGATGATGAAGAGGACAAAGAGCAAGTACAGCAACAGCAAGAGCAGGTCCAAGAACAAGAGGAAGGTGTGGATATGGAAGACATGGGGGTTGTAGGCGATGTTGTGGGTGTTGACGTTTCCGGTGTTGTTGGCGATGACGGCGTAAATGTTGACGAGAATGGCGACGTGGACATGGGCGTTGGTGAAGAAGATGTTGTTGACGAGGATGAAGAAGAAGCAAAACGCTCAGCGGCAGCAGCTGATGTGCTCATGGCTGAACAAGCACTTGCAGCAAATGCTCAAGAAGACGCGGAGGCGGCAGCTGCTGCAGAAGCAGCAGCAGCTGCGGCAGAAGCTGAAATGGCTCAGCATCTTCATGAAGCTATGGAGCACGCGGGTGGCGCGGATCTGGGCGAAGCTTCTGTTGCTGACGAGTAAAATATGAAGACGAGTGTTGTTGTTATTGTTTGATTAATTTGAGCTTAGACAAAAATTTACAGACTTTGCTCTTTTTATTTTTTTTAAATTTATTTTTATTTTTATTTTTATTTTATTTTTTATTTTATTTTTTTTTTGAAATTCTCTGAAATATATATAATAGTACTTTTATGCTTATCTTTTTTTTTTTATGCTAAAAATATAATGACTTTTAAACTGCTTTGAAGAATTTGTGATTTGGAAGTTCAATTGATCATAGTCAAGAATTTCTAAAGAGTGAGCCAGAAACATCCTAATTAAATATCTGGTTTCCTCCAAGTAGTTTTAGTTTCAAAACACAGGTGTACATCCATGTTCATTCAAAGGTATCTGCCATTTTAAGGTATATTTTTTCATGAACGGGTTCAACGGTATATAAATAAATGACATTTATTTATATATTATTTAAATTTAAACCCTCAAGATTTCCAACCTTCTTTCTTTTTACAGTTTTGCACTAATCTCGCGTGCACTTTGTAGCTCTTGCCATGCGCACATACATGCTAACAAGCCCTCGATTTCCTCGACAGAGTTCCCTTCATGCACACATACACGCACTCGCTCCATCCCTCGTGGAACCGTAGGATACACAATTGCACGCACAATAAACCCCCGTGCTTGACAGTATGCAGCAAGTGCGCGAGCCCGAGTGTCGGCCGGTCCGGCGCATCGCACTGCAAATATAGAGCTTGCTGGTATGTCTGATCCAACTGCGGCATATTCAATACGTGGAACAGAGGGTGGAGAAGGTCCAGGTTCAGGGAAAAGTGCACGCAAACGGGTATGCAAATGTGTTGTTCGTGCCCAAAGAGTATCATGACGGGTGGCTGCAAGAACAGCAGTAGCAGAAAGATTCGTGATACCTGCACATTGCAGAGATGCACCGAGAAGTGCGTAAGATGCTCGCACAGCAGCCAGTGCAGCAAGTGGTGGGGCAGTTGAATAGATGAATGGACGCGCGTAGTTTACCAGGTACTCACGGAGAACTCGTGGACACAGCACGACGGCACCTGCCGCTCCCACAGCTTTTCCAAAAGTGTGTACACGCACCAGACATGCTGACTCCAGAGATTCAGCATTAACAAGACCCAATGCAGGACCTTTTGGTGCTCCAAGAACACCAGTTGCATGGGCTTCATCTACTATGAGGTAAGTGGGACCCATAGTATAAGAAGAACGGTTATGGCGCTCAAAAATGATAGAAACGATATCAGCAAGTGGTGCAACATCACCGTCCATACTGTACACACTTTCAATTGCCACAAAAACACGAGTACTTGGTCCGTGTAATTCATCTACTTTTTTCAAAACCTGTTCAAGACTCTCCAGTTGTCTGGTCTTGTTTTTTCCTCTTTTAACATGGACATCTTTTACACAGTTGTGCGCAAATGGGTACAATTTGGCTGCCCGAGATGCGCGCATGCCGTCGTGCACACTTGCATGGATATATTCATCATAGACCACAACATCTCCTGGTTGTGGAATACAAGTGTACACAGCAACATTTGCATCATATCCAGAACCAAAAAGCAATGCTGCTGGGGCTCCATGAACACGTGCGAGGTCATGTTCAAGTGCTTCTGCGTAGCGCGAATTACCATCAAGCAATCGCGATCCACCGCTACCGGTAGTTCGTGTAGGAGAGATTAAAGTTGTAGATTTTGCAGAAGCAAGTTCGGCTAAGAAAGTAGCGTGAAGTACAGGGTCAGATGCCAGTGAAAGATAATCGTTACTGGAAAAGTCAGCAAGAGGGTGGGCTGGGGAGGAGTCGAGAGTTGTGAGTTTGCGAAGCTGGGACTTGGAGGCACGGGTTGCCAAAATAGATTCAAGATGATTAAGAAATTTATCAGAGTTTTGCATTTTTTAAAATAAGTGATATGGAAATTTTAAAATTAGAAATGAAAGAAAGAGATAATGATAAATAATGATAAAAAATAAAGAGATTGGATTGTTGGGGTGGTTTTCTTTCTTTTAAACTTGGATTGTTGTATTAATCTTGACCAATAATAGTAACACAAAAAAGAAATATCTAAGTAAAAAATATTTGTTGTCTATTCTGAGTCCCCTCTTTTTAGATAAAAATTTTTTTTTTATTTCGATGTATTTGTGTATGTGAATCATTTGAGTCATCCTCTGATTTGCAGGGCTGTGCTGTAAAGCGAGTCATCTGAGTCATCTGTAACTATTTTGTTACTTTCTTTTTTTTTTTGCGGGGAACAATTGTAAAAAACCAAAAGTCTCAATTTTTTTTTAAGAAAATAAAAGTGGTTAATGCATGTTCAAGAATTTAACTTGAATTAATTTTTTAAATATACATATATATAATAAATTCCGTCGTTTCTTATGAAGATTGTAACTTATTTGGTGTCTTCTTTTTTTTAGAGATACAAAAATAATATTTCATAATTACTAAAATACATTCACAGTATCGAGATGCAAAAATGGCTTGCTCATCGACATTTAGTATATAGTCTTGCCTAGTGATACCAAAAAAATATTAAAATATCAACACAACACATAATACTATTAAATTGAAAGCTTTGAGTATCGAATATTTTAATGCAAGCAAATAGGAATCAAAACACACAAAAATGATAAATATAAAACAATTACCAATTATGCTTGGTTTTAATAAGTTAACGCAGCGGGTACCTCTATGACTTGGGACTGTGGCATTGCAAACCTTCATGTCTTCTATCATGTACTGACAAGCTTGATCAAATAAAACTCCTTTTTTTATAAGAATCCGTTGAGTAAGATAGTTAACGATTTTTCTTTTTTGAAAGTAACAATAATTCCGTATTTTTTTTTAAATTTCGTACTTAATGATTAAAAATGGTTTTATTTTCAGCTAACAGTTTAGTATAACTGGTTATCTCCTAAAAGCTGTTGAATCTTAAAAGGTTCAAAGCCGGCCATCCATGCTCTCGTCGAAAAATGCCTTTGACCTCATCATCATGAGAAGTTTCATGAGTTGAATCTCAAATTAAATTCAAACCTGAGTTTTTAGTTGAAAATCCAGAAAAGTAAATAAACAAAAATATTAGACATCAAAATGTTCACAAGGCTTAGCGAACGCTTATAATTTGTTATCCCCATGTTCTGTGAACATAAAAAAAAGGGGTCATTTATGCAAAACAATAGTAAAGGATAATAAATTATTATAAGTGATGGAACTATATATGTCTGCATCAAAATTTGGAAACAATGAAACAAAAAATAGCTGGAATATTAAAAAGAAATTGACAAATTAAACCAACTATGGTTAAAGAAACAAAAAGTATCAACTGGTTGTTCTTAGTTAGTAAACTTGCCAAGTTTTTTGAAAAGGGCTTATGAGCAAGAAAAAATACCTGTCAAGGACTTTTTACCCCTTATAGATTTTGTAATTCAAAACGACTTAACCAAATTCAAATTAGCCGAATTCAAAATCTTTCAAATTATACCATCAGCAAACTGCAAGATGTAAAACAGCAGATATCTTTAAAAACCACCAATTCTACCAATAACATCAATGCTACTAATTTTTTTCTCATACTATGGGACTTACTTAGATCAGTCTCATTTATATTCCTCTAACAAAATAAAAGAAAACAGATGTACTTCTTGCCTTAGCAATGAAAAAAATATAAGCGAGTCATGCTTTTTCTATTGTTGAGTCTAAATCATTTAACACTACCAAATTGTGTTTTTGCAAGACCATACATAATATACAGCAGCGAAAGATTCAGATTAAATATCAAAAGTTGTATATATAGTATCAAGAGCAAAAAAAAAAAAAAAAAAACTAAGCAAATTTTTTAAATTAAGGATTCAAGAAAAAAATTACAGCCACTGTCTCTGTCACAGCCAGAGCCATAGACACAGATAATAATAATAATGTAGCTTCTGTTCAGCAAGTGCCCAGTCATCTATCTAACCAGATATATGTTCATCAGTAACCATCACTTCCCGTATATTACCAATTTGGATCATTACTTACTTATCATGTGGTAAACCAGCTACAATTTTTTAAGGCTTTAAAGAAATGCTTTCCAAAAATATGAACCAATATTTTCTTATGGTTTTCAAAACCAAGCTATAGATATCAAAAGAAAACAAAAAGAGCAAATACCTTTCTTTTGAAACTACATTAACATGAAAGTAACCTAACTACGTTTACAGTTAAATGGAATCTGTATTAAACTACAATAGAGTTTAAAATGGTCTGGCTTATAAATCTTTTAAGGAAATATATATAAGTTTCTTTGCCTGTGTATATCAAAGTGAAATTAGATAAAAATAGTGATGAAAAATGTGATTGTATTTTTACATTATTACCTTTTTAAAGCTTTGGCTTATTTTGCTCCATCAAAGAAATCGCCTTTACAGCCATTCCGTAGCCAGACTGGTATCCAGTTCCTCCTGCTCCATAATTATGAATTATCACACGGCCTTGTCCAAGATCCTCACGCTCTATTCGTGTTCCACCAGTTCTGCTAGGACGCAGTCCAGCTGCCTCTCGCACAATCTCAATAGGCTTACGCCCATAATCGTCAATTTCTGGGTAAAGTCGGCGAGTGCGTTCAAGAATCGACGCAGTCTCTGAGCCATATGTTGCAGTTCCATCCCAGTTCCCACTCTGCATATATCCACCTAGTACAACGTGTCCACCAGTCGAGTGTGGTCGAGGAATCACATAGGTTTCAAAATGTGGGGAAACGAGACCTCTGTTCTCGCGAATGTGTGGCGCGCGAATCACAACCACTTGGCCTCGTGTTGGATATACGTTTTTATCTGCAACACCACCAAGATTATAGGCACCAATTCCAGTACAGTTAAACACAATTGGTGTAACGCCAGATTTGTTTCCGAACTCGAATGCCTCATCGATGTTGTTCAAACGGCGGCGAATAAAAGTGGCTCCACGTGCAGTCAGGTATTGTTTTAAAAAGGCAATGAATTTAGGACAATAAAAGTTAAATGTAGTAAACTTTATGCCATATATAGCATTTTCGATCAAGTCTTTTTTTTCAAGAATTTTGAACTGTTGCATAGTAGCGTTAGAAGAAAAAGACTTGTTTCAAAAGTATTTTAGTACTTACGTCAGGGATATAGCTCTGCAAAGAGGTTATTTTTTTAGGTGATGGGATATCACACTCATAGTACTCGATCGAAGGGAGCATGGCAATTCCTGCCTCGGGTCCAAACTGGTCATGGATCTTCTTTAAGTTTAGAAAGGACACACGATCATATTCCAGTTCAGCGTCAGAATCTCCAGACACGATAGAGAAGTTTCCGCCCTATCGACTGATTAGCTTGAGTTATTAGGTTGGCTACCATTTGATACTTACAGCCCTAAGAAAATAATTAGCTAAAGAAAAAAGAGGGGTAGAAGTTTTAATATCGAAAGACATTAACATACCATGGGGAAGTGTACATGTGCGACTGATCTCCGGGCATAAACTCAGCTACAAAGGTGATATCCTTTGCACGGTCTTGTTGTGCCAGCACAAAACCTGTATATAATCCCACGATTCCCGATCTACAATGTTATTTTTTAAATCCTTTTCTGATAGGTTTTACCACATACCCGACAATGACAATTGGATTTCCCATGTTGTTTTTAATTTTTATATTTAATTAATGTCTAAGTTAAGAAAGTTAAGAAAGTAAATAAAAAAAGATAATGGTATGATAAATAATAACGGTTAAAGTGAAATATGAAATATGAAAAATGAAAAGTTACCGTTCAGGCCTTTTACCTTCCTTTTTATATTTTAGGAACAAAAGATAGTGACCAAATTTCCCCATGATAATAGCGCTACCGGTAGTTAACACGGCATGCTATGGCGAGATTATCTAAGCCCTTTGATAGCCGCCCTATTTCAAACTTCTATCTTAGTTTATTTTATTCACCATCATAATTGTCATTATTTTGTGTTTTAAACAGAAACTACTCGCGGTTTATTTATTTTTTGTTCCATAATTGTATAAGGTGATTTTTTGGGCATCTGGTTTTTGTGTTGTCTACATATTTTAAATCTTTTCAATCTCAACCTTGGCTCGCTGCCAGCTTTCCAAATTGTTTTGTGCCCACTCCAGGTGACACTGGACATATGCGCGCATCATTTGCCGCAGATCTTCCTCCTTAGTTCGTTGAAACCGTTCCATGTCTGCTTTAACCGACCCGGAAGCCTCTTCAACATCCGTTTGAGCAGCAGCAAGTGCTTCTTCAAGTTGTGCAATCTGCTCCCTAATCTTGCTAATATTGTTGCGTCGCGTGGTTTCCGGATCATTATCTATAATGCCATGGATTGCACTGTTGAGCTTGCCGATACCAGGTATCTTAAACCCCCCTCCGGCTGATTTTTGTTTCCAAATTGGCCGTGCAACAGGAACCGCATCGGCATGTGTTGGTGGGAATGCCGCACTTTCTTCGTTAGAAGGTGCGGGTGGAACCGTAGGCTGTAAGTTAGGAGTAGTATCGCTAACGGCACTACCACTGTTTGCTGCACCGCCGCTGCTGTTGCTTCCGGTACTAATTGAATTGCGTAAAGTTTCATTATCGTCATTGGTCAACACGCGAGAAGTTGTAGGTGAATGTTCAACAGCTCCATTGGTCTCACCAAAGCTGTCTTTGTAGAGGTAGGCCTGAATACGTTGAGCTTCTTGCTCAACCTTCTCAAGAGAAGCTAGTGACACTTTTTTGTTAGCAAGACTGTCAGCTGTCATTTCAAGCTGCAGAGCCTTTTGGCGCCGAAACTTTAGCACAGACCGTACCACAGATGCAAATTGTGCAGACTCTCCCAGAGGTTCACTAAAAGAAGATGATAGTGCCTCTACTAAAGTACCGGTTGCAATATAACTGCTGTCAATTGCTTGTCCAACCATCTCAATCGATGTGGCCAATGCACCATTTTCTTCAAGACTAAATGCATTAAACCGTGCTCCCAGACTTGACAAATCTTTGGCCTCATCGGAGTAACGCTTCATTATCCTTTGGTTGGCCTTTTCTAATCCATTGACAATTACGTTTTCGTATTCTTTTGCGTTCTGTTCCGCTTCTTTAAAGGCTGGGTCTTCCTGAGTGCGCAGTTTAGCTGAACTTGGGGGAATCGGGAGATAGGTATGTGCAATTGACTCTTTGGAAGGGTCCAAAGGTGGAGCCTTAAGCACGTTTTTCGGGAGATTAGACACAGGGGGTGAGTTAAGCACTTCGCTCCAGCTTGAATTAGGATCTAAAAACCGCTGGAACACGGAACTGGCCTTGATTTGAGTCATTGACTTGCATCGATTTAAAAAGACTGCCAACATTCGGCGCCGATGCTCAATTATGGTTGTGTCTTCCTTAGCTTTTGTCGGAGAAGATGCATAGTCAGCTATATAAAGTTAGGAAACAAGTCAAGAAAAAAAATAATAAAGATTTCTTTGTTAACTTACACATTGTGTGCTTTTCAGGAATTGGAGGGATAATGAGGGTAGGGAAAAGTTGAACAAGCGTGTTTCTTAAACTTTCAAATTCAGAGTACCGTCTGCGAACAGTGAGATCATTTATCTTAATTGTATAAGAAATAAACCCTCTGCTACTTCCTTCACGGCTTTTGCCAGCTTCGACAATGGTAATTGTGGCGTTTGGATCAGTAAAAAGAATGAGTTCAACTCGAGAAGAGTAAACACGAGGAGAATTAGGATCGATGACTTCCGTTTCTGCGGTATCCTTTTTGTCGGGAACAGAATCTGTAAATCCCGGATTTCCTAAAATATCTGCGTCATCATCATCAATAATGGCGCTGGAGAGTGCACCATTGCTAGACTCATGAGCGTCTCTAGTGCTACTTCCAATAGAATTCGGGTTATTGACAGAAAGTGATGCAAAGTTAGAGGTAAGGCCAGAAGATGATGAAAGTCGACGGTCAGTCCCAGAAAACGGGTTGTTGTCTTCAAAGTCGGACATGGTTTGGAAAAAGGTGGCGATAGTGAGAGCTATGGTACTACTGGTGGTGTAGTATGATACGAGTGAGGTATTCTTTAATTAAAAAAAAAAATTGGTTTTCTTAGAGCCTGAAAGTGCTGATATCAAGACAAAAAAAAAAAAAGCAAGTTTATAAACTTCCACAAAAGACTTGACTAGTTCTGGGCTTGAATGTTTATGAATATAAAAGAGTGAGATAGAGAATGTGAAGAGAGAAGAGCGAGCAGAGCGCAATGGAAAGTGAAGATGGGGGGGGAAAGTATTGAGGTAATAAGGCTTTCTTTACACAAGGGCTGGGCAGTGCATAGGCGCAGTTTGCGGCGGGGTACGTGTATTAAGCCAAAAAGCAATGTGTGCTACGTTAAAAAAAAATAAAAAGCATAGTGAATTATAATTATAATGATTGAGATTACGTAATTGCTTATTATTACAAATGAAGGTCTTTCGTCAGGCAAGTCAAAGATCAATCACAATTAAATCACATGACTTATAATTATTAAGTTTTCCCGTGACTAACGGGAGCTGCAGGTACCTTAATCACTTAATTTCCTTAATAGGAAATTTGTAAACACAAAAAAAAATATATATATATTTAATTAATTAATAATAAACACCCACAACGCGACTGTGGTAACCATCACAATCGCGGCTTTGTTTGTTTGTTTATTTATTATATATCACGAAAAGAAAGAAAAAAATAAATAAATAAATAATAATAATAAATAGACCAAAAGGTGTATACCGTTATATATTTCAGTATATTCCCGTATTATTTATTTATTTTTTTTTTCTTCTCTTTCTCTCTCTTTTTCTCTACCCTCCTTTTCTTTTCTCCAGGAACCATTCTTTTGCTGAATGGAATTGGTCCTGTTTGCTGTTCCATCAATTTGTTTTGTTTCTGTTCTGTTTTTTAATCCTTTTCTTGCTGGTCAAGACACTTCTTAATTTTTAATACCTAATAAAAAAAAAAATGAGCTTTGCTACGCCTACAAAAAAAACTAAGACAACATACTTTTTCGACTCGCCAACTACGTCGCGAGTCGCAAAGACTCCCACGAAAAGCCCATATCGCACACATTTGATGCATGGAACCCCAAGAAACATACCTCCATCGCCTATGTTTCGCGCCATTCAAAATAATAGTACGACCTCTAGTATGAGCAGCCAGTGTATTTCTCTCACTTCATCCACTGCTACGGCAGGCTCTTCACCTCTCAAGTTTGACGTTGTTGCTGCAGACTGGGTCGGTAGCAGTAGTACCTCTACAAACAATGTCTCCAGCAGCGGAAATACAAACAGTACAAGTGGAGTTGCGACTGGCATTGCGACTGCCGCTGGTCCCTCTAATTCAACTGCCTCAAATACACGCTCTATCCCAGGGTCACCTTCACATTCTAGATCTGGCAGAACGTCTGCCCAAGCAGACAGATTTATTCCTAACAGACAGTCGTCTTTCCCTATTCGCTCTAAACTAGACAAGCCAGCCGACCTTTCAGCGTCTAGCGGCAGTGGTGCCAGTGGTGCCAGTGGCTTGGGAGGCAACGCATCAATCTCTGGTCTCACACTCGGTAACCCGTTTGGCAATGTGGGTGGTGACGATTTGGTAGCATCAGCCAGCGCGTCACTCGGTCCTCAAGCCTCTTCCAGCATTTCTTCTAGCATCACTTCACCAACCTCACAAGCATATCAAAGTTCAGTAGCTGAGGCATGTGGTATTTCGCTCAATACACGCATTCTCGAGTTTCAGCCTGCTGCACCTCAGTCTTCTAAGCCTATTGACCTTCGCAGTCAATACAATAAACCTCTTAAGGCTGTTAATGCGCAGTTGCGCCGTAAAGTCCCAACTACTCCGGAACGCGTTTTGGATGCACCCGGTCTTATTGATGACTACTATCTTAACCTTCTCGACTGGTCCAACGACAACCAAGTAGCCATTGCACTCGAGCGCAACGTGTTTGTTTGGAACGCAAGCACTGGTTCTGTTTCTAATCTTTTAGAAGGGCCAATGAATAGCTACGTATCAAGTGTACGATGGTCTGGCGACGGTGCCTACCTTTCCGTTGGTTTTAGTGATGGTGATATTCAAATTTGGGATGTAGAAGAATCAGTTAAATTACGTTCAATGCGCGGTCATACAGGTCGCGTAGGTGTAATGTCGTGGGATAAGCATATTTTATCGAGTGGATGCCGGGATGGATCCATCTGGAACCACGATGTGCGGATAGCTGAACACAAAGTCTCTGAGTTCAATAATCATGCGGCCGAAGTATGCGGCCTTGAATGGCGTTCAGACGGACAACAATTAGCAAGCGGTGGAAATGATAATGTTGTTAACATTTGGGACCCGCGCTCAGCAGCTGCACCCAAGTTTTCAAAGACGAACCACCATGCTGCTGTTCGTGCATTGGCATGGTGCCCTTGGCAGCTCAATTTACTGAGCTCGGGCGGCGGTTCACAAGATAAGCATATTCATTTCTGGAATTCAACTACAGGTGCGCGTGTCAACTCGATTGATACAGGATCTCAAGTCACATCACTCAGGTGGAGTACCACCTACAAGGAGATTGTGTCGACCCATGGGTTCCCCAATAATGTGCTTACAATCTGGAGCTACCCCAGTCTCACCAAGAATGTTGACATTGTTGCACACGACTCGCGTGTTTTACACAGCGCTTTATCTCCTGATGGAGATACGCTGGCAACTTGCGCTTCTGATGAGAATCTCAAGTTTTGGAAGATTTTCGAAACTGTTGGTAGAAAGACGCATAATACAAACACTAGCACGATTGCTACGGGCAAAGATGTTATGATGATAAGATGAAGTAATTATATTTATTTATACGTTATAGAGATTAAGATGCATTAAATGAAGAGTTGTAATTTTAAATAACAAATATTAATTTCAATGATCAAAAATCCTCAACTTTTAGCTCTTTTTGATAAATTGACGACGATAGTTCTCTTTGACAGGTGTTGCAGGTTAGGTGTGGCATGTAAATATGTATACGGCTAAAATTAAATAAAAAGCAGTCACATAGTAAGGCTAAATTTTCCTAATAAATTTTTATAAGGTATATTTCAGACTGAATTTAATGTCATTCAGTACTTTTGAGACCATTATGATATGTGTGTATATCAGGGCAAGGGTAAGTGAAAATTTTTCACTTTGATAAAAAATAATAAAAAAATTTAAAAATTAAAAAAAATTTAAAAATTAATCAGTGTTACAAATTAATGTAACAAATATATGTAACTTTAACTTGTGTAATATTAATATTTGCTAAGCCTTTTTATATGTCTTAGCTAATCACAGAGTGAGTTTGTGTGTGACTGCGTTTTTTCTCTTTTTTTTTTCTCACTCCCGCCAGTCCCCCCTCCCCCCGTCCTCCCTTTCCCCCTAGGAATAGTTCTGTGTCATTGAGCCTCGACAACGACGACAAGTTTCGCCTTCGCCCATACATACAATGTCTGCTGCTGCTAAGATCCTTCACGACAACGCCACCGAGCTCGAGCTCCAGGTTGGCCAGGCCCTCATTGATCTTGAGAACTCTGCTCCTGAGCAGAAGTCTTCTCTCAGACTCATCCAGCTCAAGTCCGTTCGTGAGGTTAGTATTGACTGAAACTTTGTTTGCAAGGATATCCTGATTGTTTTTTTTTTGTTAATTTGCATACCTTTTGATATAATACCATTTCAAGGCTTGATACCATTTAAAATTTTGTTGTATATACCTTTTTGAAGCAGGATAAAAATTTGGGAGATGTTGGTGAATTTTTTTATATACGCGTGAAAAAACAAGTAAATTTTTTTCTATTAAACATTAGGATCCTTGAGAAATTTGTTCTAAAGCCATTTGCTAATATGTTTCTATAGCTTGAGGTTAGCGGAGGCAAGAAGGCTATTGTCATTTTCGTTTCCCCTCCCCTTCTCCCCATTGTCCACAAGGTCCAGCAGCGACTGACCCGTGAGCTCGAGAAGAAGTTCTCTGACCGTCACGTTGTCTTCATTGCTGAGCGCACCATCCTTCCTAAGCCCAGCCGCAAGGCCAAGCCTGGTCAAAAGCGCCCTCACACCAGAACCTTGACTGCCGTCCACGACGCCATTCTCGAGGATCTTGTTTTCCCCAGCGAGATTGTTGGCAAGCGTGTCAGATACCAGATTGGTGGCAACAAGCTCCAGAAGGTTATTCTCGACAACAAGGACTCTGCTGTCATTGACTACAAGCTCGAGTCTTTCCAGTCTGTTTACAACAAGCTTACTGGTAAGAAGGTTGTCTTCGAGATCCCTGCTGCCCAGGGCGAGGTCTACTAAACAATATAGGCTGCATTGATGGAATGACTAAAATAAAATAAAAAAAAAGTGAATTTTTCTTTTTTCCCTCTTCATTCTTATGGTTTCTGATTTCTTTTTTTTCTTTCAAACCCCACCTCCCATAAACGTGTAATGATAAATGCAAAAAGTTATAAAAACATTTAAACAAGCTTTTTGGGAAATTCTTTTGGTAAACCAAGAGAAAACTATAATCTAAGATAAAAGTATACTATGCAATGAGGAAATTAAAACTAGTTTATTTTTTGAAGCAAAAGAAGTGTCTAAGAAAAGCGTTTTTTGGGGTCTATGGACATTTTGCGGTAACAAATTCTTTATCCTTTTTTGTGTACCGTAAAAGTTATAAATAAAAAAAGAAAGAAAATTTTTAATTATGGTCGACGTTTCATCCTGAAAGCGGTTTGACCAGCCGGCTTTTCAAGAATAGTGACATTTTCTGGGTGGTAGTTTTCTTTTCCTGGAGCATCAGACCCGGCCGCACTGCTATAAATGGCCTGGATCTGCTGGACGCGTGAAGGATAAGGTCTGTATGCCTGTTGTTGCGTACTATCCTCATCCTCCATGGTCACTATACGAGGCTCCATAGAGCTGTACTTAGTGGGAGACGATGGAGCAACGCCGCCAACAACAGTCCGACGTACAGGTGAAGCGGCACGGGCAGTACGTGTGTAGCCTGTCGTTGCGGCTGCATTGGCAGATGTCGCAGATGCTTGGTTGAGTGCGTTGGCAGCTGCAGCGACAGAAGGACCCGGAACGGCCTTACGTACAGGTGAAGGCCGTGAAGGCGATGAGCTGCGTGACTTTGCCGTGTGCATCATCATGTAACCATCTTCAGCGGTTGGATAATGGTTAACGATGCGACGAGTGACAACTGGAGCTGGCGACGGAGCTTTTTGGTTATAGGGGTTGTACTGTTGTTGTTGTTGCTGTTGAATTGGCGGTGTGTAGTAGTTGGCACTTCCGGCGCTGCCGGACGACTGGCCACTGCTGCCAGAAGACAGTGTGATGTCAGAAAAAACGGACGCAGCAGAAGACATGACCTGGCCTCCTGAGGTCAGTGTGGTCGTGGGAACGTAAAGATGAGTAGTGGATGCCATAGGAGGGGATCCGGACGCGACAGAAGGCTGATATGCAATGGTAGTACCTGGGGGTCCTTGAGTGAATTCAATATCTGGCGATCCACGCTCATAAAGTTGGAGAACCGGGGGTTGGTTACTCGGACTTATGTCATAAATGGTACCTTGTTGTTGATGTTTGAGGTTGTGAAGCGAGCGCGACTGTAATCGCAGCTGGGCCTGGAGTTGTTGTTGAGCAGTTGGAGGTTCCGGGAGCGGAAGGGGCAGAATTCCCGAGTAGAGTTGAGACTGTTGTTGTTGTTGTTGTTGTTGAAGCTTCAACAGTTGTTGCTGAGGGGAAGTTTGTGGGTAACTGGAGGTGTCTTCAGCATCTTCGTCTTGTAAGTTTTGATCTTCTTCGTACTGTTCTTGCTGATTAGCTGCCTTTTTGGCCGAGGGGTTAATGACGAGTGTGGCTGCACTAGTTTGTTGTAGAACGCGCAAAACAAGCCAGGCAATGAATGCGACAGAGCCCCAGATGAGAATGAAGCGCATGCAAACAGCAATGTAGGACGCGCCGACATCGACATAGAACTCAATTATTGGTCTTAAAAACGCGACAATAAGACCAACAACGACGCCGGTACAGAAGGAGGCTGGCGAGGTTGGCCAAATGTATGGGACAAGAACGTTAGGAAGAATAAGCGAAGAAACCTGGCCGTTTGGAGGCATAGGTTTTCCGATTGCAGTTGTTGCGGTCACGGCGACCGAAGACTGTTTTTTTGCCATGGATTCTAAATGGATGGATAATGGAAGAGTGATTGTTGAAAGAAAAGACCTTGGTTTGAAGGGAAGAAAAGATGTTTTTAATAAAACGACGCGTCTTTATTTTTTATTTTTGAGTTTATATGTCAAGGCGGTGTTAGTTACAATGACACAGGTATTTTTGATGGTTATATTTTTAAAAACAACCCCGTGAACTAAAACAATATCGACGGTAAAAAAGTGGCGATATGTATTCCAAGATCCGGGACTGGAGGTTTAGTTACGAAGATAATGATTATGATGATTGATGATGATGATGATGATTTATATATGAATGGTGGCAAAAAGAAGAAGAAAAGGGAAAAAAAAAAAAAAAAAAAAAAAGGGAGTGGGAAGACTGAAGTTTAAGAAAAAAAATTAAAATTAAAATAAAAACAAAAATTAAAATTAAAATTAAAATTAAAATAAAAATAAAAATAAAAATAAAATGAGCACACGGGATCGCAGGCTTTTGAAAAAAAAAAAAAAAAAAATTTCCATTAATGGAAATTTTTTTTTTATATTATTTGGGATATTCACGATGTTTTGTTTATTATTTGGCGAGACCCTATCCGCTGCGGTGGGTAGTTTGTACGGATTTGTTTGTTTACAAGTTGCCTATTTAGGAAGTGATTTTGGGCTTATAGTACACTGCGTAGACAGCGGATATAATTATTATGCAAATGAATGAAAGAAATATATATTTCTAGACATGAACTCAGCCAACCATCATATAATAAAAACAACAAAAACAACAAAATTTTTGAACCAGAGGGATTCATGATTCATGATTAACAGTTAGCAATAAATTCTAGAAAATAAAAAAACAAAAAATAATTAAATATTGAAGTCTATAAAAGTGGAGAAACCTTTGAGTAACATTTTTTGATAACGGTTATTTAAAAAGTTATTTAAAAACCTCTCCTGAAATCAAAATGATGCCTAAATGAGCTGCTTGGCTGGTAAATTGATTTCGACATTGAGCACAATATTAGGCTTGCAACACAATAAAATCGAATTTCTACTATATTATTGAATTTAGCCAGAGCGCCTTATGGTTATCCCAAGTGGAACCTCCAGCCTTTTCTAAACACTCCACACCCCCTAACCGTTGTTAGTTTCGTATTTCCCCACTTGTATATAAGACTTATAAACGTGGTTCCAGTATTTCCAATAACCTCCCTGAGCATTCAGGGGGGTATGTTTTCTATCCGTCTATTCCTCCCTCTCCCTCTATCGCTAAATCTCCAAAGGTAGTAACTATTGGTCAGGTATTTTATCCTCAGCCGTCTTGCAAACGTGATGATTCTGAAACTTGTCTGAGTCTAATTTTAAAAGCCATGTCAGGTTGAATGTTGGACATCAAGGGTAAATTGGTTTTAGAGAGAGTGAAAGATAAACGAAATTTAAAAGAGAAGAACACAAGTATCCTTAAAATTTAAACTATAAGGTTTTTTAAGTAATTCCCCTTATGCCATCCCTGCATTTCAAAGGTTCCTGTGCAAACCAGCCCCGTCTTTTAATATTATGCTTACATTTAAACGTATTAGCATATGATTTAATGCTCTATGCAACTGTAGATAAATTAAACACCGTCTTTTATAACTTTTGATTGTGAATTCTATTTACGCTTGGCATTTTTGAAGGATGAAATGATTATAAAAAAACTATTAGGCTTCACCAAAAGGTGAATAATATATGAGTCCATAATAGGAAGTTTGTTTACAATTTGACCCACAGTAGCAAGGCTGGCTAGTTCAAGCTAATTTAGGCCACTTGCAGTAAAGTAACAAGAGGGAATTCAAGTGCTTGTTCCGAAGTCATTTCATTCAACTAGGCCGGTCTTTGATCGAAACTAACGTCTATTACTAGCAACCATTTTTCTTAGAAGGGGAGAGCCTTGTTATTTGAAACTTGCGAATCCCGGTTCGTGCCCTCGGATTGTTTGTTTTGGGTTTATTTAAATAATAACACTTTGACAAGGACCGTAATCCTTTACAGATTTTTAAGACATTGATAATTCTACTAAAAATTCAAAACTTTTAAAATATTATCTTCAAGGGTTGTGTTTGTTGTTGTTTGAAAATCACAAACGGCGAAACTTAATTGCATAAATGGTCAAAACAATTGTGCTTTTGAAAGCTCCTCAATTGAGCAAGTTTGAAGAACAATAATTGAATTTAAGCGGTTTGAGATTTTCAACAAGAAATGTTGAAAAAAAAAAAAAAAAAAGGGAGAAAGAAACAAGCCCCATTCAGCAATGAGTTCCGAGTCCCGGGTACCGTTAAATTAATTGAAAACATTTTTTCGGTGCTTACTATCAGCCGCGTATTCTTGAATTTGTAACAATATTTGGTGACTGTTGAAACCTAAATAGGAAACTTAACAAGTAAAAAAGTTACAAACCCTAACAAATATTTGACAAAAAAGCCCTAATTCACTACATCTACCCAACCAAAAAAATATATTCTATAGTTAACAACACCTTCCCTCTATAGATACCGGTGCCATGCCCATCTTTTGTCGGGTAGTAACAAAAGATTAGAGAGCCAGCACGACATTGAATGCAACGATTACATAGAATATATATTTGTTTTGTAAAATTAAGACAAATTGTCATCAATGGATCCAAGTAGTGAAGTTTCAGGTCTTAAAGTAACTCAAGATTCCAGTGTCATGATTACATAAACATGTATTACAAAAATTCAATTTATGGTCCCAAATGTACGCTGATAATTAAAGATATAGTGCATATATCAGCACGCATGCTAGAATTTCCCCAAGAGCCCGGTGCCCCTCCCCCCTCGCAACTTTTCCCGTTCGCGTTACTTTTTACAATTTTTTTCGCACCCTGTCCCACTGCACGATAGAGACTTGAGTCAAATCCAACCTCGGGCCTAATACATACAACAGAAAGGTATGAAATCAAAGAGAAGCTATTTCATTTTTGTGGACTTAACGAAGAGAGAAAGGAGAGGAATGTCATGAAGGTTTTTTTTTATAATTTTTGAAAAGGAATGTCAGTAATCAATCAACAAGTGTATAGAGATCGAAAAAGCATTTTTTTTTTTAGTTTGAATATGACCTTTGTAGGAAATAAGAAAGGTATACAGATGAAATACCCAATGTTTTAATCATAAGACGAAGTTAAATGATTTTTTCAAACTTGCAATACAAAAAAAAAAAAGGACTACCCGTGTAGAAAATGCTTTCAAATTGTTTTTAAAAAAAATACTCCAGTTATTATCACCAACTTTAGAAGTTGAAAGACGGAATAAGGATGGCCAATCTGGATTTTTTATAAAGACTGCTCTCTTTTGAGGGGAAGGACTTTATTATCCCTTGATTTGTTACGACTCCAAGATGTTACAAAATTTTATGTCACAATCAAAAAAAAAATACACAGAAAAAAAAATTTTTTTTTCCATATCACTAAAAAAAAATGGACACTAACATCCTTTCTCTCTCTCCACACACATTGACCGGAAAGTACTAACTTGAAGTTTCTCAATATAGCGACAATGTCAGACATTTTCAACCTCACCCCTGAGGATGCTCAGCTCCTCCTTGCTGCTGGCGTCCACCTTGGTTCTAAGAACAAGGTTGTCAACATGGAGTCCTACATCCACGCTACCCGTCCCGACGGTGTCAACATTATCAACATTAGCAAGACCTGGGAGAAGATTGTCCTTGCCGCTCGCGTCATTGCTGCTGTTCCCAACGCTGCTGACGTTGTTGCCATCTCTGCTCGTATCTATGGTCAACGTGCTGTCCTCAAGTTTGCCAGCCACACTGGTGCTACCGCCATTGCTGGTCGCTTCACCCCTGGTTCTTTCACCAACTACAACACCCGCTCTTTCAAGGAGCCTAGATTGATTGTCGTTACTGACACTCGTCTTGACGCCCAGGCCATCAAGGAGTCTTCTTACGTCAACATCCCCGTCATTGCTCTTTGCGACGTTGACTCTCCTGTTGAGTACGTTGATGTTGCCATTCCTTGCAACAACAGATCCAAGAACGCCGTTGGTCTTGTCTGGTGGCTGATTTCCCGTGAGGTTCTCAGACTTAAGGGTGTTCTCCCCGACAGACAGACCCAGTGGAACGTCATGCCCGATTTGTACTTCTACAGAGACCCTGAGGAGCCGGAAACCACCACCGTCACCGAGGAGGAGCCTGCTGAGGAGTTTGTTGCCGAGGTTGCTGCTGCCACTGAGGAGTGGGATGCTGCCGCTGCTGTCGACGCCTCTGGCGACTGGGCTGCTACCGACGACTGGGCTTCTGAGAGCGCTCCCGTCGCCCCTACCCCTGCCACTGCCGCCTAAAGAAATTTTTGTAATGTTTATACGGGTGTAAAAGAAAAAAATTTAAAAAACGAAAAGAAACTTTTAAAAAATAAAAAAAAAATAGTGGAGGATTAGTGTAAGTTTGTAAGATTTGTGCATATTAATGGATGTATATTGGTGTAGAAGCAGCAGCCCATAATCCATTTTTTTTTAAAAAAAATAAGCTAAAATAAGCCAAAATAAAAAAAAAAAGGGTAAGTTTTGATGTGTATGAAACTTTTAACTAAATACCAAAGTCGTGATTCTATATGAAAAAAAAATTTTTTTGAAAAAATAAGACAATCCTTTTATTCCTTATTAAACGGAGGTTTTCTTTTTTTCTTTCCAACATATAACTCTCCTGATTCTTTTTTTTTTCCATTCTTTTAAAAAGTCTCTTCTTCATCTCCTTCCATAGGCATAAGAGTATCTTCATTGTCAACCTCCATGATTGTATCATTGGGAGCCTCAAACCCTTCAGCTGTAGAGTATAAAATGTCCATAATAGCCTTTACAAAGATTTTCGGCTCAAGCATTCCCAATTTTCCATTAGCGGTTGATCCCAAACCACTTTCTTGACCATTTGATTCATCTCCATCCTTCTTCTTTTCTGATTTCTCACCATTCGCTTCGCCTTCATTTTTATCTGTACCATCCCCGTTGCTCTTCTTATTATCGCCACTGTCACCACCTTGTTCTTCCTTCTTTTTAAGCATTTCGGAAACACTCTGCATTAGAATCTCAATTTCACGCAGTTTGGAAAAATAAAATTCGCGCTCCGAAGTCACTAGCTCCGCATGGTCCATCAGTTGGTGGTATTCATTCTCTATCGCTCCATATTCTTGCCGTGTTTCTTCCAACTCCTGTTCTAGAGCCGCCACCTGTGCCTGGGCTTCTGTTGCAGCTTGTTGTGCCGCTGCTGCTTCTTCTCGCGCAGCACTCACTGCAGCCGCTGCTGCTGCTGCAGATGCTGACGACGAGTGTGCACCAAGCGCAGATACAGATCGCACCCCAACCGCACTCAAACGGCCACCACCAGTAGCTGCTGAACCACCATGTCGACCTGCAGCTGTTGCTGTAGAAGCTGGGCCTGTGTGTGTTCCAACAGCAGATGATCGACCTGTGGTGCGTGCGTGTGTGGATGAAAGCCGTGAAGAAGAAGTAGTGTTTGTTGTGTGGATTGTGGTATGATGAGGGGTGGTTGATGTACGAGAATGCGATGCTGCACTAGAACCCAAACGAGTTGCTGGTGTTGTTGATGATGATGATGATGTTGTTGTTGGCGTTGGACGGGCTGAGCGGTATTGGCCAGTGACTGAAGGTCTTGAGGCGGATGTGGGTCTAGCAGAACCAACTGCAGAGAGTCTTCCTGAAGAAACTGAGGGTGATCTTGAAGAAGTTGAAGAAAGTCTAGGTCCTAGAGATGAAGAAGATGCTGGAGATGAAGAGGCTGATGTTGATCCTAAAGGCGCCAGAACTCCAAAAGAAGATCGAACAGCAGCAGCATCATAGTCTGTGCCAGTGGGGTAGTTTGCATCCCAGAAGCGTTTAAACCACTGAAGAAACTCGAGGTTATCTTGAAGCCGGCACTTGGCAAGCCGGTCGACTTCAATGGGTCGGTCAATTCCATGTGATGTGAAGGCGGCTTGGAGAATCTTAAAGTTAGACAAGTACTCGTACTCATTGCGGGCGCGGAAATTGACACGCTTAAGTGGTATGTCTCGGTAGATGGAGTCGAGTAGTTGGCAGTACACAAAGCCCTTGCCACATTCGTCAACTTTAGAGATGTTGAGCTGTAGGGTGGAGTTGACCCAGTTGACAAGCTCTTGTCTAGATTCACTGCTCATTGTTTGTTTATAGTTGATATAGTGGTGGTGGTGGTGGTGGTAGTGTTAGTAGTATTTGTGATAGTTTGTAACGATTGGTTTGTTGGAATAATAATAATAAAAAAAAAATTTTTTTTTCTATTCAATTGCTTTCCTTTTTTGTCAGTCTATTTGTTTCTCTTTTGTTTTTTTATTATTATTTTATTTTTTATTTATTAGAAAAAAAAATAAAACAGTTGATAAGCTTTATTAATTTACGGAGAAAAAAACTAAAACCATTTAAAAAGTTAATGTTTTGTGTATAATTATGTTTATAATTTTAATTATAATTATGATGATGATGATATTTTTTTGTTTTGTTTTTTGGCTTAGTGATTGAAAAGGGGGTGGTGGAGTTTAAAGGAGGTTTTTTTTTTTTTTTTTTTTTTGAAAATTTCCACGTAGTCAAAGGAGAGACGGACTTTATTTGTGAGTGTCTGGTAAGTAAAATAGCCGTGTATATAGTTGATTTAAAAAAAATAAATAACTAAATTAAATAAATAAAATAGATCTTAATAGATTGAAGTCCAATGGTGACAATATTTTTAAATAACTAAGAAGATCAATTGAGTATTTTTATTTTATTTTTTTCAATCATAAAAAAATAAAATTAAAAAATAAAGAGAAAAGTTGAAATTTTTTTTTTTTTTTTTTTTTACAAACCAGGACGTTAGTTTGTGTTAGTTTAATGTAATTATTGATTAGTAATTTTGTTAATTGTAATATTTGTTATATTTATTATATAATTGTTAATGTTAATGCTAATGTTAATGTTAATGTTATTTAATTAAATTACCCGGATTAATTTCTTTTATGAGCACTATTTAGCTTTCACATGTGAACTTTTGTTATTTTTTTTTTTCTCGGGTCCTTCGGGACTTTTGATAATTTTTTTGGGGTTTTTTTTTTTTTTTTTTTTTTGTTGATTGTCTCTCATCGGCTTTTTACAATTACAAATTTTTATGTGTGTATATGTAAGAACAGCAGAAGCAATTAAAAGGAGAATAGAATAGAAAACATAATAATCCCTACGGGCCGAAAGGGCAGCAATAGTAAAAGGTTCTTATACAATATAAAAGCTTTACAATTGAGACTTTAAAGATACAGCCATCAAAAAAAAAAAAAAAAAAAAAAAAAAAAGTTAAAAAGATATCACCATTAATATTAACATTATTATTCACCATTAAATATCAACTATCTACTATCAATTATCAACTTCATCATTAACCATGCGATAAGCATAAAATAAAAAAAAAAAAAAAACAACTTTTCAATTTTTTTTTATTTTTTTCTTCCTTTTATTTTTCAACTAAATGTTTTTTCACTCAATTCTTTCTTCAATTCATTTATTTGAAAAAAAAAAAGACATACACACACATATATATCACAGATAAACATAATTGTTTCTTAATCGATTTTTGTGAGATTTTTTTTTTTTTTATCTTTTTTTCTTTTCAGCATAAAACAGATTATACCCATTTTAATTGACTTCATCGTCTTTTATTATTATTATTATTTACCACACTAGAACACCCAAACAAAGGTTACCTTTCACTGTAATTACCTTAATCTAATCTTTTTCAATGGTAAAGAACGTCATCATCATCATCATCATCTTTCATAATCCTTCATCTCATCTCCCCACAGATTTATATGTTTACTAAGAAAATATACCCCTTATAATAAAGACAGTTCTTCTAATTCATTGCAATGGTGATGAACATACCTTAGAACTGCAGTGACATGCAGCACCCGAACCAACCAGTCAATAACATATTACCATCCATACTATTATTACCTATGTCATGCACAGCAATCTTTAGATAAAGACTACCACGTACTCATGATTTATCTTCATATTATTCTTTCTCTTTACCAGGGGGTCTTTTGAAAGTTTCAATTTAAATCCCTTTAATTACAGACCAACATCGGCTAGAAATGCTGATGATTTTGATAACAATGATAACAATGATAACAATGATAACAATGATAACAATGATGACAGTGATGACGATGAAGAATTGAAGATTTAACAGTGGTAAATTGCCTTTTAATTTTATTGCTGATATGTGTATGTGATTAAACAAACAATCAACAACCCAACTCAATAAGTTTGTTTGAAACGCGTGCTTAACTGCCTGCGTTTTTACTTCAACCCCGCGTGCGCGTCATTTTTGTGATTTTTTTATGATTTAGTGAGTGAGTGAGTGAGTGAGTGAGTGAGTGAGAGAGGGGCTCATGACACAAGGTCACGTGCGAGATGATTTCCTATTTAAGAAATGAAAAGTTTCCCGATTAAAAAAAAATTTTTTTAAATAAAAAAAAATAAAAAAATTTTTTGTTTTTTTTGCTGAGCTGCCCAGAACTTTTTTTCAACAAACAACTCTTTTCAGGCCCTGAAAAAAATAATTACAAAAAAAAAAAAAAAAAAAAAAAATAAAAAAAAAAAAAATAAAAAAATAAAATAAAAAAATAAAAAATCTCAAAACTCTCCAGCTTAAAAAAAAAAAAAAATTATAATCCAAACCATCTAAATCAAATCTATTCAAATCTTGCAGATTCTGTTTGTATTTGAACTGCTATTTTTTTTTTTAAATCTGCAGACGTCGCTGTGATATCATCATCTTAATCATCATCTTTATCAAAAGAATCATACACACACACACACACACACACACTAATATATCACACCCTCCCCCCTTCCTCTTTTAAAACTACTTTTAATCAAACATTTTCCTTCATGTCCAAATCATCCTCCACAATGGTCAACCCGGCCTCTGCTCAAAACACCGCATACTCTCCAGCGGTCTCTTCTTCATCCTCTTCAATCCCGTCGTCTGCAGCAATGATCCACCAACCTCCACCGCCAACAGCCATTGCTTTTAAAAGCACCACCACCACTAACGGTTACCGCTCAAGTTCTACTCTGCCTGGCGGGACGGAAGTTCTAAGCTCTGCAAACAGAAACAATAACAATATTAGTAAAAACACAACAGCAACATCTATAAACAAATCTACCACGAGTCCAAACTCGGCTTATACTTTTTTGCCAAAGTCTTCGGGTCCTCGTGTGTCTACTGCTTCTGCTGCTTCTTCTACTTCTACTTCTTCTTCTGCTGCTGCTACTGTTACTGTTACTAATACCACTGCTAATGCTCCTATTAATGCTTCCTTTTCATCCATTCACAATCCCTACCCATCTCCATCCTCTTCATCATCCCTCTCAGCCCCCAAGGTTCGTGCAAGAAAGAGTTCATATACCTACTCTTCTTCTTCTTCTTCTTCCTCCTCTTCTTCTGCTTTCTCAACTACTGGTGGTGGCCCAGTCATAATACAACAAACTTTTGGCCAGCATCAACAATTAACACACCCTCCACACATCCCTGGTCCAACTGCTCCAACACAAGTTTCTGCGGTACACTCTCAAAAACTGCAACTACAACTACTACAACAACAACAACAACAGCAGCAGCAGCAACAACAACAACAGCAGATACCTCCTCCACCACCAGCAGTACTTTCTCGCAAGTTTGTGGCTCGTCGGATCTCGGAGGGCGAAACAGGCCGTCTTAAAGAAGAGCTCAAGTGTCAAGCTTGTGGTAAGGGTTACAAGCACATTTCTTCTCTAGCCAAGCATCTTTGGGAACACACGCCCGAGTGGAGAATGACCTCTAAGCTACTAATTTCAAAGCATCAACAGGTCCAACTTCTTGAGGCTGCCTCTATTCTTGTTTCCATCAATGAACCTGATGAAGGTGAGTCCGAAAACTGCTCTGTTTCTGCTTCTCCATCTCCAAACTTTCTTAGCTCTCCTAATAATGGCGTCCTGGCTGCTGGTTCAGCCAAGCCCGAAGGTGTTCTCTCCACCCCTTCATCCTCATCCTCATCTTCTCCCTCAGCCATTCCTAATCCCACAATGTCGCCGTCTCTTTACCCACAATACCTTCACAAACCCACATCGCCATCTGCTGCTGCTGCTACTGCCATTTATAACAACAATAGCAATAATTCATCGTCTGTTTCTTCATCTTCTGCTGACAATGGACCAACTCCATCACCTTCACCACAACCTCAAAATTTTCAGCTGAGGCTTCATAATGGCCAAATCTCTTCTCTATCATCGTCTCTAGCAGCCTCTTCCATTTCATCTTCCCCTCGTTCTAAACAAGGTCCTGTACCTACTCGTTCCGCAAACTTGTCTTCACCACCACCTCCGGATCTCATTCTTCCAGGAAGCGCACTTGTGGCGTCTGCAAAAACTACAGACGGCCCAACGGGATCTTATATTACCGATTCGCTTTATCCAATGGTTGACGACAATACCACTCCTCAAACAGCATCCACAAACCCTACCGCCCCAAGTACCGCGATGCACGCGGGCTATACCCAGAAAAAGAAACGCGGGGGATCCATTGCCATTGCACACACAAAAACCGACTCTCCTGCGGCTCTTCACCACGCAACAACAGCAGCTCGCACGCGCAGATATTCTGCCTCAACGGCTGCTCAAGCTTCAGCAGCTGCAGCTGTAGCCGTTGCTGTGCGCAGAGCTACTCAAGGATCCTCTTCGTCATCATCGTCAACAGTTTCTGGAATAGCCTCATCACCTTCAAATTCGGTAAATATTCCAGGCGCTACTACTGCCGTCAACTTGCGTGCTTCTACAGATATGCTTGCAGGACCCACTTCGTCCTCGCTAAGCTACACCCACACTCCACCACCGCCACCTTCCTTTTCGTCATACCTTGGAGTGTTTCGCACAACTCCGACCCCGGCAGCTGTCACTGGTCCACATCCTGCCAATTCTCTCCCATCCTCGTCCCCGCTATCATCATCTTTAGGTGGTGGGCCGTCTTCGGCTTCATCATCACTGTCTTCCTCATACTCGGGCAGAGGCACCGGGCCACGACAACGACGACCATCGGCACTTGATCCACCGTTACGTGTGAGTACGCGGTCGACACTGGATGACGTACGACGACATCACCGACCGGGACAAAACCATTCTGCACATCGACATGGTGCTACAGGAGGATCGTACCGGTCTGGTGGTAGTAACGGCAGCGGCAACAACTCCAGTCACTCGGGGTCTTTTGGTGGGGCCTCTGCAGTGAGCTTTGGCAGTTCTCTTGTGTCTGGCACAAATGGAAATGGTCTTGCTGAGGGGAATAACGGGGCTACAAGGCAGTCCAAATGCGGTTCCAACTCACCACAAAGCGATCCGGACCAAAACGGGCTTGAAGAAGATGATGAGGATTCTCAAGACGAGGACGTCATGACGGAGCGTGCAATTGCAGATGACCAAGGTGTTTTTGGTGACATGGATTGAAGAGATTTTTTTTTCTTTTTTTTTTTAAAAGAGTTTGTTTTTATTTGGGAAATTAAAAAGTGTTTGATACACTTTGGTGTTTGCTCGTTTTATTCCTTTTTATATTTGATTTTGATTTTGATTTTGATTTTGATTTTTTTTTTTAATTCTTATCTTGATTCATGATAGACCAAACTGGATTTTGATTTTGAACAAAAAGAAGAAGAAAAAAGGGTTTTATATTTTATATTTATTTTTTATTTTACTTCATATATTTTTTCATGTACCTTTTTGATATATATTCGATATAGATGTACCATTAAAAACTAGAAAGAAATGAAAAAAAAGAAAGAACAAAAAAGAAAAAGAAGAAGAAAGATAACTATGCTTAGATGCTAAAGCTAAAAAAAAAACAATGAGAAGAAAAACAGTCTAAATGAGTATTGTCATACATAATTTCCCGGACGAGATTATGCCCATCTGCCCAGCATGGACATTAAACCGCATCCCAAACACATGAAGCCAAAAGCCAGCATGACTTTGCTAAGGGAAGCATCTTCAAATTCCTCCGAATGCAAAAATTCGGCACCCATGAGTTCGACGAGTGAAGTATAAATTAAAATTCCTGCCGAGATACTATCAAACACGCCATTGGTGATGAGTGATCGTGCGGAACCTGGAGGGTAAGTATTACGTACTGCCAGGCCGACAGAAATCCCCAGAGGGGTAGTAATTGCAAAGGCAATTGCGAAAACCCAGGGAACCCAAGCATTTCGTTCGCTCCAGGGGGTTTCTGCTAATCGGGAGCCAAGACCCATGCCTTCAAACATTTGATGGAAACAAATGACCACATATAATGTGGCAAAGGACTGGTTTGTGACGGCTAGGGTTAGCCCGACAAATATGGAATGGAATACAATGCCAAACTCAAGAAGACAAATAGTGGCAACTTGAGTGCTGAGTCGGGCCTCAGCATTCACAGTTGCAGTACGTTCCAGTTGCCGCAGACGCTCTGTGTCAGCAAAGGGAAGCTCAGTAGATGGAGGGGAAAGGGAGGAAGCAGAAGGTTGTGGAACAGTAATTATATGCTGTGGTATTTGTTTTTTTTGAGAAATAGAAGTTTGTGGGGATATTTCTTCAAATGCTGTAGTTTCAAGCGGCGTTGGTTGTGATTTTTCTTTAATGGGTGAATCTGGCTGGGAGGATGTAAAAGTTTCTTCGACTTTGATGACGGAGGGGTACTCAAGATCCGGGTGATCATGTGGATGGTGATTGTGATTGTGCTCAGGTTCTTCATTTTCCTTTTTCTTTGACGATGCGAAACCAGATGGGCCATGAGTATGAGGAATATTTTTGCCTCCATTTTTTTTCCTGATTGAGAATCTCGTTATGATTTCAATCCAGAATGTAAAAAAGATTCCCACCAATGCAATACCGATTGAGTAAGGGAACTCATGAAATGCTTTAGGAAGACATGGATCTGATAGCGATGTCATTGCTTCATAAAGCAAGTGCACAAATGATGTTCCGATAATAACACCACTTCCAAAATATTTTGCAAAGAAATAAACCATTGGTGGCATATTAAGTCTACGCACACGAGATGATACAAGTGGGAACATGACGCCAATTAATGAGGCAACAAAGACCACTGGCACTGAGGAAATGCGCAGTCCCAGTTGTCCACCAAACGTACTGGTAGAAGAACACTCGCGACGGCCAATGTATCCGGGTTCAAAGCTCATAGGATCAGGGCCTATCATGATATTTGTAATTTAAAGGAAGGGGTATATTATATAAATATTTATAAATTAAAATCAGATGAGTTTTTAGTGAGCAATGGAGAAATGGTGTGTGGGGGTATGGCAAGAATAGTAGTGTTTTCTAAGGGGGTAAAAGATGAGCTTTTGTATTAAAAAATTAAAAAAAAAAAAACTTAAAGATAGAAGCTTATATATATATATTTAAATAGATAGATACTAATGAGACTTAGGAGAAAAAGAAGTGTTTCTTTATAAAAGTCTGGTATTTCTTAAGCAGCACTAAAAGCATCCACGGGATTTCTCGGGACATTCCAGAGAAGAAGAAGAATAATAAAAAAAAAAAAAGGATACAAACTTTTATTTTTTTTTTATTTATTTATTTATTTATTTATTTATTTATTTATTTATTTATTTATTTATTTACGAGAGAAAGAGAGACAGACACTACTAATTAAGAAGATTTGCTTGTAGAAGAAGGTTTTTCACCTCATACATTTCTCGGCGCAAAAAAAATAAAAGAAAAAAGAAAGAAATATTTTCACAGACACGCGACACCTTTGGGATTACTTTAGGAGTATTTGATTTGGTTGCAATACAGGTAAATACATAATATATATATATATAGAACAAAAGAAGGAAGAGTTTACAAGCCGTAGTTACCCAAGCAAAGGACCTTTTTTTTTTTTTTTTGATCTTAAGAAGAAGAAGGAAGATGTAACACTTAAAGATCTAAGACGTTTCTGAAAAAAAAAAAAAAAAAAAAAAAACAAGATCTTTCGTTAAGACAAGACCTAAAAAAAAAAACAGACATGTAGATGTTTATGAATGTTGTAAATCTCTAATTCATTTTGAAAAAGAAAAGAAAAAAGAAGAAGAAAATAAGTTTTTTTTTTTTTTCTTTTTTCTTTTTATTTTTTATTATTTTGAGTGCAAATTTAAGGCTCAAGTTAAGGTTATTGTTTGAATTACAGCCTTAAATTAATTTACAAAAACTTATGGCAGCCACTTTAATTAAATATAATTTTTTTTTTCATCATTTTCAAAGTCAAGGCAGCCGCAAGATAAAGTGGAATTGTGTCGTTGTGCTTTGCTGTGTGTCATATATCATGTGACATAAGAGGTTAGGTTTAAAGGGTAGTTATGATCTAACTTTGTTTCAAAAAAAAAAAAATTATTATTATTACTATCCCAAACTGCCCATATTTTTGTTTATCAACTTCAAAATCTATACAAAAGAAAAAAATGTCAAGAAATACAACTGAGTCATTTCTCAATAACTTTCTTGCTCTACCGACTATTTTTATTTTTTAACAAAATTGGATTATATCCCGCTACATTAAATGTGAATACCACCAAGTTTACACAAGATATTCTCGCTTTTTTAGTTGAATTTATCAAAAAAAAAAAACAAGAGAAAGACACAATACACTCCAAAACAATCATACAGTATTAGCAAAATACCCATAGGTTTCACAATTAATATTTGTACAGATACATTGAAGTTCATTAGAGTGCTAAACAAATACTTCAAAGTCGAAATGACTATTTGCATCACAACTTTGCTCAACTGAGTATCAAAATAAATCTATAATACCCTTATGGAAACAGATACTGTTATTTGCTCAGGTTTTTTTTTTTTTTTTTTTTTTTTTGAAACTGAGAATAATAAAAGAAAAATTTAACAAACTCTTTTATTTATATTTCAGTAGAAATTGACATTCAGATATTTTTTTTACGGGGCTCTGGTATCCGCAATAATGAATAAAATTTGCAAGCGAAATAAACCAAGAAAAAAAATACCTCCCCTCCTCACCATTGCATTTTCATTGGATTTGCAAGCAAGTTATACTTTACTGATTATAAGTTTGTTAAATGGAGATAAAATGGATTTCGTTGTATCTGAATTTAGAGGTCAAACTTTGAACTTTGAACTTCAAATAACACAAGAGTGAATGGCGGCACTGGAATACTACATTCTGGAAAGTATCCAAAAATCTTAGGACATGACTATAATAACATTGACTGAGGAGGAGGTTTTTTTTTTTTTTTTTTTTTTTTCCCCAGAAAAACAATAGTGTTTTAAATATACTTTAAGTATACCAGGTACGAAAATAAACAAACAAACAATTGTAACTAATATGACCCATGCGGAACTTCTTCAGTTTTTTGGAACATATACTGCCAAGAATAAGGAAACTTTCCAGTCCGCGAAGCAAAGAAAAAAAAAATCCATGGAACCCAATCAAAAAAAGATGACCCGTAAGTTTGTATTTCTTAAGAGGCCTTTGTTTCACGAAATAGTATTTACCACGTTATAACTAATTAGCTACTATGGTGATCACAACATTATCTTTTTAAAATGTGCTGGAAAACAAAAAACAAAAAAACAAAAGGGGGACATGCTTTTATGAATATAGACCATGCAAACCACTTTAAAAAAAAAATATTAAATAAAAAGAAATTGCGAATTCTGTGGATCGAACACAGGACCTTCAGATTTCAAAGACCAAAGTTTTAACTTCAGTCTGACGCTCTCCCAACTGAGCTAAATCCGCTTACTAATCTGTATAATTAAAGAAGGTTTAGGACGTATTTATTTATGGCATGATAAATTTGATAATAACTCATTTAGCTTTCAGATTGATTTAAGGGGAAAGGGCTGGATGGTGTAAAGGGTAACACGTTCGCTCGATAGCGGAAGATACTGGGTTCGATTCCCAGAATACCCCCTTTTCCTGAGGATGTGTACGGGAGTATACACCTAGACTGAAAACCATAGGCTACCCTGGTTACAGGAATGCCGACTCTTCCGTACAGTCTAAATAGCCTGCAGGTGATTGCGGGCCGTATCTCTGACGGAAGAGATTAAGAAATACATGGGCGTCCGTGAAGATAAGTGGAAATGGGTTGGGAAGGTTTTGGGACCGACAGACTGGTTCTCCCTGTTCCTCGTAAGCTGGCATCAGGGCCCATCTTCCGGGCTACCGGAGACGCACAGAACAGAAACCACCAGTACTAAAAAGGTACAAATGAAAACCGGCAAGTCACATAGTCAGACAATAAAAGGATAGCGCAGATGCTGATGTTATATAGTTCTATAACCCTTGAATAAAAACAAACAAACAAACAAACATCAGATTGATTTATCTTTTTTAAATAGTCGCCAAAGTGATTATTAAGAAAGAGAGTTGAAGAATCTTTAGTAAAATTACTCAGTTTTACACAAGCCATGGCAAATATTGGCGCATGATTTGAAAAGTTTGGAATTAAAAAGGATAGTAGTTGCAACTGCAAATATGGAGAGCTGGAAACAGTTAAACACATTTTAGTCGAGTGCTCTTTGCTTGAGGGAGAAAGAAAGGAACCGAAACAGATATCTACAGAGATGGACTTGTCTACTCTCTTAAACATGCCTAGTGACTTGCAAGATATTATAAATTTGAACTGTGCTTCGAAGGATTAATGAATGAAATTTAAGCGTTGATGAAGACAAGCAGAAATAATTTGGGTAGATAGTATATATAGCTCCATTTATCCTAAGCTACTTTTGTAACTCTTAATTTCATACTTCAAAATGTGTATATATCTATTTATCTATGATCATTCTCGTCGCATTTTTGTAAGTATTTTATATACACATTTTGAAATATAAATTTGAATTCTGAATTCTGAATTCTGAATTCTGAATTTTTTTTTATGATTTCTTAAAAAAAAAGTGTAGATTTAATAAAAAAATTCTGAAAAAAAAAGGGCGGAAATTGATTTTGCGATAGATTCAGTCGCTAAAATAAGTACATCACTATAACAGAAATTTCATTCTTTGAAACTCTTTTCCTTCAAAAATCTCTTTAAATATGAGTTTTAATTCTTTTTTAAAACTCTGCATAAAGGAGCTGAAGAAGGGTATTCTAAAACAGTTAAGATTTTAGGTAAGAGAGTTTTAGTCTTAAAAAGAGTAAGGAAGCTTTTAAATAAGCATCGAAACTATTGATAAATTTAGTTTTTTTTTTTTTAAAAGGATGTGAAAAAACAAAAATTTAATGGTTAAATTGGCTAGGAATATTCTAAACACTATGGTGTAGCGATTTAATGTAATATACCCACATATTAAGGGGAAAAATGATATCAAAGTTGGTCATGATAACTAGGATCTTATTATCTGAAGAAAAACTAGCCAAGTTTAAACTGGCAGATAACTAGGACTTTAAATCCTATTGGATTATTTTAAAACCAGTTTTTTTTTTAACCTGGTTAGGAAAAAAAAAGGGTTCTACGATTTTAACGAGGAAAAAACTAAATTGGGTTGATCTTGCATTGGAATAAAATAATAGTGGGGAATAAAAGATTTAAAGAAAAACCTATGGGAATCTAATATATTAAAAAAAAAAAAATTATTTCACGATGATTTGAAATCCTTGAAAATTTAATGGGAATGGAGGATTTAGCAAAATTTTCAAAAGAAAAAAAGAGTGCAGTTGCGGCTATTTCGCTGTTGTTATGCAGACACTCAAACACGTTTTTTTTTTTTTTTAATTTGTTGCTCACTTATCTTTGTTAATGTAGAGAGGAGTTTTAAGCCACATCTGCATCCTCGATGCCATTTTTAATGAGGAAAAAAGTGCTTATAAATTGGATACACAACATTGGTATATTGGGATTTCAAAAAACCCCTAGATTTAATAGAAATTAAAAAAAAAAAAAAGTTTTGACTTCTTCATTCATCTTCGAAGAAAAAAAATTTCAGTAAAAGTTTAGGTTTTATTTTAATTCAAAAGACTGGGGAAATTAATTTGTATGGGAGAACAAAATTTGGACTTCTTAAAATAAATGTGCCGATTACGAGAACATTGAATATTATTGAAAACAATAAACAAATATTTTAACAATCTAGCCTTTGTTTAAAAACTTGGTTTTAATACAATAATACAATTTTTGACAGAATTCCTATTGTCGAACTTCTCACTGTGGGTTCTTTTGTTGTCATGACAAGATACCCATAATTCTTTATATAAAAAATGACTTTGATTATTAAGGTTATAACTCATTTATCAACCTGCAAATAATTTCATAAAGAATCACTTCTTTGACATTAGGCTTGGCCTAAGTAACTTATAGGTAAACTTGAATATATCCACATTAATCAAAGCAGATGGCGATAAACTATGCTAATTTTTGTCAATCAACAATTTTAGAAAAATAAATTAAAAGTAGATATTTAAGCAGAGAATGATTATAAAAGCACTTTCAATCGTACATTAAATTTAGATGAAGAGGTCGAAACTGTAAAATATAGGAATAATATTACGGTATCACTATCGAGTTATCTGATTAAACGGGAATCATACAAAAACAGCTGAATTAAGTATTTCAGCTACATGATATGCATTTCAAATATGCTAAATTCTTAAAACGTAAACAGATTTTCACAATCACTGAATCACTGAATCACTGAACCACTGACTTTCATCTGGAGTTTTTAAAATTTGAGTTAGAATTCATCAAAGAAGGTTTTAAAAACCAGAAAAGCACACACACACACACACACACTAGTTCAGCAACAACTATAATGGGTATCTCAAAATCAATAGAAACAACGGAGTTTAATTGAACTAAATTAAAGAATAACTCAGAAATAAAACTCGAATATGAGAATTAGGTGATTTTTAAAATTTCATACTTTTGGCATAGCTGCATGACATTCCGAGTTTTCAAACAATACTAATAGTGATTATACTCACATACGTATGCAACAGTCACTTCATATGAACACTTGGTTCCTTTATTCTTTCAAAAAAAAAAAAAAGTCGGTATACTAATAGATTGACAAGGTGGCAAAGTCAAAACATAGATATCAATAAAAACAAGTGTTTTTCCTCTATCTTTGTCATAAAATAATTATTTTATAAGACAACATACTTATAATCATTTAACAAACCAACAGTCATTAAGTTAGCCAAGTATTACATTACACTCAACAACATGGTCAAATCCATTCAGCTTAAAAATAAAACTTTTGAAATCTTTTAGAATCTTCTGAAATCTTCCTATACAGCTGATAATCATACCTTATCATTCTAATAAATTGACAACAAAAAAATTATGGTATCAACATGACCGTAAATGTCAGATTTAAAAACAAAAAGTCAAGGTCCAAAAGTAAGGGTTTCTTTTAAAAAAAATATTAAGGAGACTAGAAATATGAATTGCATTTAAGTCACCAATGTATCGGCAAGAGAAAACAGTAGGGTATTGTTGGTATTTAACATAATAGTGAAGGATATACGACAAACCCAGATATCATAACATGACAGTATGCCAATTTAAAGCACATCAAACAGGTGAATTAGTGATAATCATAGTACCAGAAAATTTGAGATAATAACCTATTATAGCATGTCCAATCAAATACTGCTTAGTATTTGTACAAAAGTTAGTTTTGAAGTGAGCCAGTAGTCGCCATCGAAACATATCAACTTGAACATCCAGAAAAAAAAGTAAAGCAAAATGTCTGAATCTAATGCGTAAAGTCCACTATCGTGTTATTTTAAAGTTCATTTCTATGGTCGTTATCAAACATCTATTGAAGGATTGACATGGCCCAAAGCATTTTTTCCAGTATGAATCTTAACCACCATAGTTCTCAAAATCAAATCAAAAATATTAGTATAAGTTGGAAAAGATTGTACCTATTATCAAAACGAGTATGGACTTAAGGTTAATTAAACCACAAATATCAACTAGGAGAGATATGAGTATGGGCCAGTGTAAGATAACCACCAGATAAATATTGATTTAAGTAAATTAGGATTATCTATCGTTTTGCTATAGTCAAGATTTTAACTTTAATATATCAGGATCATCAGGAAATAGCTAATAGTAAGCCTCTGACATCGTTTCAAAATATATTTGTAAACTGTAAGTCAGGTAGGCTTCAGATTATCCTCAAATATCAACATGTTTGGTATTTGTGTTTTATAAATCAAGAAATATTCAATTTATATTTAAATTAAAAAAAAAAGCAAAAAAGCAAAAAAGCAAAAAAGCAAAAAAGCAAAAAATTAAAAAATTTAAAAGAAATTGAATTTAAAAGAAGAGAAAAAATTTTTTTTTTTCAAATTTGCAAGTTTTTTTTGACAAGTTAAACGACGAAATCCTTTTGAAAACCGTTGAGATCCCCAATTAATAGTGATTTCTGGTGGGTTTATGGAATCGCAGAAGGTAGCGCACGGCTCAACTGGTTGTTCGTTACCCTACCTCAATGAAAACAAAAAGCTGCAACAACCCAAATCAGAATATGCCCGTTTTTTTAATGAAAATTTCGATCGACAGTAGGAAAAAAGTTTGCCCCTATGTATGAGTTTAAAAAAATATATTTATTCAAGTGAATATTTACAATACGAAGAAATTTACATTAAAACAATAATAGTATCTTTATAATAGTATTCCCAAACCAGAGTCCTTAAATCTATGCCGACGCAGCAGGCGCAGGAGACGATCCGTCATCGTCGTGCTTTTGTGGTGTCTGCGACAAGTACTTGTCAAAGGCGTCGTTGCGCTCTGGGAAAGGTCTAGGTCCGAGAAGACGAATCATGTCCTCACGGGAAATAACCTCCTTCTTGAGGAGCTCCTCCGCCACAATTTCAACCTCCTTCTTCTTCTCAGTGAGAAGCTTGTGGCACCGCTCATGGGCTTCATTGACAATGCGTCTAATTTCGCTGTCAATCAGCTCACCAGTGTGCTCACTGTAGGGCTTGGTAATGGACTCTTGATTTTGCTCGTAGTAAACTTGTCCGACCTTGTCGGACATACCAAGCTGTGTGACCATGGCCTTAGCCATCTGAGTCACCTTCTTAAAATCATCACTGCCACCGAGAGTGACACTGGGAAAGTTAATCTCCTCGGAAACACGGCCACCAAGAGACATGGTCATCTTGTCCCTGAACTGCTCCTCAGAAATGAGATATTGATCAGGAGGAAGGTATTGTGCATAACCCAAGGCAGCAGAGCCACGGGGTATAATAGAAACCTTAACAAGAGGATCGGCGTACTTGAGGTACCAACCGCAGATAGCGTGACCGGCCTCGTGGTAAGCAACGATCTTCTTCTTTTCAGGAACAAGAACGCGCGATTTCTTTTCCAAACCAGCAATGACACGCTCAATGGCTTGCTCAAAATGTTTCAGTTCAACAATAGGAGCTTCTTGGCGAGCAGCAATGAGAGCAGCTTCATTAACAACGTTGGCAATATCGGCACCAGAAAATCCAGGAGTCATGGCAGCAAGCTTACCTGCAAGCTCAGGAATTTCAGTGTTGTAGAGAATCTTCTTCAAGTGAACCTTGTAGATGGAGATACGGCCTTCAATGTCGGGTCTGTCAATGGTAATGTGACGATCAAAACGGCCAGGACGCAAAAGAGCAGGGTCGAGGACATCGGCACGATTAGTACCAGCAAGAACAACAACGTGATCGGAGCTCTCAAAACCATCCATCTCAACAAGAAGCTGATTTAAAGTAGCTTCACGCTCATCGTGACCACCAGAAACAAAGCTCTTGTTACGTGCCTTACCAATGGCATCAATTTCGTCAATGAAAATGATACTGGGGGCCTTAGCACGAGCAGCCTTGAACAAGTCGCGGACACGGGAAGCACCAACACCAGCAAACATTTCAATAAACTCAGAACCAGAAACAGAGAAGAAGGGGACACCAGCTTCACCAGCAGTGGCCTTGGCAAGCAAAGTCTTACCGGTACCAGGGGGACCAGAAAGAATGGCACCACGGGGAATCTTAGCACCGAGTTCCTCGTATTTGGCAGGCTCCTTAAGGAACTTGACAAACTCCATAATTTCTTCCTTAGCCTCTTCCATTCCAGCAACATCAGCGAACTTGACGTTAACATCGGTAGCCTTGTTGTAGAGCTTAGCACGGCTTTGGCCCATGCCAAAAATACCGCCACCAAGACCACCACCACCAGAACCACCGCTGGGACGTCTAGTCATCCAGAAGAGAGCACCGAGAAGAAGCAAAGTAGGAAGGAAACCAAAGAGAGCACCGAGGAAAGAGCCTTGTTCAATGTAAGAGATTGGAATACGCTCATTTGCAGGGACATTGGTCTGAGCCTCGTCCATGCGCTTCTCAAACGTGTCGACAGAACCAATTGTGAAGAAGACAGTGGAGCCAAAAGAGGTGGTAACATAAACGGTAGACTTGTTGACGACAGTCAGCTTGCGGACAGATCCCTTATCAAGGTATTCATTCTTAAACTCCTGCCAACTGATCTCGCTATTGCTCATGCCGCCCTGGCTCATGAGGGTGAAGAAGAAAGAGGTGAGAATGAAGAAAATAAGCATGTGCATAGGGGTGATTTTGATTTCAAAGACACGGAAGTTTTGCGAGTTAAAATCAAAGCCCGGGGGCATAGGCTTCCCATTCTTTTGTTTAGAGTCTTTATCCTTGTCGTTATTTTTGTCAGCGTCATCGTCTTTTTTCGAGGATTCCTTATTATTCTTGTCGTTACTACTGCTACTGCTGGACTTCTGGGTATCTGTTTCAGAAGGTTTTTCGGCACGGTACCACTCGGGTTGCTTGCCCAGGTGATCTGCATCTTTTTCGCCTTCGCTGTCGCTCTTCAATTGCTCGTCACTACTTTTCGACTCACTGTTGTTGCCAGTTACATTTATCCACTTGGCCCGGTTAAGTTTATCCCGTGTGCTGTCGCTAATATTGGGCAACCCGTTCTTGCCTGCAGAAAGACGCCGGCGCATACGAGCCAAACGCCGCTTACGGCTGGACAAATCGTCGTCGTTTTCGTTTGTATTGGAGGAATTGTTATTATTATTGTTGTTGTTATCGTTAGGTGCCTCCCGGCATGCTGCAGAAACAGAAAAAGACCGGAGCAGCAAAAGATTGCTGTTGATAATGCGCGGAGAAACAGGTCGTTGCAGAGCAAGTAGTGTAAAGCGGGCTCCGCGGATGGCACAGGTGGAAGAGGAAGCTGGGGAGGAGCATGTCCTCGGGGCCGCGGCAATGGCGCGACCCAGCAACACAGCTGTGGTGGCCATTGTATAAGGTTTATGAATATGAAGATTTAGTATTAAATGTATATAAGGGTTGTGGAGATTGAGGATTGATGGTATATGATGATGATGAAGGTGATGTGTTAGGAAGGAGGAGAAATAAGAGAAAGAAAAAAGAGGCAAATAAAAAATTGGCGGGATGAGAAAATTAACTGGCCCGACCTGTGGTGCTGGCGGGGGGTTTTATTAGTGGTTATTAATGGTGGTAGTGAACATTTTTTTTTTTCGCGCTTTCTCACGTAAGGCCTTTGCGGTGGAGAAAACGGGCCCAGCAACCAAATCCCGTCTAAGTAGAAAGCTTACCAGGTAACTGATATATTCGGGTCCTTACCAAAAATAAATAAGGGCAAGTATCTATATGGTACTCCAATATCCAATATATTCAACTCTTACAAATACCCGCAAACATCCGGTCTTCATCATCAACCTGGATATCTTATCGTTATCGTCGCCCCCGCAAAGGTCCATCAGCTTTTGCACCTGCTCCACTTGCTGCGGCATTTGGGCCATGAGGACCACGTCCAAGTCGACCCCCTGTACGACTCGAAAAGTCTGTGTAACTGTAAATGTCGGTGAAATCTCCATCGTGCGCGAGATCCATCTCCGTGGCGTAATAGTGCCGCTGAACAAGTCGCCGGTATGTCCGAACTTCGCGAGTCTTTTGTTCCCATTCTGGAGAATCCTTGTCGAGATATTTTTCCGGGTCCCAGTAGTCAAGCTTGTCAAATCCTCGAATCGGGCCCAGCTGTCTAAACGATAATGAAGATAGCTCTGAGTCTTCAGAGACCGTCTTGCTCATTTTATTTGAATCTCTCTTTGAATCCTTTTCTTCTTCATCATCGGTACTCTCCTTCTTTTTATCATCATCTGCTTTTTCAGTCTCCTTCAACTTGCGCAAACTTTCATTCAAATCCTGGTACCCTTGGCTTTCCTCTGCCGTCGGTTCTGCAGAATGCACTGGCCAGTGTTTCGGATCCAGATAAGAAGAATTGACCTGCACCGTGTACAGAAATGTGCGTCCACACTTTGTCAGCACGCGACCCATAATCTCACTGCTCAGTTTCGCATCTGCTCTTTCTGATCCCTCCTTTTCTTCACCTTTCATCCCGAACTCTTCGGCATACCCGGGACACAAGTCAACCATGATTGCCTCAGGTGGTGGCACGAGCCGCATTGCTGGTGGAGGCCCGCCAACCGCCAGAAACTCCACCATCTGTGGCTCTGTTGCGGTACGAAAATGTGCCATGCGTCTTCTGAAATCCCTCCGCATATCGCGCTCATGCTGCTCCAAATATTTCCTTTGTAATGGAACCACTGTTGCAGTGGACGAAGAATTACCATTTCCCCCGATTCCTCGCCCCCCTCGAGAATTTCTTCGTCCAGGTAGCCACCCCCATCGGCCCCCTCCTTGTTCGCTTGTATTGCTGCTGCTGCTCGTACTACTGCTGCTGCTAATGCTTGTGCTATTACTTCCACCTTTACCACTTTTAGTACTCAGTGAATCGTCCCCCTCATCACCAATAAGTATCTCAAACTTAATCTCCTCACCCAAGTATACAAATTCCGCACATGCCTTACGGTCCTCTTCAAACAGATCGGCTGTCAATGAGACATCTGATAATGTATCCGATCCATTCCCACCAGATGCAAAGCTTGCCTGAATGCCGGAAAGTGGGCTGCTCATGCTATTGCGGGCGTCCGCAAAACTCGCATTGTTGGTCATCGTCGGGTTGTTGTTGTTATTATTATTTGTGCGACTTGATTGCCGGCCAAGCGTTTGCGGTCCGCTACTCAAACCTGCACGCCCGCTTTGAGGAGACCCTGTAGTTTGCGAGTCGCTTGTGTTAGAAGAAAAAAGTCGTTTAAAGATGTTCATGTTTGCAAAGACCTAATTTGCGTGCGTATATATACTAGATATTGATAGCCGGTTTGATGGGTAGATGTGTATGTGTGCAATGAAAAGACGCAACAAGTATTATGATGTATAATGCAAGAACAAGAACGAGAAAACAACAAAAAAAAAACAGAGGATAAAAATGGAGCTCAAAGGATAATCTCCTTATACTAAGCCTTTCATGGGTAAAAATGATTATAAAACAAAATGAAATGTCAAAAAATGTGGCGAGCCAAAGAGAGAAATAAAGAAATAAAGAAAAGAAGGAAGAGGACTCGTATAAGAACTTGATAGTTAATTGCGGTGAAAAAGTCTGTGGCAACCAAATTTGCAATAAATGTTAAAATGGATTTATGTTTTAAGTTCTAAGTTTTAAAACCAGTTAGTAACTTTTTTTTTATTTATAAGTTTTTTTTTATTCATAATCATCTAAAGTCATTAAATTCTTTATACACAAATATTATACAGATTTACATTATAGTTATTTTATTTTCCACTCGTTGTCGTCGTAGTCGTTGTTGTTGTTGTTGTTGTTGTTCCGTTTGTAGCACCACTAACAGAATCCGGGGTATTGGCCTGGTTCGGAGTAAACTCACTTGTCGACGACGTTGACCACCCATTAGGGCCCATGTCAACATCAACATTGCCATCTTGAGAATATGGGGTGCCAGAATTATCGCCTCCAGGTACTATTCCAAAAGTGTTGGTATTTAAGCCAAATACTGAGTTATAGACTGAGTCGAGATTTGCCCACGTCGCAGGACCCATGAAAATACTATTGTAAAAATCAGAATCCAAGTCATAGTCTAGCATATCAACGCCCGCCGTTGTTCCTGGGTTTGACGAAGAAGCAGCCCCAGTAGTCGAAGCAGAGGCTGAGCCTGTTCCTAGTGTGTTGATTGGAGATGAATTTGACGATACAGATGTTGAAGAAAAAGATATACCAGGTGCCTGAGAATGATGATTAAACTGCGAACTCTGCATTTGTTGTGGTGGGGGATGATTATACCCTACTGGAGAAAACTGTGTGCTGTTAGCAGCGTTCTGTTGAAGAGGGAACGGATTCTGGCCGTTAGCAAACCCAGACAAAAACTGAGTTTGCTGTAGATTGTACAAGCCATTGTGCATCGCAACCCCGCCATTAGAACCAGGCGAAGAAAGCGATGACGGTGGTGAATGACTCATGGGATTCACCAAGTGCTCATCTCTATGGAGCGTTTGTTGTTGGTGTTGTGGATACGACAGCAATGTGGATTCAATTCCTGTCGCACCATTGTTGGTCTGCTGCGGCAGCGGCAGCGGCTGTGGCTGTGGCTGTAGTTGTTGCTGTGGCTGTTGCTGTGGCTGTTGCTGTTGCTGCTGGAGCTGTTGCTGTTGCTGTTGCAGATATGAGTGCTGATTATGTTGCGGACTGGAAAAAGATGACGACGCAACATGTCCAGGGAAATGGGAATCGCTTGGTACATGTACACACGATGTAAGCTCTGCCGAAAGATGAGCCTCAGATAAAGTCACAGGAATTCCTGTCGTTGAATTCTTCTCTCTATTGTCCCGATGGGTCTTGTCTTGTCGGGACCTATCTTTCAGCGGACTCTCAGAAGAAGCGCCTTCTTGCTGTTGAACATTCTTCTTATTCGATGCCGGCGTAGCACTATTCTTGTTTGTTGGATCGCGCGGTTGCTTGTGCTCAATATAAGTGCCCAGACAGTCAACCAGCAAATTTAAAAGAAAATGAGCCCGTGTTTGGTGCATGAAATCCTTGCTGCGATCAAATAACCGGTCATACACCTCAATCATATTGCGCATGTAGACTAAATCGGTGAACACCTCCTTGCGTGAATGTGTGAAAATGCCATTAACAAAAAGTGTCACGAACGCATTGAACCCGAAAAACGAGCACCGCCAGAGAGGCACATAGGTCCAAGGATGCAACGCAAGAATGCACTTGATGGTATTGCGTGCCGACTCAATGCAAATGTCGGGCGATCCCAATAGTCGCGGATACTCTTGTGCAATATTGCGCGTGATGAGACGGACTCCATTTTTTATTTTCGAGACGTAGGGTTTTCCCAACTTGTAGTCCTCGCGCACTTCACGCAAAAGGTGATCAACTGTTTCTGCATCGAAATGTTCGAGCCCCTTTTCGGTCTTGTTGTCGCCCACGCGTGCAACTCTGTAGATCCAACTTGGATGACTGGCAACGTGTCGGTGTAATCCAGAAAGAATAAAATAATAGGTGGTTTGCATATAATAGACAAGATGCTTGAGGATCCAGAGTGAAGTATCAACTTCAAAGCTCATGTTTAGCAGACTGGCAATGGTAGGCGATCCTGGTTGAACAGACACTGGCAAGCTTTCTTTCCACTTGATTAGTTCTTTATCAAAGGCTACCACTTTTGTAAGGCGATCTTTAATACTAAGAGATTTTGACTTTGGAGAGTTGAGCTCCACATAAATATGGTCCCAAATCTGGTAAAGTTCGACTGCAGCTGTGATAAAACTAAAGTTTTTAAGTTCTTCATCAATTTCAGGAGTTTTAATAGAAATAGGAACGTAACATACTGGAGCAGAAATATCTTGCTCGAAAATATGTGATGGTCTGCCAAGTTTAAGGCAAACATCCTTTTCCAAACAGTAAAGAGTCCACCACAGTGTCAAACATGATTTTGCTTCGTCAGCTGGTAAATTTTCATATGACTCTTTGCGATGAAGACCTAGGTCTTGCGCAAGGCGTACCATTATTGAGGATATGGGAATTGCAGGCATAAAGTTGAGGCAGCAAGTGAAAAGAAAAAGCAAAATAGTCCCACCTTTTATTCCACTTAGCGAGTTTCCAACAAAAGAAAGGCGTTCAAGATGAAATAGTGCGCATGAAAGATAGTCACTTGAAGTCTTATATGTGACTCTATTAGTGTCAAAGTCCTTGGGGATAAACCCCTGAGAAATTGCTGCCAAAAAGGGAGAATCAGTAGGATGATCGTCGGGTGACTTGTTAGTATACCTCGAGCTGGGTATAGCAATGAGAGTCAAAAGACCAAGACTGGTGGCGGCAGCTATACACAGTTTTTCAGCATAACCATTGAAGCCTGTTAAAGTTTCTCCAGGCATGAGGTTGTCTATTGATGCCGAGACACCATATGGAGTATAATCTTCGTTGCTAGTGCTGTTATTACTGCTACTGCTGTTGCTGTCACCACTACTTCGACGAGTGGCACTGCCTCTGTATCGGAAAGCGGTTGGAAGTTTGAACTCCCGCAAGTACACAGAATATCGTTTTTTAAACTCTGCAGTGACGTCACCATCAGGAAGATGACAACCAAACTCGGCAAAGATGATTCGGTCGAGCTCCTCAAAGGAAAAAATACTTGCAACGGGGAAACTGCGAAGAAACCCATAAATTCCAAGAAAAACCATATCTTTGTCAAATTGAAGTGGGTTTTCAGTCTGGCGTAAAAACTGTATCATGCCTTCGCGAATACCTGTTTGAGCCTGCTTGTAAGCTACATTAAGCTTAGCCATCAATGTAGGATCGTTCATCTGATGAGATATCCAGTGGAACCCATTGGGGGAACAAAAAAACATAGGCGCTGACTCGACAAAAAGCTGGGTATAGCTATTTTGGACGGTGATGGCCATAACATCGTTTTTTTTGGCTTTGATGGAATGGTGAGCCATATCACGCTTAGTGAAATGAAGAACAACGGGCTGGTAGGGTATTTCTTCTTCCTTGGAGTTCTCCCACATGGCAGTGTTTGTTTCTTTACGCGTACTAAAGACTGGTGCTTTAGAGGAGCTTTTAGGGTTGAGACAGGAAAGAGTTGGGGCACCCACAATAATTTCCTGGGAACCCTTTTTAGGTTTGGAGATTTTCAGTGGTTTGGAAGCATCTTTATGAAGATCTGCTTCGTCGTTATCGGTATCCTTCTCATCATCATCATCCTCATCCTCTTCGTCCTCATCTTCGTCTTCTTCGTCCTCCTCATGATCTGGATCGTCGTCATTATCGTCTTCATCCTCTTCTTCATCATTGTTTTCCTCCTCTTCGCTTTGATTTTTGTGGAGTTGAATTTGTTGCCTTTGTTGTTGTTGCTTTTGGTCTCCACTAGAATATGTAGATTTCCATTTTTTCGAAGAAGCCGAGGTTTTTTTCTTGATTATTGATGATGATAAAGATGACGAAGGTGAGGACAAAACTCGGCCAACTGATTTGCCATTTTTGTCATTACCTGCATCACTCCCACCACTATTATTATTACTATTGTTACTGCTACTCCCAACTCGAATCGCCGAGGATGTTAAAGACATAAGCTGTGGCAGGTTTTGCTCAATAAGCGGTGTCACAATCTCGAGCATCGCTTCGATTCGTTGAAGTCGTGTTTCAAGAGCAGAAGACGGACTGGGACGGCTGAAAAAAAAAAGAAAAGAAAGCTGACGTTAGAGGCTGCTACTACTACAAAGGGTGATGCTTTTGGTGATAAAGGAAAACAAAATCCACAACAACAGATATGAGCAGTGTGATGTGAGAATTTCGCAATAACTACTTACACTTTTTTAATTTTGGGCTTGGGCTCTGGTTCGGTGTACAGACAATGGTACGCGTTGGTTGTGCAGTGAGTACATGGCGTTTTTCCATCACACTTGGTTTTTTTCTTGCGGCACGAATCGCATGCTCGCGAAACACGCTGGCGTTTAGGTTTGTGCAACGGTATGTCCTGTTGTTGGTGCTGCTGTTGCTGCTGTAGTTGCTGTAGCTGTTGTAGCTGTAGTTGTGAACTGTGGTCGGACATATTGTGGTAGTCTTGGTTTTGTGAGTGATTGATCGGCGGGTCAAACTGAGCGTTGTTGTGGTTAAAATATGGTGTAATGTTTGCGAGGTCAGGATGGTAGAAGGAAGAAGATGATGAAGTATTAAGTTGGTGCTGATGGGACTGCTCCAACGGCAGAAGTGGAAATAGATGAGACTGTGAGTTCCCTGGGATTGCCTGAAAGGGCTGATCCTGAGGATGGTTAGGGATCATTAGAAGATGTTCATAGGCTGGGTTATAATTATGGAGATAAAAAAAAACGGGGATGGGGATAGAGATGAATGGAGATATATTTATTAGTTTTAATGGATATAGGTATCTAACATCTAATGAATATCGAATATAACAGGATGACAATTCAAAAATAAATTAAAAACTAAAATAAAATAAAATAAAATAAATAAAAGAAAGTAGATGTATATAAAGGAAATCCCATCTTTATATATATAATCTTATAAATCTCCACTCCGGACTTGTTTTGTTTTTGTTTGATTTTTTTTAAAAAAGGAAATTAATTAATGACTTCAGATTACTTACTTATAGTATTAGTCCATATATTTTTAATATTATTATAATATTTAAAAATCAAAAAAAAAAAAAAAAAAAAAAATAACGTCAACTTTAACCAATATGAAATGAAGTGTTTTTTTTTGTTCCCTGATCCTTACTTAAAGTTATTTCTGATCAGAAACAAAACAAAAAAAGGGGGGGAGATTCAATTTTTTTTTGTTTTTTTAAAAAAAAAAAAAAAGAAGCCGACCGTTATACTGGGCTCTGTTTTTTTTTTTTTTTTTTATCCCAGAAGGTGTCAAGAAAAAAAGAAGTTTGGGTTCTGTGGAAGGCAGCAATAATGTTTAAACGGCCGTTAGTATTGTTACTAAGTAGACATTGGCTTAAAGCCACTCAGCAGCCAGCCAGCCTTTAATTATATATATATATAATATATCGGGTGGCTTTACATAGAAATAAAAAAAAAAAAAAAAAACCCCCTTCGGCTCCCATATGATCCCGCCACCCGCCAAGCTTGCAATTTCTCTTAACCTAGTTTAGTCATACCCCACAGTTATCTTATGTAACATTAACATGGCTAAATATGAATGTTTTCTGGCCAGTCCTTCCGAAGAAACAGAATTACATCATTTAACCAAATGTAATTACATAATAAATTTTAAAGTCTTCCCCGCTACCGCACAAAACCTCTCCAATCGGAGTCCGGTTAAGTTCCCACTTTATTCCTAATCAGGCAATTGTTTCTCTTTTTTTTTTTTAATAGATCGTCTCGGATGTTGATGAAAAGTAGATAATAATAAGCATAAGATCTTTTGCATTCAATTTTAAACGTTAGGCTATAGTGATTTGTTTGTTATTGTTTTCGGTCTCTTCGAAATTTCTCTCTTCTCGGATATGCATTGCAAAGGATCAACTATTGTTATAATGTTGGCCGATCCGTTCGTTATCAATCAGTTAAGCTCATGTGAATATTTTTACATCTAAACGATAATCTCTTTTTTTTTATGACAATGATTAAATTAATCCCGACAACTATTAAAATTCAAAAACTAAGAACTTGATCTCACAATCTGGGTTTTTTTTTTTTTTTTTTTTTTTTTTCATCTTTATTGTTTTGGGAAAACACACAGCCACCTCCATATTTCTTCTTCATCACTTGCATTTGATCCATTTGTGTCCAATCATAGCCAATAAAAAAAATTAAATCTAACTCAGGGTTTTTGTAACTTTTCTTTACATCATAAAAAAAAAGGTACTTGGATGGTATTTATTAAATTTTCTTAATAATCTCTCCATATTTCTTTTTATGAAAATCAGTCGAGAATCTCGGTCGTAATTACTTGTAGTTCTCGAGAAGGTAGCCAAACCTATGTCTAGCAAATAATATTTTTTTTTAGACGACTCCAACGGTGAGAGTGTAGTTTTCAAAGGAATTGAGGCTTAGCCTGAATTCTCTAAAAATGACAATAACAACAGAAAAACTATTAAATATTTTACTTTTGGTATATTTTAATCAAGCATTGCATCTAACAGCGAAGTGATGGAACTCTATCCCGCACTTTACCATCACATAAACTTTGGATTTTGAAGTTTGGCATTGTAAATTTTTCCCCCTCCTCTTTGTCTTAGATAGACAATAAAATCAGTGTGGAAAACGTTAACGAGGGGTGAAATTAGTGCCGTGCGGTGTGATTTGGTGCGGAGAATTTTGGAAGTAAACAATTGTCTTAAAATGTCTAAGCAAGATATGTTTTTTTTTGTCCTGAACGACAAATACAACATGAATCCAAAAAGAAAATTAAAGAAAGATGTCAATTTGGATATTCAAATTGGATTGGATATATACCATGGTATTCTTCATTGATTTAATATAGTAAAATTAAGAGTTTCCACTTCAGACTATTGGAATGTACGAAATCTATGATTTTCTTTCTGAGTCAGAAGGTATCATTATCGTAACTGTCATTATAATAATTACCACCGTCATATGCTTATTTTTAACTCTGTTCAATTAAAATTAAAATCAAAATCAGGCCTTTTCTTTTTTTTTTTTTTTTTCAATGTTACATTTCTGATCTTTTTAATCTCCTGTGCCTTAACTCCACAAAAAAAATTTTTAAAAAAAAATAAAAAATAAAGGCCTGACTCAAATAGAATTCAAACATAGCTCAATTGTAACAATGGATGATCATGGTTTTTTGTGTGATCCAGAGATAATAGTCTTTGCCCTTTTAACTTTTTTTTTTTCAATTCATCCATTGGTATATTTTTTTTTCTTCCCGCAATTACCATAGTTTGTTCGCTTTTATAAGATTATCATTTAAATGATAATTAACTATAAATTTATAGTTAATGTTAATCATAACTAAGCTTGCGATGATCGCCTACTTTTTCACATAAAATATCTTTATCGTCTAATTAAATCTTAACAAGATTACTTTAAATGTGACATGAAGTAAACATTAAATCTTATCTCGAGTCCATCGACAAGACCAACCAAAAAAGGAAAAAAAAAAATTTTTAAATTTAAATCAAGTATATCGTATATGCTTACATTTATGGTTTGTATCTTTTATATTCAATTACTGCTTAACTTCCTAAATCAAGCATTCTTTAACTCAAAAATACATTAATCTTTTATTGGCTTTTTCTTTAAAATCATTGTATTATGGGAAGCAAATTTCTATTTAAAAAAACAAAAAAAAAAAGAATTAACGGATATTTTAATACTCAAATCTCCATCACCCGAAACTGTAATTTAAATAGTGTTGGGTCAGATATATTGTCTCATATATATATATAGTCGAAAATAAATGTTTAATATCATAGCTGTCAAATTTTATACCTAGGTATATTTGGAGGTCGCTATTTTTTGTTCATCATACTTCATTTATGGCTCATTTTTGTTTAAATTACCGAGATATCTTATTTTTTGTATTTGTATCTCTCTCTCTCTCTCTTTTTCCCTTCCTTTTGGAAAAGTAACTGTTATGATATGTGTATTGCTATACAAAACAGTGTTCGGTTAAAGTTGTATATACTCCTTTATTTAAGCATACATTTTTTTGTTCCTTTCTCTAGCTTGTACGTTAATGTTTATACTAAAGTTTAACTTATTCATCTGTTTAAATAAAAAAGCTTTGCTATCTTTATTATAACTATCCAGATTCAAAAATGAGTGGTTTTTTTTTCATTCATCTGATAAAACAAAATGCCCCATCTAAGAAAGAGAAATAAATCACAAAATATCATTCTAGTCTAATCTTTAAAACATAAAATAAATTCCTCGGTTTTTTGTAAGTTATTGTCTTTTCCTAAATTGAGAGTATACATTTGTATTAATTCACTCATAATTAGTCCCTAATCAATATATTAACTCAAAATTAACTTTATTATTTTTTTTTTCAATTTACACGATAAACAAATGACTACCCACATTTTTCACATAATAGAATAAATATTGAAAAACATTTTATTCAATGGCCTGTTTTTTGATTGGCTTTGTTTTTTTTTTTTAATCTACTCATTTCCATGATGTTATTCAGTGGAAATGTAACGACCTGGATGGATGCGGGGCAATTGTTTCTCCATTATGTTTCAAAAAAACGTCAGATCAAAAAGTAAAAATATAAATTTAAAAAATAACTTGTTCAAAAATATTTGAACGCTTCATCAATTTAAGAGTTGATATTAAAAAAAAGAAGTAAAAATAAAAAAAAACATACATCCATGCCTATCTATACTTATTAAAAATCGGAATGTATTAGGTCCAAAAAAAAAAAAAAAAAACTTCTCTATCAAAATGATTTCTCCTTTATTTTCCTCATTTCACATGTTCATCTTCTTGTACTGTCAGCGCTGTGAATATCAGGCACCGTAGTTGCAGAAACAGCTGTATTAACAGACGACGAAGGTCCATTCACAGTTTCAGTGTTTGAAAACTCAGGGAACAATCCCCCAAATGCATCAAAGTCTCCAAACCCCATTCCGAAGCTGGTGCGCCCAAAGCTTCCCCTTTTCTCACCAGCACCATCGTATCCGCTTCCACTTCCTCCCCCTCCTCCTCCTCCTCCTCCTCCTCCAGCATGCCTATCAGTTCCTTGCGACTCGCCAGTCATAGAACCAGTTCCAGTCCCACTAGGCGCACCCTCTGTTGATACAGGTATTGGGAGTATGCCGAACATGGAATTGTACATTGAATCCACATTGGCCCACGAGCCAGACCCCATAAAGTGGACACCCCCAAACGGATCCCCACTTTTTGTATCTGCAGTCATTGTTGTAAACGGGTCCATAAGCGGGATTCCAGGATACTCTGTTGTGGGCTGTGACGGAAGAGCCTGTTGTTGGTTTTGCTGTGAATGAGAACCAGAAACAGAGTGTGGAATCGAAGACGTAGGGATATTAGTGTTAGTAGCGGCCGTCGTATATCCGGGTCTTTGAGCATCAGAGTATCCAGTAGGGGCCGCAGAAAACTCTGTGAGCGGAGTTGTTCCAGAAAGTGGAGATAATACATGTAACCCAGATGACGAGTATGCTGGCGATGCATCAGGACCTGTCGAAACCTGTGGGCTTAAAAACTGAGGGCTATTAGGCTGTAAATTTTTTCCAGTTGCCAAAATAGGAGAAGGTCCATGTATAGGAGTATTTGAAGGCAATTGCTGTTGCTGTTGCTGTTGCTGTTGTTTTTGAAGTGGCAATGGTGGAGATAAAGATAATGGATGTGTGTTATCCTCAGAACTATTCTGCGCAGCCATGTACTCACCAGTCAAATGAGTAAACCGTTTATTAAGACCTTGGCTTGGCTTTGACTTCTGTTGACTATGTGTCCTCAGTAATGGAGCTGGAGCTGGTTCTGGAGATACTCGTCTATTCGTGCTGTTGTTTAGCCATTCGCTCGTCTTTTCCTGGCTCACTTTGCGCAAATCCTCAGAAGTTATAATTTCTGGCATATCTGGGTCTTTGAGATTTAATTCACGACGTTTCCGCTCAACGTGAGCCGTGATTCCATCCACCATCGTGCGCAGCATGCGATCCGGATGGTAAATAAACATGAACCCGCGCGTTTCTTCAAAAAGTCTCTCCAACACATCAATCAGATTGCGCATGTAAAAAATGTTGGAAACAGCCTCATCGCTCGAATAAAGGAAAGAGCTCGATACGAAAAGACCAAGAAAAGCGTTAAAGCCAAAATATGAAATGCGCCAAATGTAAGGAATGGTCCACGGGTGAAGGCGCATGATACTCACAATGGTTTTCCGCGAGTATTCGGCTACTAAGTATGGTGATCCTAAAAGTCGCGGATTCTCCTTAGCAACTCGGCGCACTGATAACTTGATGCCATTTTTGGTGCGTGCCTTATAAACTGTGCCCATTTTGTAACCGTTGCGCATTTCTGCCAAAAGTGAGGCCACTGTTTCGGTGTCAAATTGCTCAAGATCTTTTTCCGAATCAGTGTGTGACGAAAGTGCAGGAGACGCATTATCAGAAGCTCCATTAGACTTTTCTTCTTCAGAATTGGAAACTCGAGTCACACGGAAAATCCAACTTGGACGGCTTGCAACATGTCTATGAATATATGAGAGAGCATAGTAGTAGACTGCGTGGCAATAAGTCACGCCAAACCGGAAGATCCAGTCGTGCATGTTAAACTTTGCGCTAATGTTAAGTTGGATAGGCATTTCCTTAGAGTCTGGTTGGAGAGCTAATGGTAAGCTGTTTTTCCACTTTTCTAGCTCGCGATCAAAGTCCAGAATTTTGAGCAATGCTTCACGAGATGATTGTTGGCGAGATTGAGTAAGCTCAATGTGGATTCGGTTCCAGAGCCTGTAAATGAGGACAAAATGCAACAAGAAATTAAAGTTGGAGAAACTATGTTGTGAAAGAACATCAAACTCAATGCGACAAGGCAATGGGGCGGAAATATTGCCATCAAAAATAGTAGAAGGCCGACCAAACTTGAGAGAAATGTCCTTTTCGACGCAATATAGCAGCCACCAAGCGTGTAATCTATATCCCAACTCTGCTGGGGGCAAATTCTCATAATGCTCACGTCGGTGGAGCCCCAGATTTTGAGCAATGCGTACAACGATGGAAAGCAATGACCAGGGGGGCACAAAGTTGGGGCTGCAAGTGGTCAAGGATACTAGCAAAAGACTGCCCTTGACTGCAAGAATAGAGTGTCCAGCGAGAGCCAGCCTCTCGAGATAGTAAATGCCGCTTGTTATATATTTTGTGACGAGTTCATAGTAGGCTTGTTTAGGCATGCCTTCGGGGACCCACCCAGGGCTATTTATTTCGAGGGATAGGCCCATTGCTGTGATGGCAGCAACACAAAGCTTTTCTGCATAACCATTTAGCCCAGTTGGTGTTCCAAACGCCGAGGGGATGTTTGGTTCTGTGGCAGGGTGGCTTTTGGTGTTAATTCGAATTTCCTCCGCGTATTCTTCAAATTTTTTATTTACAGATTTTTGATACTCGCGAGCATGTTGATATTTTTCTGTTTGAGGAATATGAGAGCCAAACTCGTTAAAATACATGAAATCTAGCTCCTCGAGAGAGAAAACATTCCAAAGTCCAAGTCCTGAAATAAACTCTTGAAAGCCTCGTAGCACAATATCTTTATCAAAAGTAATGGGTGAGGTGGAACTGTCTAAAAGATTTGTGAGATTTGTTTTTGTGTTTTCTTGAGAAACTTGGAATGCAAGAGAAAGCTGACCATACAGCGCACGGTCTTCAAGCTGACGTGAAATCCACCCAAAGCCATGTGATGAACAAAAAATGAGTGAAACACCTTCAAAGTATATTTGCTCAAAGCCGTTGAGTACAGTAACAGATGCAATATTACTAGGTTCCACATGAGGAGCACGAGCTGGGTCAAATTTTGAAGCAATATAAGATCCTGCGGGCAGATTAGGGACATTCCATTTGACATTAACTGATTTCCCTGTAGTATCATTTGTTGAAGATGCAGTTGGTGTTGTTGATGTTGTAGCAGCTGTTGACAAGGCTAAAGAACCATGCTGATTCGTTTTCGAAGCGTTGATAGTTGTATCAACCGTTGATTTCAGCTTTTCGCTTTGAGATGCTGGTAAGGTTTTGCGCTGTTTCTTTGAGGTATCATGTTCATCATTAAAAACACAAGCCGAGGTATTATCATTTTTCTCGAGTTTTACATTGGGACCATGTTTGTCGAGGTCGTCGCTTTCGCTATCGCTGTCGCCGTTTGTTGTACTTACAATGCTATAAGATTCATCCGAGTTAGGGTCGTCTGTGAGCTGAGCATCCTCGGAATCAAGGTCAGAGTCATTTTGGTTTTGATGGTGGTGGTTTTTACGGTGTCGATGTCGTCTGTTGGTATTAGTGATCAGAGATTGGTTTTTGACCGCGGAGCTAGCAAGAGAAACTAACTGCGGAATGTTTTGTTCAATTAAAGGGGCCACGGTTTCGAGGAGCGTTTCGATTCGACGCAACCTAGAGTCCAAGAGAGAGAGCGTGCTAACTCGACTATATGGGTGTTAGATAATTTATTACTGATAATATCAGAGTTTTTTTTTTATTTATTTTTTTTTAAAGCACACCTCTTTCTTTGTTTTTGTTTTCGTTCTGGTTGGGCGTAGACGCATGGTAATCTGTTTGCAGCGCAAGATGAACACGATGGTGTTTTCCCATCGCACTTGATTTTCTTTTTACGGCATAAATCGCAGGCGATGGAAACGCGTTGACGTTTTGGCTTAGGTTGTTGAGAAAATGTACTGGAATGGTCATCGTCATCCATGTCGTCCATGTCATCAATGTCGTCGAGATCGTCATCGTCAGCCTCATGCTTAAGTGAAGGGGGTTGTTGATTTTGCTGCCGAGAATGTTGAGACATTGATCGTGATGCGTTCGAGGATGAAGATGATCGGCCCGCACCTTGGATCATTGTGATGGATGAGATGTTTAATTAAAAAAAAAAAAAAAAAAACGAAGAAAAAAAAAGCTGTGGATATATTATGTATAGATCTTTTATTTTGTGAGTGTAAGGTTTTGGGAGCTATTATTTTTTATATACATAAAAGATTAAGAAGGAAGAAGAGGGTAAAAAGTTAAAAAAAAAAAATAATAAATTAAAATATAAAAAAAAAGAAAATAGTGGGCTTTATAAGCATTATGTGTGTTTTGATGAAGAAGCCTTACAAGCTAAGATTTTTGGTGTCCTAGATGCGGAAAGACAATAACTCCTGAGGGTTCCGAAAGCGCACCCAAAAAGAGGCATAAAGCGGCCATATGAGTCAGCACTTGTTTCACTGAGGTGGAAGGTCATTCTGGGGAACAAAAATATTATATAATGATTAGATAAGTTTTTGGAGTATTAGATTTTTTTTTATTTTTTTATTTTTTTATTTTTTTATTTTTTTATTTTTTTTTGAGTTTACCCGTTACATCGAGATCCATATATTCACGTGATTGTTGTTGATCTTTAATTTTGTTACAAACTTTTTTTTTTTTTTTTTTTCTCATCAAGATTATAAACCTACATTGCCACCTGCCATACAAAAACAAGGACCGGTTGGCTGGAGGGTTGAAATTTAGGAACATGAGAGCGATTTTATCTTTACAAAAAAAAAAAATTAAAATAAAATAAAAAGCACGCTTGGTAGTCGGTCTCAGGCAAGATCGGTGTTACTTGGTCGGGTAATAAACACAACGAGGGCTTTAAGTTAAAAAATTATGAACTATATATATTGTATATCATATAAGTAGTGAGACTTGAATAAATATATATAAATAAAATAACTCTTTTCCAAATTATTTTTCAATATTTTTCAAAAAATATATTTTACTTTAAAATATATTCATCATGATGAATATATTTGATCATGGTATACAGCATACAGAAAAATCGTTATTACACCTTAATCAAATTAAAAAAAATTAACGGTAAGCCCAAAATAGGCATACATTAAAGACTTATATATTGCAACTTCTAGTTACAATACTTAAAAGCAATTACAAATAAATTACAATTTTAAAAAGCCACAGTGTTCATTTTAAGAAATTTTCAATTGAGGTATATAGAAATAGACACACAACATTAAAATAGTCAATATATATTCAAAAAACCAACTTCACTCTATTGTCTAATAGGGGCGAAATTGTTTATTTGAACTTCTTGCCAAAGAGGATGAGCTGGAGCTGATCGTAAAGAGAGATAACACCAGCGCCGGCAACACCACGGAGAATGTTAGCACCGCAGCCCTTGAAGAGAGACTTGACACCCTCAGCCTGGACAATCTTGGTGAAAGCATCAAAGGCACCCTTGTACTTAACGGCTTGACCAGAAGTCATCATCATACGACGACGGACAGTGTCAAGAGGGTAAGAAGCGGTAGAGGCACCAGTGGTGACGCACCAACCGAGAAGGAAGGAGGCAAGGAAGTTGCCCTCAAGAGGACCAACGAGGACAACAGGCTTAAGAGAATCGTAAAGACCAAAGTAGAGACCACGGTAAACAATGATACCAACGACAGAGGGACCGAAACCACGGTAGAGACCAGCAATACCGTCAGAAGCAAGAGTCTTCTTGTAAACATCAACAAGACCGTTGAATTCACGGTCACCGCCGCCCTTAGCAGCCTTAGCATCGTTAGCAAGACGGGTACGGGCGTAATCGAGAGAGTAGACGAAGAAGAGGGAAGTGGCACCGGCAAGACCACCAGAAGCAAGGTTACCGGCAAACCAAGGCCAGTAGCCCTCAGACTTCTTGAAGCCAAAGAGAGCCTTGAACTTGTCCTTGAAGGCAAAGTTAAGGGCCTGAGTGGGGAAGTATCTGATAACGTTGGCAGTGTTACCTCTCCAGAAGGCAACGATACCCTCATCAGCGGAGGTACGCTTAAAGCAGTCGATGATACCATCGTATCTCTTAGCAAGACGGCCTTGCTTTAACATCTCATCCTGGTTCTGGATAAGGAGCTTGACACGCTCAATGGGGGCGGCAGCAGTCTTAGAGACAGCGGCAGAAACACCACCCATCAAAAAGTCGATGAGGAAGTTCTAATGAAAAAATATATTAGAATACATGATTTTTTTAAAGTTTTCCCAAATAATTGATTTATTATTAATTGATAAATCATTAATGGATTGATTGATTGATTAATAGATGGATGGATGGATTAATAACTTACATTCAAGTCGGAGGACATTGTTAATGTGTGTGTGTGGACGGGATTCTCAAAAGAGGATGAGGATAAGAAAAAAAAAAAAAAAAAAGAAGAAGAGAAGAAAGGAAAGAAGCTTTTTATAAAAAAAAAAAAAAAAAAAGTTTGTTTATGCCAAAAAATGGAGGGTGTCTAGTGCTCACAATGTGTGTAGCCAATAGGAAGCGTTCAAGGGTCTATGGAGGCCAGCGTTTGGTGGGAGCGCATTTTAGGTTGTTGAAGTGTGTGGGTATATATGTATATGTATGTGTGTGTGTGTGTGAGGGAGATGTTGCTGCCTTCAGGCTAATCAAAAGCCCTGCCCTTTGGCTGGCTAATTGACTGGCCATTTGGCTGTATCTGGTTTGTTTGTCATGGCAAATCACTAACTACTGTTTGTATTACTAGTAGGTGGCATTTACAGCATTTTTTTTTTCATTCTAATAATAATAATAATAATAATAATAATAATAATAATAATAATAATAATAATAATAATAATAATAATAATAATAATAATAATAATAATAATAATAATAATAATACAAGTGATAATGGCTAGATGGAAGCAGTAGACTAATCAATTGGCAGCAGCTTAGCACTTTACTGGTGCAATTTTTGGCATACCAACAACAACCACCCACAGGCGCAAATATCCAAGTCCTACTATGACAGTCAAGCAGCAGCAGCAGCAGCACAACTATCACTACCTTTACCTTTACCTTTACCTCTACCAACTCCAGCCTATTACAAGCCCTGGCCTTATTATGGCCGGGTAACATGCGCATTTTCTGACTGGTGGCCACACAAGAAATTGTGGTTATGTGCTTTGCAAAAAGTCTACAAGACAGCCAGCCAACAGCCAGCCAACCAACAGGAGTGTCTTTATTTTATTTTAATTTTGGGGAGGAGGGAAGGTCTGGGTCTGTCCATCTCTCCGAGCGCAATCAAAATGGGTCCTTGAAAAAAGGGGAGTGCACTTTTATTTATTTATTTATTTTTATTACAGATTGAGAAAAAAAAAGTTGAATACTCTTATCTCCAAACATAAGTTTTTTAATTAAATAATTAAATAATATATAAGCCTGATGGTGCTAATTAAATTGAGAAGTAGATGGATTTACTAAATAAAAACAAAAAAAATTGAAGTTCTCTTTAACGTGTCATTTTTTTTTATTCCTTAAGAGCCCTTTTATTAGGTAAAATCTCTTTAGAAATCGTCTAAACGACTCGTTCAACTTTACTGGAAAACTCACTGGGGTCCATTTCTTTATCCTCCTTCTCCCCCCCCCCTCTTTGATCTACACTTCGTGCGCCAATTGGCTGTGATTAAGTCGCGTAGCCCTAACCCTGTATGCTTGTAAAACACACACAAACATCCACCCATTAAAAAGACCTTTTCTTTCACTTTAATTTAAGCGGCAGTGGACTTTTTTCGTAAAGTGGAGCACCAAAAAAAAATTTTTTTTTTTTAATTTTTTAATTTTTTATTTTTTATTTTTTATTTTTCATTTTATATAAAATTAAATACAAAAGACTTTCTGCGTGCGTTAAAATTAAAATTAAAATTAAAATTAAAATACAAAAATAAAAATAAAAAAATACAAAAAAAAAAAAAATCTTCCGGAACTATCCGATGATTTTTAAATTCACACTCGAAAAAAAAAAAAAAAGGAAGGCCTAGCACAGGCGTTTATTTTATTTAAAAATTTTAAAAAAAGAGGAGAGAAAAGCAAAGGTTTGTTTGTCAGTGCGCGGGTCAAAACTTTAGTTTTTTTTTTTTTTTTTTTTTTTTTGGGAGGGAAGCTGATAAGGATTTTTTTTTTTTTGTTCTAACAAGTGAATCTATTGACTGTTGAAATATATACACTCTTTATATATATTGTGTATTGTGTATTGTGTAATAATAATAATAAAAATAATAATAATACAATTATACATGCAGCCTAGTATTGACAGCTCTGTCTAACTGATAAATAACTGCATCTTAATAACCGTTTTATATATATATATATATACTAATTAGTATAATTTTTATTTATTTTAATATAAATATTCCTTAAAATCCAACTATAAACAAAACGTCAAGATTTTTTTTTTTTTTTTTTGAAAATGTCAACTGCTCCATTATTTTACACTTAATTCCTTCCACTTTCATAGAAATAAAAAAAAACAGCTCTTTTGGCCTCTGCCAATCTTGAGCTGCCATTTTTTTTTTTTTTGTTTCTAACCAGTGCTGCCGCTGCTGCTGCTGCTGCTGCTGCATTGATGTTGTTGTCGTCGTCGTTGTCTATCACTCTTTCGGAGCGACTCGGACAGATTCGGTGCTTTTTTTATTTTTTTTTTTAAAAAAACAAAAAATGATTGTGAGTGTATCTGAAGCCCTAAGACTGAGTTTTTTTTTCTTAAGAATAAAAGGGGCCCGCCAATCCCTCTGCTCCCGTCGTTACCCGGCCATTAATCTCGTCGCTGCTGCTGCTAAATTTCCTACGCCACCACCATAATATCACTGTTTAATGTCAATAATCCTCCAGAGTTGAAATCAAAAGTGATAAAACAAAACAAAACAAAACAAAAAAGGCGCACGGGCAAATGCGGGCTTTTTTTTTTTTTATTAGGCTGAGATGATGATATTAATGATAAAAAGTAGTGATGGTTGATTAAAAATTATTGGGAAATTAATGGCTCTGTAGATGATGGAATAATTTATTATTGGTTTGATCTTAACTTTCTAAACAATGGTTTGAATTTTTAATACGTTATAGATTTTTTCATTTTTCATTTTTCACTTCACTTTTTACTTTTCACTTTTCACTTTTCACTTTTCAAAAAATTATTGATGATGCAGAAATTGTACGCTATATTTACTTAGTAACTATGGCAATTTTTTTTTATTTGTATGAAATAAAGTAAAATGACTTTTTTGTGCCAAAGGGATTGGATGAATGCAAATGCTTATTACTGGAAGATACACAAGTTTAAAGCTTATTACTGGAAGATATATAAGTCTAAGGCTTACTACTACTGGCCCAAGAATACTATACCCCTTTAAAATATACTAAAGAAAAAAAAATTCCACTAGTAACTTTTAACTCTGCAGAGTCTGTCAATCCAAGCTATAACAGTTATACCAAACTTTTAGATAAACCCCTCAACCAAGAGAAAGGACAAGGCAAGGCAAGGCAAGGCAAGGCAAGGCAAGGCAAGGCAAGGCAAGGCAAGGCAAGACAAAGTTTTTGCTGGCAATGCTAATGCTTACAATCTAATCAGTTAAAGAGTAAAAATAACATTTTAAAACGTAAAATGAAATCCAGAAAATTCACACGGTGCTACACCTCATTAAGACGATTTATTTATATGTAAATGGGAAATTCGAAGGGACTAATTGCATATAATTAACAAAAAAAAAGATGTTTAAGCTCTTTGATATACCCAGCTTTAAAAATCGTTATTGGCGGCTACCACAAACCATAGTCAATACTATTATACTTTTCCATCTAGAGACTGGCTCTTTTAAAATAAAAATTAAAATAAAAATAAAAAAAAAAAAAAACAGAATACGCCCGTCAAGAAAAATGCATTTTTATTCCAGATTTATGTTATTAACGTACTATTAAATGCATTATTATAATCAAATACCATTCATTATACTATATATACCACATCAAATGCTTATGCAGACCAACTGATTCCCCGGATATTTCTTATACTTCATATTCATGTATTCCTTTTTTTTTTTTTTTTGATCAAGGCATGGAGTTTAGTGTTAGAATTAGTTTCTTGAAGAAAGAAAAAAAAAATATCGAACATAAAAAGCCAAGTCATAAAATCTTCTTTATTCATTGCTGTATAAAGAAAAAGAATAACATTTGTGTCTTGAAAGATAACCGTTGGACTTTGCCTTAAAATACAAAAGTCTTCCATCATTTTAATAAAGTGGAATAAAGGTAGTATCGCACTGATTCCTAGGCTATACTACGACATTTTCTTTTTTTTTTCTTTTCTTTTGATAGCTATGTTTACTGATTCTATACCCAGAAACCAATTTATAAGATTTACTTTTTGATCTCTAGATTGAGAAAGTAGCACTACGGCTCTTTGTTTTTTTTTTCTTTCTCGGGTCTTATATCGATAATACATATTATACTTTCGTTTAAGAAAAAAAAAATTTTAAAAATTAAACTGAAACTTAAGACATGTGGTTTAATGATTTATGATGATCATGATGATGAAAAAGATTTTTAACACAAATGCAATTTCCCAGTGTTGCTAAAAAGAAAAAGCAAAAGCAAAAGCAATTCCTAATAGAAATACACTATTAAGCATAGTTATGGTAAAGTGCTTCATTCAGTGATACAATTCATGTGCTTGGTACAATCAATATACTTCAGCTGTTGTTGTCTTTTATTACCTCTTTCTTTTTCTGTTTGATAGTTTTTCAGGTATATTTCAAGGTAAATTAAAAAAAATAAAATAAAATAAAAAGGTTTTCCATTTAAAAAAAAATTAAACTCTTTGTATTTTTATCCGTAGAAAAATATAACTAATCTTTAATTTTTCCCAATTGACGAAAATTTGAAAAAATTAAAAAAAAAAAAAAATGAAAAATGAAACAAGCGAAGTGCTATTATTGAGATAGATGTAATTATTCAATGAGCCATTTTAACTATAACAGTTTTTAAAAATTAGTTCCTGTTCATTTGTTTGCTTACTAAACCAACATTATGTTTTATGAAAGCTAAATCAATCATTTATATTATCTAGTTACCACTTAAACTTCTGATACTTTTCAATGCCTAATTTTTACCAAAGCTTCATTCTTTTTTTAACTAGTTCACCATCTTTCACTAAATACTTTTATCATTCTAAATGGCTGTTATTATTAAATTTTTTTTTAGCAAAGTTAATATTCCACATATTAATCAAATTTTATAGTTATTATAGGTATATTAACTATCTGACATGAGGAAATTTATTTACGCGTTCAAATGATTTGAACATGTTTA